TCGAGCTAGAAGTTAAGAATAGGTTTGAAGCTTTAGAGCTTCCTGACGAGGACCACGAGGATATTGACAAGTTATGGATAGAGATCAGAGATAATATTAAAGCGGTCGGTAACTCGTGTCTAGGGAAAAAGGAAAATAAGAATAACAAACCGTGGTTTGATGAAGATTGCTTAAACATGTGTGAAAAAAGAAAAGCCGCTAAATTAAAAGCTCTAAATAATCCTAGCGAAGACAATCTGGAATACTTCCGAATCTCAAAGAACGAAACGACAAAATTGCTCAAAAATAAAAAAAGGGAGTATCTTAAAAATAAAATAATTGAAATAGAAACTAATAGAATCGAAAATAACGTAAGAGACATGTACAAAGGTATAAACAGATCACGTAAATATGTAGGGCCCGTAACGTCTGGAATTAGGGATGATAATAACAATATTCTGACCGATCCGGTTGACATATTGAATAAGTTTAAGGGCCACTTTGACAATATTTTAAATGCGGGAAATTGTGATCTGTGTCCTCCTTCTGAGTACCAGAGTGCTGAACCATTAATAGAAGGACCAAGTAAAGAGGAAGTTGAAGTAGCTATCGGAAAATTAAAATCTTATAAAGCAGCGGGAACCGATAATATTCCTACAGAACTAATTAAGGCATGCGGGGAAGCCGGAGTTTCTAAAATACATCGGTTGGTTAACAAGATCTGGGTGAACGAGAAATTACCTGAAGAATGGAAAGAATCTATTCTTATTCCGATTCACAAAAAGGGTGCGAGGACGGATTGTAATAACTATCGAGGAATTTCACTCCTTCCGGTATGTTATAAAATATTCACTTCAATCTTAACCAGTCGAATCACGAAATACGCCGAAGAAATTGTCGGGGACTACCAATGCGGATTTAGACGGAATCGTTCGACAATTGATCAAATATTTTCTTTACGGCAAATATTAGAGAAAAAATTGGAGTATAACGGTATTGTTCACCAGCTGTATATAGATTTTAAAAAGGCTTACGATTCTATTGACCGCCAGAAACTGTATAATATTCTAATCGAGCAGGGGATTCCAAAAAAACTAGTAAATCTAGTCAGGATGTGCTTGACGGAGACACTCAATAAAGTTAGAATCGGTAATAATTTGTCCGAAAAATTTGAGGTTCGTTCGGGCTTAAAACAGGGGGATTCTCTTTCGCCTGTCCTGTTCAATTTGGCATTAGAACATGCCATTAGGGAGGTAATGCGAACCGAGAATGGGTTGGATCTGGGCGGGACAACATCCGTGCTGGGCTATGCTGATGATCTGGTACTGTTAAGCGGAGACGTTGAAACTATAAAACTAAATACGACAACGTTAATGAAAGCCGGTAAAGAACTTGGACTCGAAATAAACGTGGATAAAACAAAATATATGGTTAGCTGCAAAAATGGCGATACTACTGGTGATATCGATATAGATGGTAATATGTTTGAACAGGTAGATAAATTTAGGTATCTAGGTTCTACGATAACTAGAAAAAACGAAATTGAAGAAGAGATTAAGGTTAGACTGAAGGCGGGGAATGCTTGTTATTTTTCTCTGACAAAACTACTTAGTTCGCGCCTCTTGTCCCGAAACTTAAAAGTTAGAATCTATAAAACAATTATCTTGCCTACAGTTCTTTATGGATGCGAAACTTGGCCGCTTAGATTAAGGGATGAGCAGCGTCTTAAGGTTTTTGAAAATAAAGTATTGCGTAGAATATTCGGACCGAAGAAGGATGAGTTAACCGGAGAGTTCAGACGGTTACACAACGCCGAATCGCGTGAGCTGTATCCGGGTAATATAATTGAGGTAATTTCATCGCGGCGAATCAAATGGGCTTGTAAAGTTGTTGGGCTTAGTAACGAGAGAATTCCTAAAAGGTTAATATTTGCTGTGCCGAATGGTAAGCGTCCGAGGGGTAGACCGAAGCGAAGGTGGGAAGATTGCATTAAAGCCGATCTGAAGGGACTGGGTTTGGACGGCGAACGGTGGAGGGAGGTGTGTAACAAGCGATTGGTGGTGTCGGCATCGAACCTTCGGGTTCGCTAAGCCTTATTATTATTATTATTATTATATATATATATATATATATATATATATATATGAACCTTTTAGAAACAGTGTACTTACTATCTATCTTTATAATATAATATGACAGTTTTTTGCCGTAACGATCCCTTTTCCGGATCTCAGGAGCGATGTATTTTTATGAATGAGGTATCAAACGAAAGGGTATTAAATGGAGCAGTGACTAATCATAGTAACATCCACCAGAAATTTCAGGAAAAAGAGTTATGGATGAAAACAAAAATTGTTTGCGAATTACTTCCTTCCCAAAAGACTCCTCCAGAATTCCTAAAAAGACCATTCTACCCCAACACCTCCTTGACCTAATCCAAACCAAACGCCGTGCCAGATTATTGTGGCAACGTACCCGACATCCTACCGACCGCTGCTCCTATAATTATTACTGCAAAAAATTAAAACTGGAATTAGCCACCTTCAGATCACATTCCTTCAACTCCTACCTATCCTCCCTTTCTTCTCGCGACAATTCCCTTTGGAAAACCACTACCAAAATCTTAAATCCTCACCGCATTTCCCATCCCCTCCGACGAGATGATGGCTCCTGGGCAGCATCTGACGAAGATAAGGCTGAGGAGTTCGCCATTCACCTATCCAATACATTTATTTCACATCCGGAATCCCATCCTGCCCACACCGTAACAGTAGAAGAACTCCTTACATCACCAATCCCACTTTCCTTGCCCCCAAAAGCTATTCATCCTTCCGAAGTGAAATTTCAATTAAAAAAATTAATCCCCCGTAAAGCTCCTGGACATGATCTCCTTACCCCTCAAATCCTTCGACAACTTCCATCCAAAGCAGTCATATTCCTTACATATATCTACAACTGTATCCTACGCACCACCCACTTTCCTCTGCTATGGAAACACTCCACTAGTATCCTTTTCCAAAAACCAGGCAAACCTCCCAATATCTCAACATCCTATAGACCAATTAGCCTACTCCCAATCCTTTCAAAAATTTTTGAAAAGATCCTTTTGAAACGAATCCTACCCATTATAGAATCCCAAAATATTCCTTCCCATCAGTTTGGTTTTCGCTCCCAACATTCTACTGTTCAACAAGGACTCCGAGTTGTTGATCATATTTCCTCAGCCCTAGAAAACAAGGAATACTGTTCGGGTGCATTTCTGGACATTGCACAGGCATTTGACCGGGTATGGCACTCCGGACTGCTCTTCAAGCTTAAAATCCATTTACCTCAGTCCTTGTACCTAGTCCTCCGATCCTACCTCTCTGACCGCTCCTTCCGAGTTCGCTGTGGAACAGAATTTTCCAATATCTACTCCGTTAAAGCCGGTGTTCCCCAAGGCAGCGTCTTGGGTCCCGTGCTTTACATCCTCTTTACTGCTGACATCCCTGTTCATCCCGATACTTTTCTTGCAACATTCGCTGACGACACCGCAATCTTATCATCCAACTCTGATCCCAACATAGCATCCTTAAATCTCCAAAACCACCTCACCTTGATTGAGCACTGGTGTAATAACTGGCGCATTAAAGTTAATGAATCTAAATGCCAACATATTACCTTTACACTCCGACGCAGTTCCTGTCCACCAGTACACTTTAATTCCATCCAGCTTCCTTACTCAGACACAGTCCGGTATCTTGGCTTTCATTTAGACCGAAGACTAACGTGGAACCCACATACTAGACTCAAAAGACAAGAACTCAACCGACGATACGGCCAGCTATACAGACTACTAAACAGAAAATCCAAACTTTCTATTGAAAACAAATTACTTATCTACAAGACAATACTGAAACCTATATGGACATACGGACTTGAACTGTGGGGACAGCAAAAGCTTCTAACATCAAACGTATTCAATCCTTTCAATCTAAAGTCCTTCGAACAATAGTTGATGCTCCGTTCTATGTAAATAACAAAATCCTACACCATGACCTTAATATCCCATTTGTCCTAGACCTTATTCCAGAAAAATTCTCCAAATTTCACCAAAACCTTACCTATCATCCAAATCCCCTTGCACAATCTCTATCCAGCACCACCCATCCTTACAATCCTCCTCGAAGGTTGAAGCGGCAGTGGCCCAGAGACCTTTTGTAAATAAGCATCTATTGGAGTTTTGGCAATGGCCAGATCCTCCACTCAAGCCCGAGTGTGTATGATTAGGTTAGTTCTTTTGTTTATATACATTTATTTTATTTTATTGTATTTATTTTTATTTTATTTTATTGTATTTATTATTATTAAGTTTCTGTATTATTTATTGTTTTTTTATTGTAAATAGAGTGTGAGTGTGCTTTCTCTGATCACTATTATAAATGTCCTTGATGTGACAGAATGTAATATTTCTAAACAAACAAATATATACTTAAAAAGTATACATTTTTTTCTTGAATAGATCCATTATTATTTGAAAATTGACTAAATTACCTACAAAACGAAGAAAATAAATCATAAACATAGGTTCAAATATTTGTTTAAGGAGGAACAGAGTTGAGATTTGTATTTGGCATCTCAAAGAACCCTCAAATACAAATTTTCATGGCAATCGAAAAATAATAATTTTTTCCTATGAATCGTTTTTTTTTCAACAATCACAAAAAAGTGTGATAACTTTAAAATGCCCCCACCTACCCACACGAAATTCAGCAGGAATTTAGGGCTACATAAACTGCACGAAATGACATAAACCGGACCCCCTTAATTATTTTAAAACTTGAGATATAAAATAAAAACGTGTTAGAAGTTTTTACTTATTTTGCACCTTATGGAGGTATTAGATCAAAAAATCACTTATACGGCTTTGAAGAGTTACTAATTCGGAATTCCAACGGTTAAACTCGCACTGATTTAGGAGGTTAAGGAAAACTTTTAGAAAGTTTACAGCACATATTATTTATTACTTACGTTCTGTTTTTAAATGCCATACATATGGTGTAGAATTTCGATTTTATAATAACTTTTTTATAGTATCCTAGAAACAGATTATAATTTGTGTTAAAAAATGTTTGTAAGTGCATGGAAATATAATAAGAACATAGGGTCGTATTTATGTCAGTGTGAGGTTCAGTTTCAGTTAAATAATGGAATATGCAACTACAGATCAAGTACAAGCAAAATATTTAAGCTTTTCAAAATGCCAATTAGAAAAGAAGACGTGACTAAACAGTAAGATTTTATCAATATTCATATATTTTCAGTTAACTTTCATAAGAATTTATGAATTTTGATTAGGTAATTTGGTGATCAACCGTAGTAAGCGATCGCTTTACTATTCTCGAGTCAGTAGCGTCCACTCGGTGTAGTCTTTAGTCTGCAATAAAATTTATATTTTTTCAGGCATACATACCGACCTGATAGTTACGTCACATCATTTCAAGACATCTCAACAAATGGTTACACACATCGATATATTATATGGTGGTTATTAGCTAAGGGTCAGTTGCTTCAACTCAGTAAAGCTTAGATTAAGCGTTATCTAAGATTAAACCGATTTTTCTAAGGTCGACAGATTATGATTAAACTTGGTTTAATCTTAGATAACGCTTAATCTATGCTTTACTGAGTTGCAGCAACTAGCCCTTGAATAGTTTCAGATATTTTTAAACGGACTAAAATATCATCTTTTGTTTTCTTTTTATTAATCTTTTTTTGTTTCGAATACAGATAATCAATAAAAACTTCTAGAACCAAACATAAATTGTGTAGTGCAATAGTTTACTAAATAAATGAAAGTATAGATAAAAAATCTGGTGCACACAACACACAACTTTCACTTACCTTTCTACTTTGAATAGAAATTTTTTTCTGGTAATTTTGAGCAATTATAAACTTTTTAAGTGCACTTTTAGCGGAGCTATAACTTAAAGTTTACAGCTGATAAATCATTAATACCCATAAAACAACAAAACACATATTAATTAAATCAACAGCAGATAATAAAAATCTCGGTACTCCATCTGTTTTTGTAAACCACACTCCATCCTCTGAGCAATATATATAAGCCTAGAGAGATTTGAAAGTATATCTATAAATAAAAATATAAGTATAAGTATATCTATAAAAGAGATTCAACCTATAAATAATTATGGATTGTACGCCTATTAGTTATTAAACTGTTATTTTCCGTTGTAAAGCAGACCCTACTTGGTAATTCATGAATGAACGTCACAAGAAGTTCCAAGACTGCCCGCGATTCGCTTTAATATGAAGACCTTTACACTTTCAAAATCTTACTGATCATTACTATTGTTTGCTATAACCAATTAGCACAATTGTAAACAAAAGAAACAGCAAAGGATATGCTATTCGACATTGTCATTGATAAAACTAATTACTTCCTAGTGCCTGAAAATCGTTTAGTACCAAATAGAAAAACATAAGCAACTCATACAAAAAACTAGGAAAAGTATTGCGAAAATAATCAAGTTGTCAAGAAAAATGAGAAAAATTAAGCAAATAAACATAACATTAAAGATTTTTTTTCTAGAAGTAACTTGTGAAGTTCCATCTTTTTTATTCTCTTCAATTATTCCTACTTGACTATTAAAGAAAAAATAGTTGAAAAGTGTTAATAAAAATACAGACTAGGGATATAAACAACTATTTAACTTTTGTGAAATTATTACATAAAAACGATACCTAGCTAAACAAATCTATCTAGTAGTAAGGATGATCTCATAGAAAATCGATTTGACAAAAGTTAGTAAAATTTAATTCTTACTACATACAAAAATTAAGAAAGGTCTTGCGAAAATAATAATTTTGGTTGAAGAAAATGGGAAAAAGACTGATAAATATACACATCGTTAAGTTTTTTTTTTTTTTCCTAAAGTAAATTGAGAAGTTTCCCTCATTTTTTTTTTTAATTTCTGCCCATTGACGACTTTAAACAGAACTAATTGAGATGTTTTTTAAAATTATAAACAAGGGATATGAAAAATTATTTAAACTATTGCCATATAATTGAAAATCAAAATTTATAATGGTTGTGAGGCCTAGGTAACCTAACCTATCCACAAGTATGGTCATCTCCCACTACTTTTACCTCATCCCCCTCCACTTCTCGTGATTGAACCTCTTGATTTCCGGATGTTCGGAATACCCATCGCACCACCATCAGTACTTCATTCACTACCTTACACGATAATTCGGAACGTCATTATTGCAATTCCGATTGACCGTGTAAGGTCCCCTTAAAGTTTACAACAAAGAAATACGAGATTTTCATTGCCTGCCAAATTGTAAAACTACAGTAAATGTATTTAAGGTTATAAACATATGCTTTATACGTCCATGAAATATTTTCATATTTCATATAAGTATTATCAAATAGTTTGATTGAATTGATTAGAATTGAAAAACGCCTTCTTTGCTCCTTGCCTTCATGTCATGAGATATTGACTGAACCGTTTCTTTCAGCAGTTCTTTATTGTTCCTTCTCCTCCATGTGTCAAGATTCTGGTCCCATTTAGGTCCTGTTATCCTACGTAGAACCTTTCTTTCGAATCTCTCAATTCTGGCTTCTAGTGTGCCGGTTAGAGCTCAGGTTTCACACGCAGCTGCTATCACGCTTATTTTGATTTCTGGATTTTCTGATTCAACCTGAAGAGAGTCTGTCACTGTTATTCGCTGGTCTATCTCTGTTAGTTGATCATTTATTGAGGTTGTTGTGGAGCAGAGGTATTTGAATCTGTCTACTTTCGGGAATGACTTAGAGTCCACGCAGATCATGTTATTAAGGTGGATGTTTCGGCTATCATATATTTTGTTTTATCTACATTGACCTGTAGTCCGGTTTGCTCTGCTTCTTTTAATAGAGTAAGAGCGAGTCTCTCAATATCCTCTTGATTACTTCCGAGGACAGCTATATCATCGGTATATGCTAGGGTTTTATGTTTCATTCCAACGTGCACCCCTCCATCTTCGCGTGATGTTATTCTTATTACTTTTTCTAGTGCTAAGTTGAACAGCATCGGCGAGAGTCCATCTCCCTGCTTCAAAACCTTTCGAACTTCAAAGGCTTCAGATACGTCTCCTTGCATTAGTACCCTGCATTTAGGATCATTTGTACACGCCTTCGTCAGCCTCACTAACTTCCCGGGAACACCCAGCTCAGTCATGATCTTCCAGAGGCAGTTTCTGTCAACGGAGTCATAGGCTGATTTGAAGTCGACAAATAGTTAGTGTACGTCCTGATCTAGCTCCCATCGTTTTTCAAGTACTTGTTTTAGTATGACTATCTGATCTAGCGTACTCCTCTCTCTGCTGAATCCTGTTTGATGGTCGCCTATTGTGTTTCCATAATGCTTATATATACGATTTAGTAGAATATTAGTCATTATTTTATAGGCAAGCAAAAGAAGTGCTATGCCTCAATAATTTCCTCATACGTACTTGGAGCACATTTAATAATTACATGGAGCACAGAGTACATTTAATAATTAAAATTAATATAAATAACTGTTAACAATATAATGGTTGTGAAATTAGGAAGGCATTGATCTATATGAAATGGGAGTTAGGTTAAGACGGTATTTATGTGGGGGTTATAAAATTTTAGGTTTTATTCAAAAAGTTAATATATACTGTATTGTTTGACCGATTCCAAACGTTACTGGTATGACACTGTTGTTACTCAGATTTCATGAAATTTTCAGTAAATTTTACTCTGAGTTTGTAAAAAAAAAGTATTATTTGTGATTGTGGTTATTTCTATTGAAGTTCAACTAGCTCGTCGTTGTCTCGATTTTCTCCTTAAATATCAAAGTTGTGTGAACTTCTTAAATATTCTTATATTCCAGCTTAATTAGTTTTGTTCTGACTGAAGAAAAGTATTGTTCTCGTTAACTCGGCACAAACAAAAAGTTGCATTTTTTCTATGGATCCTTTGTTCTATCCATTTTAGTTAATATACCTATTAAGTATATTCACTACTGTTAGTTCAAAAGATCGTATCTAAAATCTTCAATTTTCATTCTATTTTTGCTAAAGGATGGAAATAGTAGAGGGCAATAAAATATGAAATTATATTAATAAATCATAACGATAACTTTTTTTTTAATCCTGAATCATCAAATATGCAATATGCAAATGCGGAACTCTTTCGTATTGAAGTATTCGCTGATAAACAAAACTCGTGGATATGTTGAAGGATTATTGAATTTCCGAAAACGGCTACTCCTTGAGATTTTATTCTCATATGAAAAAATGTATACTTTGTATTATAGATATTTTTTAGCCGATGGAAACGGTGAGGAAGCTATACTGACTTTACTTGGCAGAACTTTACTTACGTTTTTATACTTGTACTTAAATATAATTATATTTAAAATCAAATACATTTTTTCCAATTTTATCTAGAAGATTTATAAGAAAATTAGTTGAAAATGGAGGTGTCCACATGAAAGGTGAATTAATCATAAAATCCTAGGATATGTTTCTATATTATTATTCCTGAATATGAAAAAAAAAAAATAATAGGCATTTATTTTAATCCTCAGCCTAGCCAGTAGGCTTTTCTTATTTTATTAATCGATATTAGTTTAGATATTAGAGAAACCGGAAAGTAATGTCGTTTCTCAGCATGCCACTATTTTATTGGCATTTTGCAGCTCATTCTTTGCATCTATGTCCTGACAAAGACATTTTAAGGTTAGAGTGACTTCTTTAGTTGCAAATAATTAAATTAATTTTTTTTTCTACTTTTGGTGAAATGGAAATGCGGATTTAGACGGAATCGTTCGACTATTGATCAAATATTTTCTTTACGGCAAATATTAGAGAAATAATTGGAGTACAAAGGTATTGTTCACCAGCTGTATATAGATTTTAAAAAGGCTTACGATTCTATTGACCGCCTGAAACTGTATAATATTCTAATCGAGCAGGGGATTCCAAAAAATTTAGTAAATCTAGTCAGGAAGTGCTTGACGGAGACATTCAATAAAGTTAGAATCGGTAATAATCTGTCCGAAAAATTTGAGGTTCGATCGGGTTTAAAACAGGGGGATTCCCTTTCGCCTGTCCTGTTCAATTTGGCATAAGAACACGCCATTAGGTAGGTAATGCGTACCGAGAAAGGGTTGGATCTGGGTGGGACAACATCCGTGCTGGGCTATGCTGATGATCTGGTACTGTTAAGCGAAGACATTGAAACTATAAAACTAAATACGACAACGTTAATGAAAGCCTGTAAAGAACTAGGACTCGAAATAAACGTGGATAAAACAAAATATATGGTTAGCTGCAAAAATGGCGATACTACTGGTGATATCAATATAGATGGTAATATGTTTGAACAGGTAGATAAATTTAGGTATCTAGGTTCTACGATAACTAGAAAAAACGAAATTGAAGAAGAGATTAAGGTTAGACTGAAGGCGGGGAAATGCTTGTTATTTTTCTGTGACAAAACTACTTAGTTCGCGCCTCTTGTCCCGAAACTTAAAAATTAGAATCTATAAAACAATTATCTTGCCTACAGTTCTTTATGGATGCGAAACTTGGCCGCTTACATTAAGGGATGAGCAGCGTCTTAAGGTTTTTGAAAATAAAGTATTGCGTAGAATATTCGGACCGAAGAAGGATGAGTTAATCGGAGAGTTCAGACGGTTACACAAGGCTGAATTGCGTGAACTGTATCCGGGTAATATAATTGAGGTAATTTCATCGCGGCGAATCAAATGGGCTTGTAAAGTTGTTGTGCTTAGTAACGAGAGAATTCCTAAAAGGTTAATATTTGCTGTAATAGACCGAAGCGAAGGTGGGAGGATTGCATTAAAGCCGATCTGAAGGGACTGGGTTTGGACGGCGAACGGTGGAGGGAGGTGTGTAATAAGCGATTGGTGGTGTCGGCATCGAACCTTCGGGTTCGCTAAGCCTTTTATTATTTATTTATTTTTTGGTGAAATGGCCTGCCAAATGCCTTGTTGCGTGATTTTTGAGTTTCGCAAGAGTAGTAAAGCAACAAAAAAATTTACTATATTTATCCAAATGCATTAGACGTTCGTAAATGGCCATTGTGTTTTTACCAGTTAATTTTGATCTTCCCGACTCGTATCAATCAGAAAGATCAACAACGTTGAGTGTTAAGGACGGGAGTGGAAGCGAATCCGTGTCAGACAATCGAGGAATTGGCAAACAGTCTTAACGAACCTTGGCCGATCATCCAAAAACGTTTACAGCAGATTGCGGAACCACCATATGCAACTTATTGCTTCAACGGTGCAATACAGAAGATCACCGAAGAATGTAGTATTCCTGACGTTGCTCACTTTGAAAGGCTGAAACCTAGGCAAACTGTGAATGTAGACCTGTATTGTGAACAATTGATTCGTGTAAGTCAATCTTTAATAGAAAAGTGGTTGTCTCCCAGCGATTGTCAACAGAAAAGGCGTTATTCTAATAGGAAAATTCAAGATTGCATTGCGTGAGACGAACCCTGGAAAGAATTTCTGAATTGGGGTAGGAAGCACTGTATTACTCACCATACTCAACCGATGTCTTACCATCGGATTAGCATTTGTTCGAATCTTTTTAACACTTCTAAGATTTGCAAATATAAATGATGTCCAAAATGCTATCTTATATATTTTTATTAAAAACCAATTGATTTTTATCGACCCAGCATTGAACATTTGAACACACTAGATGGCAAAAGGTTGTTGATAATAATGTTTGAATTTAATGAAAGAAAAATATGGTAATTATTTACAAGCGGTACTCCACCGGCCATCTTGGTTGAATTGATGTTATGCGCTGTTTTCTGATAACGTTTACGAAATATAGCACCAGAAAGCGCCACTATTGCGGAGGGGTTGTCTTGTCAGCTCTTGTCCCCTCCACCTCACCTCTGTTTTCAGTAAATGTAGAAATTAGATCGTTTAGGTTATATATTACCCGCCTTTTTTTAAATTTAGCATTCCTTACATACCATTAAATAAACATCGATTGAACATTCATTACAATTTCCATCATATCCGCATAATATTTTTATGCTTATACTTTTTATATATCCACATAATATATTTATGCTTATACTTTTTAGATATATTCTGTCACATTTTCAGTCTAATGTGCAGCATACTGTCTTAAACAATTTGTTTCATTGAAAGACTGGGCCTCCTCCAAGAGCCTCCGCCAGTTGGCTCTGTCTTCTGCTGCAGCTCTCCAGTTCCGTACACCAAGCAGGGTTCTCGCATTGAAAGAACTTCATTAACTTAAATTTTGTTTTAATTGTGAAACTTTATCTAAATTTTTAAATATTTGATGGTTGACCATTGTATATTTTACATATTTGGATTGTATATATTCAATTTTTAAATACTTTATGGTTGACCATGCTATATTTTAGATTGTATATACTAAAAAATTTTCAATTTTCTATAAGGATTTTAATGCTGGATAGGGGTTATGTTTTTCATTTATATGTTACTTAAATCTTCTAGCAATAAAACACATTTTCAGTCTACTGAGGTACATACTGGCTATGAAGATACAAAGAATACTACATGCTATGAAGACACAAAGAAATCGACAAGTTAAAAAAAAATCGTGGTAAAGGTTACATTTGCTAATTATTTGTAATGAACGTAAGGTGGAGGGGACAAGAGCTGACAAGACAACCCCTCCGCAATAGTGGCGCTTCCTGGTGGTGTGTTTTGTAAACGTTATCAGGAACACAGCGTATAACATCAATTCAACCAAGATGGCCGGTGGAGTACCGCTTGTAAATAATTACCGAAAATGATATTACTTTCCGGTCCCCCTAATATTTTATTCACCCATTTATATTATTTGTTATTAATTTTTTAAAATTCATATTATTGGTGCTGGAGGGGGGGGGGTGCGATATTCTCGCCCCCTCAACATTTTTATTAGGAGGGGGAGGAGGGTGGAGCGATCGCTTCCCCCTCCCACGAGGTCTTCTCCTATGCTTGTAGTCCAAAGCGATACATTATATTATGATATTAATGTACCGTTAAATGTATGCACTTATATTAACTACATTAATTTTTGTGTAATTTTGTAGAGATGTTTACTGCTCTGGTCCTCTTTTAGAAGCAGTTCAAATGGCTCACATATTTGGTACTTCCAAGAGATTTGTTGATAAAAAAATGAAATTTAGCATAGCAGATGTAAAAACACAGTAATTCATACAATATTTTATCTTTCTCTGATGTAAAAACAATAAATAATAATGTATTACTATTCTTATATTTTTGACTTTGTTTTTTAGGTCTTGTCTAATTTTTATAACCTGAAGAAAAATTATGGCGGAAGAAGTCCTGCACACGAAGCTTTGAGGATGTTTATTGAAGAAAATTTTGAAGATAGCCATGAACTGGAGGTGAAAAAATCTATTTCTTCAATCCCCACACATATTATTACATCATCATCATCATCACCATGATAATCCTTATCTCCCATGTATCGCTGCGCAGTTGAAGGTTACAATGATGGTTGAAGCTCTCTTCTGCTACTCCAATCAATGCTTCGCCGACTGAACGCCTCTCTAACACAGTCCTCCCAGGATATGCACACTCTCTCTCTTAGTCTCCTTCCTTCTACACAAGTCTCCTATGTCTTCCTGGCAGTTTCTCGATCCATCCTAAGGAGGTATCCGAACCACCTTAGCTTATGTTCCACTAGGATGAGTTCGGCCTGCTTGACCTCTAGGCCAGTATGTATGGTGCAGTTCCTCATCCTATCTCTTCGAACCATTCCTTCCACTTTACGTAGATGGCGTATCTCAATGGACTGGATTCGACTCTTGTGTTTCGAAGTGAGGGTCCACGATTCGGAAGAGTGAGAAAGAATAGGGAGGAACGTTGATTTTTGTCTTCTTTGTCACTTCTTTTTTAATTAGTAAACCCTTACTAAGCAAAATTAACACTCTTGCAGCTCCACCGACTCTTCGAGACATTTCCTATATTATTATTATATCATCATATGGACAATTATTAGCAAATAATTATTTTTAATTTAATTTATTTGTTTGGTTGTACATACATATTTCATACATTTCCCAACATAACAAAATTACAGCAACTTTCGCAATTTCTAATTTATTTTGGTGCTACTTTCACCATCATAACGTTTTATATTGGATATTGGAATCCAAGAATCATACATACTAACATTAAGTTATAATATACTGAGCATTGCATTTACATACAAATTGCAGCTGCGTCCATAAAAATATAAATGAAAAAATATATAAATGTATTCATATACATACATAAAATATAGACTATATATAAAGTAATTTTTAAAAACTACGGAAGTAGTAACCCTTTCACAATATAAATAAAAAGTAAGTAATGCCATAACACATAAATAAATAAAATAAATAAATATAAATAACAAAATAAATAAATAAAAGAAAATAAACAAATAGATAAATACAAAAAAGAAAAACGTAAATTATGGTAACAAAAAATCCTTGATTATCGCGCTATAATCGAGCAAGCAGCCTGAACCAATTACTGTAGCTCATGTGGGAACCTTTAAGGACTCTCATTGTAATGGCGTTTATCGTTCTCTTGGGGTTGCCCAACATATCCATATCATGGAAAGATCGTCGACACCATACTCCTCTCCAAGTTATTGTGAGCAGGAGTACTTTTATGTCCACGTCTGGCTTATTGAATACAGCTTATTGAAATTTGTAAACATGTTGGTTCCAAACATTAATGAATTTTTAAATTCATTGTTGTTTCCATTGTCAATTATATTTATCGATAAAGTAACAACTGATTTCTTTATCTTATGATACGTTGAATTATTCCATTTTCTTAATACTTTGCCATTTGATCACTAAACAAGATACTATGCGAATTTCTCGCATGGCCCTACTAGGTTAATGATAATAATAAACTCCGTAAATAGTTTCATCTCATCGTAACCAACAAATATTTTATTTACAAAAATTCTCGAAATTGGTGCGTTTTCAATCTGGAGGTCGGAAAACTTTGTCAATGAAATTAGGTACTATAAACTAGTAAATACTCATTTGCTTTTCACTTGAATCGTAAGATAACTTGAGAACAAAGCCGAGAAAAAGTTGGCCTTCAAAAATATTGAGCCGTTTGGTGTGTCCTACACCCCCAAATTGTCAAAATATCGAGGTTATTTAGGCCAAACGGTCCAATATTTTTGTAGTCCACCTTTTTTCATCGATTTTGTGATCAAATTATATTGTGTTCCAAGTGGAAAGCGAATGGGTATTTACGAGTTTTTAGTACCTAATTTTTTTTTATTATTTTAATGAAATTTACAACTGTATTACATAGAAAATACAATAAGTAAATGTGACATTAGTAACATGACATGTACAACATTAAGAGAAACTACCCATTGGTAGAACCCAAATTAAAGTTCTATATTAGAAGATCCCGAGGCCATCTTCTTTTCAGACGCCTCAGAGGATTATCAGGGATCGAGGAGGAAACAAGGTTTGAAACGAGAGGATTCGGATGGTTCTGCAGTTTGTTATGGAAGGATAGGTATCTGGATTGGGCCAAATTGGAAACATATGGAACATTAAGGTCTTTATGGATGATTTTATTTGTGACAAAGTAAGGAGCGTTGAGGATTTTACGAAGGATTTTGGATTGTAAGGATTGGATACGAGAGGAATTCGATGGTTTAGTGGAGGCCCAAAGCTCAATTCCGTAAGTCCAAATAGGTCTTATTATTGTCATATATATGAGTCGTTTGTAATTGATTGAAAGCTTAGAGCGTTTGTCTAGTAAGTGCTGCAGTAAGTACCTAATTAAATAGACAAAGTTTGCCAACCTTCAGATGGAAAACGCCTCAATTCCGAGAATTTTTGAAAATAAAATATTTGTAGGTTACGATTAGATGAATATATTTATGAAGTTGCAGGCGGGTGTTTATAATTTGATAAAAATGGGTTTAAACCATGGTTCATATCTTTAAGAGTTGTGGCTTTTACATGGCTTATTTTTAAACACTTATATGTTTTTTTAGATGTGGTTACCACCTGATTGGCATCCTAACCCTCAAATATTGTCATCAATAAAAGATCAGAGGTTCCAATTATGGGCTGGAGAACTTAATGAAGTCTGGAAAACTCTTGGGCGGCGAATGAGTGACGATGTGAAGCTAAACCCTCAAGCTTTTTCGTCTATACCACTTCCAAATAGGTGAACAAATATAGAAAATAATCTTAATTTTATCTTCTCTTATATACTTAATTATCTTTCTATTATATAAAAAAGTTTTTAGTGGCTGTCATATTTTATTTTAATATTAGGAGAGTAGAAGATAACAGAAGCTAGATATTTTACAATTTATACAGCTGTTCATTTAATTACATATGTGTTGAAGTCCTATAACTTCATACTCTGCTAATACAAAATAAAGATTTTGTAAAGATTTTACACTAAAAATTTACACGAGAAATGGTATTCATCCGGAGATGGTACTTTGATTTTACCTAGGTGATAGCAGTTGTTTTTCGATCTAGACATTTCCCCTTGAATACAATTTATTAATTATTTATATTATATTGTGATATAATTATAATTATTATGAAATAGAAAAAGAAACACTATGTAACGTACAATAAAAATATTAGAAATGAAAGGATCAAATTATTGTTAGGCTTATTTGAAGCAGGACAAGTTGAATATATATTATAGTTGCCAATTGGCAATAAAAATAATTTTTTTTTTTTAATAAAATTTGCAACTGTATTACATAAAAAATACAAGTAAATGTGACATTGGTAACATGACATGTGCAGCATGAAGAGAAACTACCCATTGGTAGAACTCAAATTAAAGTTATATATTAGAAGGTCCCGAGGCAATCTTCTTTCAGACGCCTCGGAGGATTATCAGGAATCGAAGAGGAAGCAAGGTTAGAAACAAGAGGGTTGGGATGATTCTGAAGTTTATTATGGAAGGATAGGTATCTGGATTGGGCCAGATCTGAAACATAAGGAACATTAAGATCTTTATGGATGATTTTGTTTGTGACAAAGTAAGGAGCGTTGAGGATTTTACGAAGGATTTTTTATTGTAAGAATTGGATACGAGAGGAATTTGATGGTTAAATAGAGCCCCTAAGCTCGATCCCGTAAGTCCAAATAGGCCTTATTATAGTCATGTATATCAGTCTTTTGTAAATAGTTAGAAGTTTAGAGCGTTTGTCTAGTAAGTGCTGCAGTAGTCGAAAACGTCGGGCGGTTTCTAGTTGTTTCAGTCTGGTATGGGAGTTCCATGTGAGTCGTTTGTCAAGGTGGAGTCGTAAGTATCGGATTTGTTCAACAGGGATAATTGGGGTGTTTAAAGGATACTGTAGGACAGGAAGTCATAGGTTTACGACGCAAGGTAAAGGTAATTTGATGGGATTTATTGGAATTTATTTTAATTCTCCAGTTTTTATACCATTCTTCATGCTTTTGATGTGTGATTGAAGAGTTTGGGATGCAATTGATTGATCATTATTAACTGATAGGATACACAGCGTAGTCATCGGCATAGGTGGTGATGACAGTGTTGGGAGTAGAATTATCATTATATAATAATATGAATTGGCAATAAGGCTCGATGTATAATATAAATTTTACAGAAATTAAAAAATTGTCCGAACTGTGGGTTTCGTTCATTTATATTATGTTGATAAAAAAAAATACAACATAAAGTACACAATACATGTAAATTAAAGTTAAACAACTTAGGCAACAAGCAGTACAATTAAATTAACAGTTGTATAATTTGTAAAACGGGGGTTGGTCTGCCGTTAGGCGGAAAGAGGGTACCACCATATTTTATTTAATTATTAAATATTTTTTTTATAAAAATTATCCCAATAGCTTGAAGATGGCCAACTAAAAAGGGCCTTAGAGGGGCCTTCAAACATAAAATTATGTCAGAGGCATTCAGATTTAATCACTTTCTTTATTGAATGTTTTAATTGAGTCTAAATGATAGATAGTTTTTAGGCGTTGCCCATTTCAACATTTTCGAGTCTAGCGGCGCGTGTACGAATCAGGATTGAAATTGATTTCGTGGCGGATTCACGTGACCAATCTCGACCTTTCCACTCTGGTTAGAATAGGTTTAGTTGTATCGATAGAATATCCCTCCTTCTCGTATGTCAAATAGTAGGAACCAGGGGATAATGGCCAAAAAAACTGTTCCAATGCTGAAATGTAGGAATATGTTTAGATGGAGAATTTTCCATGGGAATATATTTTTACTAGCTTATTACCTTATACGTTAGGTAAATAAATTAATGTTAAAAAAAAAAAGTTTTCAATTTTTTTTTCTATTCTTTTTAATCCTTAATTTCTGATCCTAAAAATGTGTAATGATATGGTGAAGGAGCTGCCACTTTTTGAAAAACTCCATTTTAACAATATCTTTGACACATTTAAAGAAAACGGATTTTTAAATAAAAGTTCTAAGAATTTGTTTCGTAATACAGATCTGGTTTAACTTTAATTGTTTATTTATTTATTAAGTTCTTAAAAAGAAAATGACATTACAAGAGAAATATGCAGCCATTTTGTAGGGATATCCTTGAGATGATAACTGAAATAATTAAAACTTTATCATGAGTCCTTATTACTTCAATTTCAATCGATAGAATAAAGTGCTAGTGGCCGTCGCGAAAATTCTAGACACCAAAAAGTATAATTAATAATAATACTAAAAATTATGTGTTATTATTTACCTATTGGACAGCAATTTTTTATTCACATATTTTTTTTATTATTATTATTGAAATTTACAACTGCATTAAATGATAAATACAACCAGTAAATATGAAACAAGAAACATGACATGTACAACATGAAGAGAAACTACCCATTGGTAGAACTCAAATTAAAGTTCTATATTAGAAGGTCCGAGGCAATCTTCTTTCAGACGCCTCGGAGGATTATCAGGAATCGAAGAGGAAGCAAGGTTAGAAACAAGAGGGTTGGGATGATTCTAAGTTTATTATGGAAGGATAGGTATCTGGATTGGGCCAGATCTGAAACATAAGGAACATTAAGATCTTTATGGATGATTTTATTTGTGACAAAGTAAGGGAGCATTGAGGATTTTACGAATGATTTTTTATTGTAAGAATTGGATACGAGAGGAATTTGATGGTTAAATAGAGCCCCTAAGCTCGATTCATTCTGGTATGAGGGTTCCAAGTGAGTCATTTGTCAAGGTGGAGTCGTAAGTATCGGATTTGTTCAACAGGGATAATTGGGGTGTTTAAAGGATACTGTAGGACAGGAAGTCATAGGTTTACGACGAAAAATAACGGTAATTTGATGGGATTTATTGGAATTTATTTTAATCCTCCAGTTTTTATACCATTTTTCATGACTTTTGATGTGTGATTGAAGAGTTTGGGATGCAATAGATTGATCATTATTAACTGATAAGATACTCGTGTCATCGCCATGGGTGGTGGTGACAGTGTTGGATATTCACGTATTAAAAAATAATTTGCAATTAGTCTAAAAACTTCGAATTCCTCCTGTATACAGTCCTTACAATCCAAAATCCTCCGTAAAATCCTAAACGCTCATTATTATGTCACAAATAAAATTATCCATAAAGACTTCAATATTCCTTTTGTTGAAGACTTGGCCCGAACTAGATATACCTCTTTTAATTCCAAACTCTTTGGTCACCACAATCCTCTAGTTTGTAACCTTTCATCTAATACAATCCTTACAACCTTCCGAGGCGTCTGAAAAGAAAGGGACCTTCTAAATTAATCTAATCTTTGAAGTGTTAGCAATGGGTAGCTTCTTCACAAGTTCTTATCATGTTATATATATTCCTGTAGCAGATTTATTTGTTGTATGTATGCATACAGTTGTAAATTTCAATAAATAAAATTTTAAAAAAATACAATAAGTCTATTGTATGAGTTTTATTTTAAAAACTTTTAGACTGTGTATACTTTCTTAATCAACTCTTATTTAAGTTGGGTTTTCTGATCATTAGTTTTAATATTTTTCTCTAATCTGTGGTCCACGTGACGGCTCTGAAAGTTAGTAAACTAAAATTTTTCTTTTTAGAGAATTGCTAATGTTAAATCTTATTATAAATTTATCTGGTCCTGTCTTTCAGCTTCATCGTGCCAGCTGGTAAAATCAAAGAGATGCCTTACTGGGACTCATTCTTCATAATACTCGGCTTACTATCATGTGATATGCCAATAACTGCAAAAGGTAAAGTTCTTAGAGAAATAACCCTCTACTATGTGTGACTATTGAATAACAAGATTGATACTTAAAACATTATATTTTTATTTGTTATATAAATTAGGCCATTATTCACCAACATTATATTTATTAGTTATTTTATTACGACGTTTCGACCATCACTAGGGCCATTTTCAAGTCTGGAAAGTTGTAATGTCATTATTAGTTAACATTTAACATTTACAAAAAAAAATTTTTATTTCAAATAATCAACTTAACTAACATTTTCATTACATAGATTTGTATACTTCTTTCTATTATAAAAGCCTTTCATGTACGTAGGCTATACGTAGGAAAGCTGGAGTTTCTAAAATACATCGGTTGGTTAAAAAGATCTGGGTGAACGAGAAATTACCTGAAGAATGGAAAGAATCTATTCTTATTCCGATTCACAAAAAGGGTCCGAGGACGGATTGTAATAACTATCGAGGAATTTCACTCCTTCCGGTATGTTATAAAATATTCACTTTAATCTTAACCAGTCGAATCACGGAATACGCCGAGGAAATTATCGGAGACTACCTATGCGGATTTTGACGGAATCGTTCGACTATTGATCAAATATTTTCTTTACGGCAAATATTAGAGAAAAAATTGGAGTATAACGGTATTGTTCACCAGCTGTAAATAGATTTTAAAAAGGCTTACGATTCTATTGACCGCCAGAAACTGTATAATATTCTAATCGAGCAGGGGATACCAAAAAAATTAGTAAATCTAGAGGGATTCTCTTTCGCCTGTCCTGTTCAATTTGGCATTAGAACATGCCATTAGGAAGGTAATGCGAACCGAGAAAGGGTTGGATCTGGGCGGGACAACATCCGTACTGGACTATGCTGATGATCTGGTACTGTTAAGCGAAGACCTTGAAACTATAAAACTAAATACGACAACGTTAATGAAAGCCGGTAAAGAACTAGGACTCGAAATAAACGTGGATAAAACAAAATATATGGTTAGCTGCAAAAATGGCGATACTACTGGTGATATCGATATAGATGGTAATATGTTTGAACAGGTAGATAAATTTAGGTATCTAGGTTCTACGATAACTAGAAAAAACGAAATTGAAGAAGAGATTAAGGTTAGACTGAAGGCGGGAAATGCTTGTTATTTTTCTGTGACAAAACTACTTAGTTCGCGCCTCTTGTCCCGAAACTTAAAAATTAGAATCTATAAAACAATTATCTTGCCTACAGTTCTTTATGGATGCGAAACTTGGCCGATTACATTAAGGGATGAGCAGCGTCTTAAGGTTTTTGAAAATAAAGTATTGCGTAGAATATTCGGACCGAAGAAGGATGAGTTAACCGGAGAATTCAGACGGTTACACAACGCCGAATTGCGTGAGCTGTATCCGGGTAATATAATTGAGGTAATTTCATCGCGGCAAATCAAATGGGATTGTAAAGTTGTTGGGCTTAGTAACGAGAGAATTCCTAAAAGGTTAATATTTGCTGTGCCGAATGGTAAGCGTCCGAGGGGTAGACCGAAGCGAAGGTTGGAAGATTGCATTAAAGCCGATCTGAAGGGATTGGGTTTGGACAGCGAACGGTGGAGGGAGGTGTGTAACAAGCGATTGGTGGTGTCGGCATCGAACCTTCGGGTTCGTTAAGCCTTATTATTATTATTATTATTTCATGTACGTAACTTTACTCATTATAAATAATTGATTATTACCTTTTTAGATATTCATTATTAATGTCGCATTATTTTTTAAGAGTTCGTATTAAGGATTAATAGTTTCCTCTACGTCATTTCTGGAGGGACTGACTTATATCGTCCAGGTGGGGATAGTCAAGGGGAGAGGGGAGAGGAGAAAATATAAATACCTTTTACGCAAACGTAATTAACAATATTCGCATATAATATAATAATTAATTTAAAAGCAATATAAAAATCATAAATTAAATAAAATAATCCACCATTGCAAAACAATAGAAGAAAAACCCCTCCCCCCTACGCCAGAAATGACGTAGGAGAAACTCTTAATGCTTAATACGAACTCTTAAAAAATTAATACGACATTAATAATGAATATCTATCTAATACAGGACTCAATTAGGTAATAATCAATTGTTTATAATGAGTAAAGTTACGTACATGAAAGGTTTTTATAATAAAAAAAAGTATACAAATCTATGTGTAATGAAAATGTTATGACATGGATCGTTAGATAAGTTAATTATATGAAATAAAAAAAAAAATTATACATGTTAAATAATAATGACATGAAAAAGGCCATAATGATGGTCGAAACGTCGTAATAAAATAGCTATAAATAAAATGTTGGTGGATAATGGCCTAATTTATAAAACAAATAAAACCTCAAGACACCAATTCTAGGAATAATAAACAAAAGAACTATATTTTTTATCATTTTTAGGTACTATCACATTCAATATACACTCCTCTATCACTGTAATATTTTTATTTATTTTTTTTGTCCTACCCTTCATCGTCTTTAAGGCTATACGGGGTATCCCCGTACCAGGGGGTGAAGGCGGGGATTAATGTTAAGTTAAAAGTACTCCAGGGCACCTCACAATGGAACGAATGCATCTTTTTGGATACAAAATTCCGTATAAGACATCCAATATGAGATCGGCAACAGTTGATGATTGATTTTTATAGCTCTGTTTGTGTGCTGAATGGATTGATACATGACACGTGTTCGGCCGACGGATTCTTCATGATAATTTAAGGACTTATTTATAATGAGGAATAATTTATAAAAAGGAATATTTATAAAAAAATCTTAATTTTCCGTTCAAGGCAAAAAAAAGTTATTGTTAAATATTGTTTGTGTATTTATATTAATGTTTAACATATCCTACGAAACTATTATAAATAGTTCTATAGAAAATTCATTAAAACCATAGGCGCAGACTTCGGGAGGGGAAGTGCCATCGCCCCTCTGCAATAAAAATATTAGAGACTATCGTTCCGCCTCTGGCTTAATAATTTGAAGAAAAAAAATAAAATTGGTTAGAAATAAGCTGCATTTTTTTTCCTCTGTTGGCATTACAGACCATGTAGATCTTTTGCCGCCTTAACAAGCCTGCTGCATCTCTACCTGTCTTGGACTATTTCTTTCCATTTATCTGTACGCAGCTCTGTTCCATCATTGTTGATTCTATCTATCCAACTGCTTTTTGGCCTTCCATATTCCAAGTCTTTTGCCTTCTATTGAGGCATTCATTGTTACCTAGAGACTTCCTGATGGATTGCTACGAGCTACATGCTCCGTCCATCTTAACCTCTATGCCTTCTTTCATAAGGGGACCCTACACGGTCAATCGGAATTGCACTAATGACGTTCCGAATTGTCGTGTAAGGTAGTGAATGAATGAACGGAAATCAAAGGTTCATTCACGAGAAGTGGAGGGGGGACTGAGGTAAAAGTAGTGGGGAGACTAACCATACTGCTGGATAGGTTAGGTTACCTAGGCCTCACAACCATTATAAATTTCTGATTTTCATTATATGTAAATAGTTAAATAATTTTTCATATCCCTTGTTTATAATTTTAAACCATCTTCAACTATTTCTTTTAAATAGTCAAGTGGGCAACAAATTAAAAAAAAATGAGGAAACTTCACAATTTACTTTAGGAAAAAAAAAACTTTAACGTTGTGTATATTTATCAGTTCTTTTCCCATTTTCCTCAACAAATTTATTATTTTCGCAATACCTTTCCTTAATTTTTGTAAGTAGTAGACTTATATTTTACTAACTTTTGTCAAAACGATTTTCTATGAGACTAACCTTACTACTAGATAGGTTAGTTTACCTAGGTCTCGTTATTAAGTAAATAATTTCATAAAAGTAAATAGTTGTTTATATCTCTAGTCTATATTATTATTAACCATTTTCAACTATTTTTTCTTTAAATAGTCAAGTAGGCAATAAATTAGAGAGAAAAAAAAGTGGAAACTTCACAATTTACTTATAGAAAAAAAATCTTTAACTGCTGTGTTTGTTTGCCATTAATTTTTCCATTTTTCTTAACAAATTGATTATTTTCGCAATACTTTTCCTAGATTTTTGTATGTAGTTGACTTATATTTTTCTAACTTTGGTCTAAACGATTTTCAGGCACTAGGAAGTAATTATTATATCTCCGTTTTTCTCTTGATGCCCAATATTATAAATGACAATGTCCAAATAAGCATATCTATGCTGCTTCTTTGTTTACAACTGAGCTAAATTGGTATCAGCAACGATAAGTAATGATCAGTAATGATTGAACGTGTAAGGGTCTTCATGATCAAAGCGATAGCGGGCAATCTTGGAACTTCTTGTGACGTTCATTCATGAATTACCGTGTAGGGTCCCCTATAGGATATTGATTGACCAGTTCCTATAAGCAGTTTCTCCATGTGTTAGTACTATGATCCCAGATCGTTCCGGTTATCTTGCGGAAGATTTTCCTCTCAAATCTTTCAAAGCATTTTTCTAGAGTGCTGGTAAGTGTCCATGTCTCATAGGTATATATTAAAAGTGGCTGTATCATAGCATTTTACATCCTTAGTTTGAAATTTCTTAGGATTTCAATATGTTTGCTCTAGTTAAACGCTGGTCTATTTCTGCCCGTTAGTAATTCATTGAGGTTCATTCTGGAGCCAAGGTATCTGAATCTTTCTACTCTCGAGAATGATTTTCCTTCTACGCAGATCCTGTTATTGGGATGGGATTTTCGGCTTATTATCATATATTTTGTTTTCTCTTCATTTACTTGTAGTCCGATCCAGTGTTGCCGTTTGTACGAGGATCCTCGTATTTGTACGAGGTTATGACGTAATGTACGAGGTACGAGGATAGATCAGCCTCGTACCTCGTACATAATTTTTGCTGACGTATGCAATGCAAGGTTATATTTTTATGAATGAAGTTTAGAATTGTTTTACGATTATTTTGACCGTATTATTTTTATATTGATATGAAATACTGAACTTCTTTTGCTTTATAGACATATCAATTGCAATTATATCTTCTTTAATTAGAGGATGATTATTATTTCCTTCATAAAACCATGATTGTATATATATGTTTTTTTTTTTAATTTTCTTGAAAATAAAATTTAAAAAAAAAATATTTTAGATTTTATTCAGTATATTATTTCCTTCATAAAACTTTTTTTATAAATATATATTTTTTAAAATGTGTAATAGAAAATTAAACAGAAATTTTTATCGAGCATAAAATAAAATACGAGAAAGTATATCCATTATTTCCTTCACAAAACTGCAATTGTAAATATATTCTAGATAAATTATTTTTTTTTTAAATTATTATCGTAATTTAAAAAAATATTTTCGATTTTTAATCGAGTAAAGTAATTAATTGAAAAATTAATTAGTATTCATAATGAACCCATCTTAAATAATGAAAAAAAAAAGTATTTTTTCAGTGGTCCACATTTATTTTGTGCGAAATATAATTGTAAGCTAAATACTGAAACAATCACAATCTATTATTTTTTTATATTATAATGGATTTGTCTAAAAGCATCAATGCCCCAATAATTAATTTGTATTGTCCTTCTAGAACCACTAACATCCTTTCATAAAAGTAGTTGTTTTGTTTTTAGAAAAAAGAAAAAAAATTAGTCTTTCCCCCAAATTAAATCTTGGATCTACTAATGAATACTTATGAAGAGTACTTTAAGAAGTTTATTTAGCTATTTTAATTTTTATATAACGTTTTCAGTAGTTTATAAAAATATATAAACTTTTTTATATATTTTATTAAGCTAATTTTACTGCTTGACCAATTAACTTAAAAAAAAGTAATGTAAAAAGGCTTTAAAATATATGAATGGAGGTAAAAATAAAAAATTCTGATCTAATTTTACTATAAAAAAAAACAATAACACTGGCATTATAACAGTGGAAGTTATGAATGAGCAAGCGTACGAGGATGTACGAGGCTTGAGTACGAGGTTTTGTCACAGAGCGCGCGGTAACACTGGTCCGATCTGCTCTGCTTCTCTTATCATTATTGTAGTGAGTTTCTCAATGTCTTCTTGATTACTTCCAAGAACAGCTGTATCAGCTACGTATCCAAGGATTTTATAATTCATTAGGACGTGGAATCCTCCATTTTCCTGTGATGTCTCTTGTTATCTTTTCCATGGCTAAGTTGAACATCGGTGTTAGTCCATCTCCCTGCCGTGAGCCCTTTCGATCTTTGAAGGCTTCATAAATGAATAAAATATCAAAACTAAAATAAGAAAAGTATACTAACTGGCTAAGCTAAGGCGTATAAGTAAACTATTTTATCAAGATACCTAAATATTCCAATTATTTAAATTTCATTTTCACATGTGATTATTTAAATATTTTCAGGTATATATAATAAGCAAAAAATAAATAAGAATTTTAAGGAAAAAATATAGAAAGATATAAACAAATTAATTTTAAATATTCAATATTATATTTGTTTGTTTCGCAATAATTATGTTGAACTTTTACACGTAATAAAAACTCCTGACAATTATTTTTTTTTTTATCCATCAGACTGCGCCAATGGCTCGTATTCATATCTAAAATGAAGTAGTAAATGTATATATTTAATTCCAGATATGATCAAGAACATGCTTTATCTTATAGAAAACTTCGGTTATGTTCTACACAGCTCAAGAATATATTATGAAGGTCGTAGTCACCCTCCTATGCTTCCGATAATAATGGATTTGTATTTCCGAAACACGTTTGATTTCGATTTTATTAAAGAAAGTATTGAAGTAAGTGAGGAAAAATAAATTAATATTTTATTGTAATAATTATTTTTAGTGTAAACACGGGATCACAAAGAAGACACTACTTACACATCATTCATTTTTAGCTCAGGTAACATACATCAATTTTATTATTATGGGCTTAAAGCTCATTGAACAAGGAATATTTTTTTTTTTTTACATATCGCGAAATATCCAGTCCCCTAGGAGGCTTATAAAAAGAATTTTAATTCAAAGGAACGACATGGTCCGGGGTGGCGGTCATAAATAGGCTAAATAGTGGCAAAACTATTTTATTAAAAGCCAATTAGACTTTTAATAAAATAGTTTTGCCACTATTTAGCCTATTTATGACCGCCACCACGGACCATCTCCTTCCTTTATAATGCAACGGTCAACTATTAAATATTCAATTTTAATTCAAATACTTATATATATATAATTCGGTACTCCGAACCACATATTTTCCTGACTCTTGGAAACTATCCATACTCAAAATGATACCGAAACCCACAAAGCCGCCAGAATACCCATCCTCTCACCGCCCTATCTCTCTTTTAGGCATTATGGGCAAAATCCTAGAAAAACTCATCTTAAAACGCCTGTATCCCATCCTAGATTCTAATAACATAATCCCAGATCACCAATTTGGATTCCGTACATCTCACTCCACTATTCAGCAATGTCATCGTGTGGTAGACGTGGTTTCCTCTGCATTGGAGCGCGGAATGTACTGCACGGGAGTCTTTCACGACGTTGAACAGGCGTTTGATCGAGTCTGGCATCTGGAACTGATGTACAAACTCCGTAAATTCCTACTACCTACATATTTCCTCATTATCCGTTCCTACCTTAGTGATAGATACTTCAAAGTAAATCACAAAAATGCCTGTTCATCTCTTTTATCTCAATTTGCTGGTGTTCCACAAGGTAGTATCCTAGGTCCTATCCTTTACACAGTTTATACAGCTGACATTCCAACCCATCCCAACACAGTCATCACCACCTATGCCGATGACACGTGTATCCTATCAGTTAACAACGATCCATCAATTGCATCCCAAACTCTCCAATCACACATCACAAATCTTGAAGAATGGTGTCAAAACTGGAGGATTAAAATAAACTCCAATAAATTCCATTAAATTACCTTTACCCTGCGTCGCAAACCTATGACCTCCTGTCTTACAGTATCCTTTAACAATTCCCCACTTATAACAGTTGAACAAATTCGTTACCTAGGACTCCACCTCGACAAACGACTCACATGGAATCCTCATACAAGACTGAAACGACAAGAAACTGCTCGACGTTTCCGACTACTCCAACACTTACTAGACAAACGCTCTAAGCTTTCACTCAATTACAACGCTCTAAGCTTTCACTCAATTACAAACGACTCATATATATGACAATTATAAGACCTATTTGGACTTACGGAATTGAGCTCTGGGACTCCACTAAACCATCGAATTCCTCTCGTATCCAATCCTTACAATCCAAAATCCTTCGTAAAATCCTCAACGCTCCTTACTTTGTCACAAACAAAATCATCCATAAAGACCTTAATGTTCCATATGTTTCCGATTTGGCTCAATCCAGATACCTATCCTTCCATAACAAACTGCAGAACCATCCGAACCCTCTTGTTTCAAACATTGCTTCTTCCTCTATCCCTGATAACCCTCCGAGGCGTCTGAAAAGAAGATGGCCTCGGGATCTTCTAATATAGAACTTTAATTTGAGTTCTATCAATGGGTAGTTTCTCTTCATATTTTACATGTCATGTTACCAATGTCACATTTACCTGTTGTATTTTTAATATAATACAGTTGTAAATTTCATTAAAATTAAAAAAAAAAATTCAATTACTTACGTGGATCCAATCAGTAACGACGCATCAATTGCGTCCCAAACACTTCAATCAAACATCACTGTGAGGGGGTCCTATATTAGAGGATTTGAGCTGCGAACTATAACCGGTGGCTACACTGAGTTGAGGAAACAGTAGGAAGGTTCGAAAAACTGGTGAAGGAACCATGACTCACATGTTAACATTACAATCTGTTAAATAGAAGCCAACAGAAGAATACACCTTTATTAGGATAACTCCCCACGAGCAGGTAACACATTTACTGATATGTTTCGCAAACTGAACTACGTTGTGTAGTTCAGTAATGACGGTTAGTTCTCATTATCGATTTCCTATCAACCACATGGATCGATTGGCATAGAGGAATTATATAGTTGTTTCACTTCAGTGAGGATATCTTGCTAGGACGTCAAAGGATACGATACCTTCTGGAGGTTGACGTCTGGTTGGGAGTTTTTTTTGCCTGCGATATTATTTTACCATATTTACTTTCGAGCATCCTACTAATTATCATTATACAGACATATATCTAGCATGCGCATATTGTTATTGTTATTTTAGTTATTTATATGTAGATTGTTATTTTGATAGATTTTTTATTTGTGAGTTTCTATTTATTGTGAATGTTAATCGATTGTTAATATATATTCATATAGTGTGAATGTCATTTTACCTCACTGAAACCAATGTCCAAGAGACAGATTGTTATAATACTCAACAAAAAAAAAAAAAAAAAATATATATATATATATATATATATATATATATGTATGTATTCATTGTAGTTAGTATTTAGTAGATTATATTTATTAAGTTTGTATCTAATTTAGCTTATAGATATCGTTACATGTTGAACAATACAGTATACTAGTAGAAGCCGAGCTTCCAATGCTCGGGGTCTCAGGTTAGAACCTCGGCTCATGGCAGAAAATTTATTAATCCGTTTCATTGGCCGTGAGGCGACCCTGGGTCGGGAGGCCCTCCAGGGCACACCCAGCCTCTATAAAGTGGGTACCCTTAATTAAATAATTGATTAAGGGAGAAAACCTGGCGGTTGAGCGTGATCTCGGTCAAATCACCTCCTTGCACAACCTTTGACCTAGAAGCAGTGCTTTCCCTAAATAGTACTGAACCCCAGACCCTTCATGGGTTGTAGTGGTATAGGATTGTTTCAATAATATTATGTATATTATACCTGTTATGATAATTGGTATAATTCATAACACAGGCGAATCTATGGGGGGGGGAGGCTTTCGGCCTGAAGCAAAAAAAATGGTAAAATATAACCTTGTTTTACAGAAAAAGTATTCTAGTTCGTGTAATTTACTTAATAGGACTTCAAGAACCACTTGAACACCATTTCATATTGGTAGTTAATTTCTTTCTTTTTTTTTCAAATTAATTATTATTATATGTATATGAAAAAAAAATCTTTCGGGCTGAAGCCCCCCCCCAAAAAAAAAAAATTAAATCCTAGATCCGCTAGTGATTCATAAATAAACATGTCAATCAATCAACGGATTTCAGATAATTGAGAAGGAGCTAATACACTGGAAGAAAAACAAGACGGTAATTGTAAATTACGAAGGTATGGAATACGAGATGTATTATTACAACAATATTTCCGAGGGACCGAGGCCCGAAGCATTCAGGTATGTTTAAATAAAATTTGTAAACAAATTTAAAATATTTTTAAAAACTTATGTCATGGCAGAGATGATATGTCTTCGGGAACGTTGGCCAATTCGAGAGAAGAATTACAAGATCACTTCACATGCATCAAAGCGGCATCCGAATCTGGCTGGGCCTTTTCTACCAGATGGTTCGTAGTCCATGGTTTTAACCATGGTATGTATTTTTTTTACTTTTACTTTATTTTTGTATCCATACACATAGGCGTAGATTACGGGGGAGGGGAGAGGGAGGGAACCCCCACCCCCTTCAATAACAATGTTGAGGAGCGAAAATATTGTTGCATCCCCCTCACCCCTTATAATTTAATAATAATAATAATAAAAGGCTTAGCGAACCCGAAGGTTCGATGCCGACCACCAATCGCTTGTTACACACCTCCCTCCACCGTTCGCCGTCCAAACCCAGTCCTTCAGATCGGCTTTAATGCAATCTTCCCACCTTCGCTTCGGTCTACCCCTCGGACGCTTACCATTCGGCACAGCAAATATTAACCTTTTAGGAATTCTCTCGTTACTAAGCCCAACAACTTTACACGCCCATTTGATTCGCCGCGATGAAATTACCTCAATTATATTACCCGGATACAGCTCACGCAATTCGGCGTTGTGTAACCGTCTGAACTCTCCGGTTAGCTCATCCTTCTTCGGTCCGAATATTCTACGCAATACTTTATTTTCAAAAACCTTAAGACGGTGTTCATCCCTTAGTGTAAGCGGCCAAGTTTCGCATCCATAAAGAACTGTAGGCAAGATAATTGTTATATAGATTCTTATTTTTAAGTTCCGAGACAAGAGGCGCGAACTAAGTAGTTTTGTCACAGAAAAATAACAAGCATTTCCCGCCTTCAGTCTAACCTTAATCTCTTCTTCAATTTCGTTTTTTCTAGTTATCGTAGAACCTAGATACCTAAATTTATCTACCTGTTCAATCATATTACCATCTATATCGATATCACCAGTAGTATCGCCGTTTTTGCAGCTAACCATATATTGTGTTTTATCCACGTTTATTTCGAGTCCTAGTTCTTTACCGGCTTTCATTAACGTTGTCGTATTTAGTTTTATAGTTTCCGTGTCTTCACTTAACAGTACCAGATCATCAGCATAGCCCAGCACGGATGTTGTCCCGCCCAGATCCAACCCTTTCTCGGTTCGCATTACCTCCCTAATGCCATGTTCTAATGCCAAATTGAACGGGACAGGCGAAAGAGAATCACCCTGTTTTAAACCCGAACGAACCTCAAATTTTACGGACAAATTATTACTGATTCTAACTTTATTGAGTGTCTCCGTCAAGCACATCCTGACTAGATTTACTAGTTTTTTTGGAATCCCCTGCTCGATTAGAATATTATACAGTTTTTGGCGGTCAATAGAATCGTAAGCCTTTTTAAAATCTATATACAGCTGGTGAACAATACCGTTATACTCCAATTTTTTCTCTAATATTTGCCGTAAAGAAAATATTTGATCAATAGTCGAACCATTCCGTCTAAATCCGCATTGGCGCATTGGTAGTCTCCGAGAATTTCCTCGGTGTATTCCGTGATTCGACTGGTTAAGATTAAAGTGTATATTTTATAACATACCGGAAGGAGTGAAATTCCAATCCGTCCTCGGACCCTTTTTGTGAATCGTTATAAGAATAGATTCTTTCCATTCTTCAGGTAATTTCTCGTTCACCCAGATCTTTTTAACCAACCGATGTATTTTAGAAACTTCAGCTTCCCCGCATGCCTTAATTAGTTCAGTAGGAATATTATCGTTTCCCGCTGCTTTATATGATTTTAATTTTCCGATAGCTACTTCAACTTCCTCTTTACTTGGTCCTTCTATTAACGGTTCAGCACTCTGGTACTCAGAAGAAGGACACAGATCATAATCTCCCGTATTTAAAATATTGTCAAAGTGGTCCTTAAATGTATTCAATATGTCAACCGGATCGGTCAGAATATTGTTATTATCATCCCTAATTCCAGACGTTACGGGCCCTACACATTTACGTGATCTGTTTATACCTTTGTACATGTCTCTTACGTTATTTTCGATTCTATTAGTTTCTATTTCAATTATTTTATTTTTAAGATACTCCCTTTTTTATTTTTGAACAATTTTGTCGTTTCGTTCTTTGAGGTTCGGAAGTATTCCAGATTATCTTCGCTAGGATTATTTAGAGCTTTTAATTTAGCGGCTTTTCTTTTTTCGCACATGTTATTTTCCTTTTTTCCTAGACACGAGTTACCGACCGCTTTAATATTATCCCTGATCTCTACCCATAACTTGTCAATATCCTCGTGGTCCTCGTCAGTAAGCTCTAAAGCTTCAAACCTATTCTTAACATCTAGCTCGAATTGGTTTCTAATTGATGGATTTTTTAATTTTTCCAAATTAAAATTCTCAAAATCGAAACGGTTTTCTTTTCTCTTTTTTATATTAAGTTTTTGTCGAAGTTTCGCGATTACTAATTCATGATCTGACCCACATTCTGCTCCGCGATAAGACCGTTTGCTTTGCCAGCTGTGTTGTATCAAGACATGATCGATTTGATTTCGTGTTTGCGAATCCGGTGATGTCCAAGTATATTTATGAATATCCTTATGTTTAAACGTCGTACTTTTAATTATCAGGTTTTTCGAGATGGCAAAGTTTATCAGACGGATCCCATTATAATTACTATATTCGTGCAAACTTTCTTTACCAATTGTCGGAATATAAACTTCTTCCCTTCCTACCTTTGCGTTCGCGTCACCTACAATTATTTTCATGTAGTTTCGCGGTAGTTTATCATAAACCCATTCGAGTTTCTAATAATTTAAAGTAAAAAAAAAAAATTTAAAATAAATAATAAATAAGCTACATGAATGAATAAAATGTGTAAACTAAAATTGATTAAGAAGTCTAGCTGGCTAGTCTATGGCCTAGTAGTAGAAAAAATGCATACTTTTTGATTTATTCGCAAATAAAGTTTATTTTCCTTCATAACTTTTTTTCCGAAAATTTCAGAGGGATATGAGTATTTTTCGCATGTGAAGGAGATTAATATCTTCAAAATGAGTGGTAAATCATTTGATTTAATGAAGAATTGACGAAGTTATGACGTAACGACAAAAAAACACCTCTTCGAAATAATATATAAGATAATAATTATTAAACGAATCGGCAGTTATTCTTCCAAAACATTTGGCTATAAAAAAAAAATTATTGATGTATTTTTCTTCCAATTTAACGCTATTTTAAACTACTACACGGGCGGATCTACGGGGGGAGGGGGCTTTCGGGCTGAAGCCCTCCCCTCCCAAATGGTAAAACATAACCATGTTTTATAGAAAAAAAATTTAAAAATACTTCTTAAAGTATTATTGTTCGTGTAATTACATTTAAAAGGACTTAATGAATCACTTAAACACCATTTCATATAGGTAGTTAGTTTCTTTCTGTTTTTCCAAAGTAATTATCGTAATTTTTATGAAAAAAAAAGCTTCCGGGCTGAATCCCCCCCAAAATTAAATCCTGGATCCGCTAGTGAACTACTATAATGTACTTCAATCAGCAACGTTTACCTAAATAGAACTGTTACACGTTTTAGTCTGTAACTTTTTACGTAAACCAGTGTACCCTAAATTTTGATTTTTTGTATCTAGCAACATGGTACATTAGAAAAGATATGAAATTTAATTTCCCGTTTAAAAGCAGAGATAATAATTGTGTTTCAGGCACGGGCGGATCTACGTGGGGAGAGAGGGCTTTCGGGCTGAAGCCGACCCCAAAATGGTAAAATATAACCATGTTTTATCGAAAAAAAAATATTAAAAAATTATCTCTCAAAGTATAATTGTTCGTGTAATTACATTTAAAAGGGCTTTACTAATCATTTAAACACCATTTCATATGGGTAGTTAGTTTCTTTATTATTTTCCAAAGTAATTATCGTTATTTTTCTGAAAAAAAATCTTTCGGGCTGAAGCTCCCCTCCCCCAAAATTAAATCCTCGATCCGCTCATGGTTTTAGATAGAAAACTCTCGTTTTCAGAAAAATAATTAACTGAGCCATCGAGAGAAGAAAATAATTTTTAAACGACTAGTCTAAGGAGAACATATGAACTGAATTTTATCTTTTCAGTCAGCGTTTAGAAAAAGACTCTAATAAAGCAATTTGTACAAATATTTTGGTCTATTATGTTAAATTGAATATTGTAATCGACCCAGGAAAAACAATTAATTCCTCCCTTACATAATACATAGAATCTATTGGTTTACTATTACCTCACTAAAGAAAATTGTTTGCGAATTATTCGCATGGGCCAACTAGTTATTAATAATTATAATTAATATAATAATAATAAATGATGTTGAATGGAAAGATGAATATACATTTCTTTTTATGATAGGAAGTCGAAGTAATACTAGAACACCTGATATAATTCCTGTTGATTTAAACGCAATCATGCATAGAAACTTTTGCCTTCTACAAAAGTGGTACAAAAGAATGGGAGATCAACACAAATCTAAAGAATATTGGGTGAAAGCAGAGGAATTATGTTCTGCAATAAATACTGTAAGTACTTTAATATAAAGAACGTATAATAGTATTGACCTACATAAGGAGAATCATACAACTTCTTCAAATGATAATTTCAATTACTGTAGTTATTATAAAATTTTCGATTAATCAATAAAAAAAAATAAAAAATGCTTGCCTACCTTCGGTTGTGAGGAAGCAAAAGGAAATGGCCTTTTTTTTAAGAGAAAGCAGTAAATGTTTAAAATTCTATAACTCTGCAACGAACGATCGATTTCGATGACATATTTTTCATTCTGTCGGCAGATCAGGAATCTTTCAAATAAATGTGGGTATTATCAGTCAGAAATTCTGTACTTTTTTAGTTATCGTCAAATAAAATATTGATTTCATCGTAACATTTTTCAGCTTTGTTTCCGGGAAAGTATGTTATACAGATAAATTAAAAGGGTTTCAAGGGGAAGACTTTAGCCAAGTTTCGTTAAAATTGGTAAAGCCGTTTTTGCGCTACAGTTTATAGCAATACATTTTTTTGCGGCTTTGAACAGAAAAACATTTACATTTTTATTTTTTTGTACATATATAAAATTATCGTAAGACAGAAGTAATATCCCAGAAACCTTCCCAGGTGTGTACGGAACAACTTCCCAAAGTTTCATGGCGATCGGATGAATGGTTTAGTAATGCACAAAGGACAAACAGACAGACATACATTCATTTTTATATATATATAGATTATCATAAATTAATAAAAGCTTCTAACCATTGCTTTAAACATTTGATGACGGCAAAAGGGAAAATGCGTCAAGGAGGAATAATTAGTCCAATCAAGATAGGTATCAAGATATGGTATTTTATCATTAAAAGAAAAACCGAAAGTGTATTTTTAAAATGATAAACTTCAATAATAAAGATCTAAAAGTAAAAGCTAATGTAATTGAACCACATTGATGAACATTAGAGTTGCCCAAAATCGGTCTCCTAACAGTTGCAAGACCAAGACCAGGACTGGTAAAAAAAATCGATTTTTCAAATAAAAATTAAGACAAAATAGTTACTAATACTTGACAATCTTAGTTACTATATGTTAATAATTCGTATAACCAGTATACTTTTGCATTTAACTCCTCTAATTCATCATTAGGGCTTAGTTAGGTTTTTCGTATCTAAAAAATTACACCAATATCTCTATAGTAATAAGCTAATAAGAAACTGCAAGACTGTTGCAAGACTCTTGCGCAAGACCAAGACCATTACCAAGACTGAGTTTGTAAGACCAAGACTCGTCTCGGTCTTGCATTTGGGCGACACTAATGAACATTCCAAAAAGTGTTTACATTGATTTTGTTTTACGTTTTGTAGAGAATTTAGTAAGCTTTCAAATACTCGTGTATATAATTATTCACAAATTATGAATTCATTTGTAACATCTCGAATCATTGAGACGGAACCATCTGATGGTTTGAGACCTCCCTCTTTTACATTCGCTTTTATTCAAGTCCCAGTATAAAATTAGAAATCAAAATTGCGATTCGCGGATTCTACGTGATATTCTCTTTCTATTGATACCTCATTCGTCAAAATCCATCACTCCTCAGAGCCGGAAAAGGGATATATATTTCAGAAAGAATATATAGGAAGGTAGTATAGTGTAGTAGTGATATTTATAAAAAAATAATATTTAATAATCCCCACATATATTATTACAGTAAGGCTCGAAATCGGTTTTGTACCAAATATAAGCTCCTGTCATGCTCATATACCATGAATGGGGTACCGTTGGATTCAGAATTTCACGAGGGGTTAGCGAATCGTATTCTCCACTTTTGTTTTTCTTTATAAAATAAATAAAGTCGATACAAACATTTTGCTAGGCTTCAATACAGGAACGGTGGTAGGTCTGTAGATCGATACGGGACAAATTGGACTTGGAAGATTTTGATGCGTACAGCAAGACCCGGATCCTGCGTTTTTAAGACTCAAAACGTAATATTTTCGAGATAATGCATGGCATAGGGTTAGCATCCACACATCCTTACATTAATTGTAGTACTGTCATTGGATACATGTCTCATTTCGTCGACTTGAGGTCTCTATGATCGAGACAGGAGAAGTTTATATTATTTATCGATGGTGCTTTTGATCGGCAAGCCATATCATCGTTAATCCTTCACCAAATCTCAAGATTGAGCCACCAATTTCGAAGGCTTCCTTCTCCTTCAGGCGGGCAAAATAGTCCAATCACCCCAAAAATTCAGACAAACAAGTTATGAAAGAAAAGAAACTTTATTTGCGAATAACTAAAAAATTACACACATATCCCTGGGTTATTCCCATGATTATATAAAACATTACTAAATTATCTACAAAAGGGAAAAAAATCATTGAAATCGGACAATTTTTTGCAAAGATTCAGCTTATTGAAATTTGTAAATATATTGGTTCCAAACGAAAATGAAGATTTAAATTAATTTTGTTTCCTTTGTTGATTATATTTGTCGATAAAGTAAGAATTGATTCCTTTATCTTTTGATACTTTGCATTATTTTATTTTATTATTAATTTGGCATTTGATAACAATATACCGTGCGAATTTTTCGCACGTGCCTACTAGTTTATATAATAATAACTAACGATTAACTGAAGATTGCTATTTATAATAATTAAATATGTATCAGGAGCTAACAATATTACTGTCTATAAATCATAGCGTTATTTAAGTTAAAGATTCATATTGTTTATAAACTATAAGCTTTGTAAATATGCAGGTGCTTTGGAATGAAAGAATAAACATATGGAAGGATTACGATTTCAGAAACCAAAAATTAAGGAATTATTTTTACTTGTCAAATTTTATGCCATTATTTACAAGATCATACAAACACCGCCCAAATGAGATGACTCAAATGATACTGAACTATCTAAATAAGTATAACATGGATCGATATGACGGTAAGAATCTAGGCGATAGAAGACACTAGGGATGGGCGATAGTCGATATAACTATCGATATATCGATGGTTTAAAACTGTCGATAGTCCTAGTGAATATCGATAGTTCGTATCCTCCCATTAGACAAAAATTATTTTAAAATTGTATATACTTAAAGGAATAATTTTAATAACACGCCTTCATTCTTCAACCCATTTATTGATGTTCAAGATATAGTGATAATATAGCAATGTAAAAGTCAAATGTTCGATAATGTAAAACGGGTATTGTGTAATGGAAACGCCACATTAAGAAAATAAATTTATGGAAGTGTGAAGGTGTGGTTAGGAACGGTTTCATGGCCACGGTCCCTAATTATGAAAAAAAACTCATTTCCGAATCCATCCACATTCACATGGAACAGAATACTGTTAATCATAAAGTGGATAAAAACTGCATTTTTTTAACATATGTACACATTTTAAATCTTATAAGTGAAATCTTATGTATTACATCGTATTATTTTTATCTACTTTCAATTATTATCGATTAATTCAATTTAATTAATTGTTCTTAGTATTTCCGCTTTGTATGATCTCTCTTTTATTTTATATTTACATTATACATCAATGTATGATGTTTTCACGTTGTATTCATTTTACTTTTTAACCATGTCTCAATATCATCTAATATTTAAATGTAATTTTCTTACATATGTACAACTAAATATAATTATAAAGGAAGGAGATGGTCCGGGGTTGCGATCATAAATCGGCTAAATAGTGGTAAAACTATTTTTATTGAAAGCCGACGTTTCGACCCGACTTTGCAGGTCTTCTTCAGAGCTAGAACGGACAAGATACAAAAAGATAGAGAATTCTGGCAGTTAAATAATATTTAGACAAAATTTATAAACAATGTGAATAAGCTTATTAAAATTATAAACAGTAAGTACATTAAAATATGAACAAAGTAAGCGAAGTAACAAGATCCTAAACTGAAGTAAATAGATGCTAACAATTGTTGTAGTGTAATATATAATAAATGCAAATGTGAATATACTTATACAGATCTACAGGAGAGATTGAAAGAAAAGGAAAAAGGATATAATATGAAATAATAGACGTAAAGAAATGTGGAGAAAGAAAACCAAAAATTAAGTAAATAAAATTGAAGAATAAAATTAGAAACTTACAGGTGTATTCATCTAGGAATTTCTCTTAGAACTGGAAAACCAAGGGTAAGGGTCAGGTATAAAGGAAGCTGAATTGTTAGAAAAATGGGGGAAAACCTAGAAAATTACAGTATCTAAATTATGAAGATATGGATGGAAACAATAGAAAAATACTATATCTATGAAATATTAAATTATAAATATATACATATACATATAAAATAGAATTGAGAGATTATAGATAGGAGTACAATGTGAATAAACCCAAAACTGGCAAAAGTAAAAAATAAATATAGAAATAACTTCATTTACATACATACATTGCAGAACTAACTTAGAAGTATATAGAGGGAAAAAATTAATAATTATAATTATATTTGGTTATACATATGTAAGAAAATTACATATGAATATTAGATAATATTGAGACATGGTTAATAAGTAAAATGAATACAAAGTGGAAATAGGATGATCATACATTGATGTAGAGGGTAAATATAAATTCAGAATAAAATAAAATAAATAAAAGAGAGATCATACAAAGAGGAAATATTTAGAATAATGAACAATTAAATGAATAATCAATAAAAATTGAGAGTAAATAAAAATATAAATAATAGAATATAATATATAAGTTATTTTTCACTTATAAGATTTAAAATTTGTCTATATGTTAACATATAACTGCCACAATTCTTAATCTTTTTGTATCTTGTCCGTTCTAGCCCTGAAGAAGACCTGCAAGGTCTGGTCGAAACGTTGGCTTTAAATAAAAATAGTTTTACCACTATTTAGCCTATTTATTACCGCAACCACGGACCATCTCCTTCCTTTATAATGCAACGGTCAACTATTAAATATTAAATAAATATAATTGTAATTATTCATATTTTTTTTCCCTCTCTATACTTCTAAATTTCTCTTGTCTCTAAATTTATAAATATGAACTTCTAGGTACTTATTACTTCATCCATTTTTGTTTTTATTCACATTGTACACTTATCTATACTTTCTTGATTCTATTTGATATGTATTTCTATATATTTATAATTTATTATTTCATAGATATAGTATTTTTTCCCCTTGTATCCATCCACATCTTCGAATTTTAGATACTGTAATTTTCCAGGTTCTATTTTTTTTCCTTTACCCAAACAGGTCATGAAATTTCCCCAATACCTACCTTTACCCTAATTTTCCATATATTACATTACAACAATTGTTACCATCTATCTATTTACTTCAGTTTAGGATCTTGTTATTTAGCTTATTCTATTAATATTTTAATGTATTTACTGTTTATAATTTTAATAAGCTTATTCACATTAATTATTATATTTTGTCTAAATATTATGTGACTTCCACAATTATCTATATATTTTTGTATCTTGTCCGTTCTAACCTTTCTTTTTTGGTGGGTAGAGGGGGGACCTCCCCTTCCTCGCCTTTAAGGCTATATGGGGTTTTCCCGAGCCACGGGATGTGGGCGGGGATTTAAAAGACTCCCTCGGCACCGAGACGTGAACTCGTCACAATTTTAAATAAGTTGTCTCATATATCAGGTTGCCGGGCAATGGCGGTGCTGTGCACACACGTTAGCCCGTTCGGCCACCTAGCCCGTCCGTTCTAGCCCTGAAGAAGACCTGCAAAGTCGGGTCGAAACGATGGCTTTTAATAAAATAGTTTTACCACTATTTAGCCTATTTGTGACCGCCACCCCCCGGACTTTCTTTCGTACGCATCAAAGTTTCAAAAACTATTAAAAAATATATATAATATATAGAAAATTATTCATACAAGAGGTTATTACAACGTTTATTGCATTTTAAAACTGAAGTGCCATTTATAAAACGAGATTTTTTTTTTTCATCACAAGCTGTGGCCTGCGGGACTTAGTGGAGTTCTCAATATGACCCGCAGGCCAAAACGTTTGAAGATCCCTGGTATAGATAGATTCATCATTTCTATTGAATATAAAAAAAACGGCTTAAAACATTTTAAAAACATCGAAAACACAAACAGAGGCGAAACGCAAAAAAAATCTGGTGCACGCATCACACGACGTTCCCTTGCCACCCTCAATAAGTATTGTCGGACAAAGGGGAAATGAAAAGTAGTAGATAGTTCCCAGTATTTACTCCTTTATGTGACATTGTGTGAGAGAATTAGAAGAAATATATAGGAATGTGAGATTGTACGATGAATTGTACTCAATTATGCAGTAGACAAATTATTCATTGAAAAGTCTCATCGATAAACAATCGATGAAGAAGGACTCTGGAAAAAGGACGGAGCAGGTAGCAACAGCTGGAGGAGGACGCCGGAGAGGAGAGAAGGCACTTGAGGCTGAGATATTGAGGCGGAACAACGTATCTGGGGAGAGAAGTATACTACAAGAATTAGAGGATCGAGTCTATAGTTATAACACTTTAATAAAGTCAATTTATTACAGTTGTAGAAATAAATTATTTTGTTTGACTGAAAGGACTGAAAAGTCATTTATTTATTTAGTTTTCCTATATGCCTCAAGATTGAAGAATAACAAACTAGGTGAGTCAATTTATTTAAAGTGTATTTACTAAGTCCCAAATTTCATATATATACTCTTATTGTTTCTTCTCATTCGGAGTCACAAAAGTATTAGGTTCCCGAATTCCTAAAAACAGTTAAACACACTCAAAAAGTCTATATCCAGTGCCGGGGTTTTGTTTTAATATTCACGAATGTAAATAACCTAGTTATCCGAAAAAACAGAAGAAATATTCACTATTCCCGCAAACACAAATTATTTACGTTTAAGTTTTAATATGTTATTTACAATTGGCGCCGAACAGAAGTAAACTGTTGGTTGGGTCGCGGAAGAATAATTAACATTCAATTAATTAAAAAATATATAAGTTTGTTTATTTCGAAATTTCAAAATGGTGTCGCGCAAACACCACGCTAAAATGTTGAAACAGTCTAATTCCAACCAAAAACAGGTAACTATTTGCAATTTTGAGATTAATGCCTCACGTATATATAAATCATGCATTCTCAAACAAAGGAACAAGTAACATCCCAGCAAAATGCTTTCATGGCAACCTTTTTGGCTCCATTCACATCTGTAAAACAGGAATTAAGATCGGACATAATAAACTGGAGTAACAAATTTAATAAACTAGATAAAACAATCACAACGTCCAACCAAGAAGTTCTGAAGTGCATTAACAAAAATCACACAGATGCAAAGTTAAGGTATCAAACTGCCCTTTTTAATGAAACCAATAATAAACAAGAAACCAAGTCTGAAGATGTCACTATTCTAAAGAGCTCACCTATTCAAGATGGTGAACTACTAGGAAGTGATAATGATGAAAGTACTATGGAAACTAAAGATGGAGAGGATCCTACAAATGTACAAAGTATTGAAAACATTGTAGTTGATGATAATGGACATTTAGATGGAAGTCCTACTGATGAAGATATAAAGGAAACAACTAATGATGGAAAGGATTGTGGTACAACTGTTATTTTAGAAGAATCCATGACCGAAATAATCAATGATAATGAGCCATCTGGAGCTGATAAAGAGAACATTTATGAAGAAAAAGAATTGAAAATGAATTACTGAAGGAAGATAAGTCAAGGTGTGATAACATTAACTGATTTGCCAGTAATAGATGAGACTGATTTTGACAATATAAGTCTTTTATCTTTATTAAACACTTTATTCAAAAATATTACAATTTGTCACAGTTTAAGGACACTTATAATAGAGTTCAGAGATTGCATTCATACCGTATATACAAAAATATAAATAAATAAAGTAATAACAAAAGAATAAGAAGAAAGAACAAAAGAGTAAAGAAAAAAAAATATATATATACACATAAGTAAATAAAAATAGAAATAAAAGTAAAACAAACACCTTATATAAAACATACCATTATTTACAATTTGCCAGGTGATCTCCGAACCAATCCTGTCCCCTCCACATGTGGAGGGAAAAGGGAGGCTTAGGAGATCCCTACGCTTCTCCCTCAGCCACTTCACTGGTATTTTAAACCAGCGGAGGATGAGTAAGAGCGCTACAGCCACAGACACTCATGACTTGAGTGGAGAATCTGGCCATTGCTAGAACTCCAAAATATCCATATTTACAAAAGGTCTCGTGGCCACTGCCGCTTTAACCTACGAAGGGGATTGTAGGGATGGGTGGTGCTTGATAGGGATTGTACAACGGGATTTGGGTGATGAGAAAGGTTCTGGTGAAATTTGGAAAATTTGGCTGGGATAAGATCAAGAATAAATGGGATATTAAGGTCATGATGTAGGGTTTTATTGGTTACATAGAAGGGAGCATCGACTATTGTACGGAGGACTTTAGACTGAAAGGATTGAATGCGTTTGATGTTAGAAAATTTAGCTGTTCCCCATAGTTCTAGTCCGTAAGTCCAGATGGGTTTCAGTATTGTCTTGTAGATCAGTAATTTGTTTTCACCAGAAAGTTTAGATTTTCTATTCAGTAGTCTATATAGCTGGCCATATCGTCTGTTAAGTTCCTGTCTTTTAAGTCTGGTATGTGGATTCCATGTTAGTCGTCTGTCTAAGAGAAAGCCAAGATTACAATATAAGTGAAGAAGAAAAAGGAGAAACTTTAACCGACATCACAACTAATAATAGACCTTCTCAAACTAAGGACAAAGTTATATACATCAGGGATCCAGAAGAAATTAAAGCTGATGAGGGACCTTAACGGATAAAACAAAAAATTGGTGTTATAGAACCAGGTTAGGAGAATAATAAAATATTTTGGAAATTTATGGTTATAAAAACAGGTTTCGTCTTATGGATATAAATTCAAAAATAAATAATAGTAATAAACAAACTGGTTTAATAATAAATAATAGGGATTACTCCTAAATTCATTTCCATGGTAAATATAAGCTAGTTTCTTTGTCAAATTTTGTATTCACTTTTAATTAGGGATAATAGGATTTAAATGTTCACCTTAAACTATCCTGTAATTTTTCTCGTACACCTATTTTTTTTTAATAAGGGTATTTTTATTTGTTTAAATACCCTTATAAATACAAATTTTAATTTTCTAGTCAAATCCTTCGGGTTTGGTACCATTGGTGCCGGGTTTAACTGATAAAATTGAAAAAAACTTTAAAAAAATATGATATAAATGAAATCAGATTTGGGAAAAAACCTATTAATAAATTATATAGTAGAACTAAGGATATTATTCCAAAAGAAAAACTAACTAATATTGTTTATAAAATACGATGCGAGGATTGTGAAAATAAAGCATATTACGGACAAACCTCACAATGGTTTGAACGTAGGATACAGCAACATAGACAAAATTGCAGGTCTAAAACGACAAAATCAAAATTAGCCACAGGATTATCGCAGCATACCACAAAAAATGGACATAAATTTGATTTCGGTACTGCTTCCGTGTTGCATAGAGAACAAAATATTGGGAAACGTAGAATCATTGAATCCATTTTTATCACTAAAAATCTAAAACATTCAGTGAATCAACAGACAGATGTTGATAATTTAAACACGTTTTATGCTAGCACAATTGACAAAATTAATATATAACATACTGATATAAAACAGCTGATCACTAACCCCTCCACCCCACTCCTTATGTAAGTAAATCCAGTCCTGTATGAATGCCCTATTGAAGAACAATACTTTCTTGATACCGTCTGCAAATAGAGGTATATAAATCGAAAATTAAAAATTTTTAAATTAATTATAGCAGTCTATTTTTAATTTATTAATTATATATTATAATTTTTAGAAACGGAAAACGACATTCTTTGAAATAAAAGAATGAATTAGGACGAATCATATCGTAATGACAAATTTTAAAAATTTTATGGCGCGGTGCATGGTAGGTGGATGATACAAGTTTATTGTCTGAGGCTATACTTGAATGGTAAAAAGTAAATTAAAATTTAGTTTGCAGGTTCTTGAAAATGGCTCCTGAAGCCGAAACGTTGAATAAACATACATGAAATAAATAAAAAAAACTGTGTTTTTTTGGTGACCTATGGCCTAAAATAGACATATGTTAAACAAATTTTAATTTTTATATAGCTGTAATCTAATGAACTAAAATAATGTATAGAGATTTCAAAAGAAAAATTAAATTTTACATACTGTGATATAATAAATAGGCCTTTTGTTATTTTAATGGTTTTAATGATTTTTTAGCTTTAGCTTGGTTAAAAATTCAATTCAAAAATTTTATAATAGCCCAACATATCCAGAAAATAATTTCTATTCAAAATTGAGCGGTAAGTGAAAGTTGTGTGTTGCGCGCACCAGATGTTTTGTTTTTATTTTAAATTTTCATTGTATTTTTTTTTTCAGGTGGATTACCAGCTTCAACAGAATATTCTGGCGAGCTTTGGGATTTCCCAAATGCATTACCACCTCTTCAATACTTTCTTATCACAGGCCTCGATCTGATTGGCACAGCCACTGCATCCGAACTGGCCTTTCACTTCGCAGATAAATTTATAAATGCATGTTACAAGGGTTATTATGAACATGGAACTATGTTTGGAGCTGTATGTAACATAAGGCATAAATTATATTATTTTATTTATAAGCTGAATTTATTGCCTTAGATTTTATTGAGCAGGAAGTACAATATTTAAAAGCAAGATATGCAAAGAAGGCTGTTTTTTACTTTCACTTACATGTATATGTAATACATAGTAAAGGAAAGTATTGCGATCGTGAAAATTTTCAAATCTGAGTTTTCAATGGAAATACACGTTATGAGGTCACCTGAGTCTAAATGAAGAAAAGTCTTATGAAACTGATATCAAGTATTTAAGATAGGTATATGCCTTGGATGTGACAGCAATTTTTTCGTTAAAATCTGCTAACCAGAAATGGCACTTTATATCAAGGGTTATACGCATTTTTACAATTTTCTCAAAAACGGCTCTAACTAACGATTTTGATTTGACTCGGTCTATGATTGTATAATTAAGTGGTCTTTAATATCATTGAGGTCTTATCCCCATTGATGTAACTTTACAGGACTTAAATGATCAACATGTCTTCCTCTAAAGTACCTTAAATTTGGTTTATTTTAAATAATTAACTATCTCTTATTATTAAGAGTTACGCAAAAATGCTAAATACAACTTTTGAAAAAAATTGATAATTGAATAAAGGAAAAAATAAAATAAAAATGCTTATCCAGCTCGAAAATGACCAGAAAAACTAGTCAGCAGATATACGTATAATATATCGTTGGAAAGCGATGAATAATACAAAAAACATGTAATATAGAAATTCGTAGAAAATAATGGAGAGTGACAAAAAATTATAAATAACAATTTGTGAAAACTAATATTATTCAAGGCGTACCGAGAAAGGGTTGGATCTGGGTGGGACAACATCTGTGCTGGGCTATGCTGATGATCTGGTACTGTTAAGCAAAGACCTTGAAACTATAAAACTAAATACGACAACGTTAATGAAAGCCGGTAAAGAACTAGGACTCGAAATAAACGTGGATAAAACAAAATATATGGTTAGCTGCAAAAATGGCGATACTACTGGTGATATCGATATAGATGGTAATATGTTTGAGCAGGTAGATAAGTTTAGGTATCTAGGTTCTTCGATAACTAGAAAAAACGAAAATGAAGAAGAAATTAAGGTTAGACTGAAGGCGGGAAATGCTTGTTATTTTTCTGTGACAAAACTACTTAGTTCGCGCCTTTTGTCCCGAAACTTAAAAATTAGAATCTATAAAACAATTATCTTGCCTACAGTTCTTTATGGGTGCGAAACTTGGCCGCTTACGTTAAGGGATGAGCGGCGTCTTAAGGTTTTTGAAAATAAAGTATTGCGTAGAATATTCGGACCGAAGAAGGATGAGTTAACCGGAGAGTTCAGACGGTTACACAACGCCGAATTGCGTGAACTGTATCCGAGTAATATAATTGAGATAATTTCATCGCGGCGAATCAAATGGGCTCGTAAAGTTGTTGGGCTTAGTAACGAGAGAATTCCTAAAAGGTTAATATTTGCTGTGCCGAATGGTAAGCGTCGGAGGGGTAGACCGAAGCGAAGGTGGGAAGATTGCATTAAAGCTGATCTGAAGGGACTGGGTTTGGACGGCGAACGGTGGAGGGAGATGTGTAATAAGCGATTGGTGATGTCGGCATCGAACCTTCGGGTTCGCTAAGCCTTTGTATTATTATTATTATTAATATTATTTAAGGGAAATCATATGTTTTCAAGAAAATTAAATGAAATCGACTTACTAAATGTAAACTTTTTTTAAGTTTGAAAAAATATTTCAAATCCAGATAATCAAGGCCTGGCATTGTTTAAAAAACGATTTCATAGTACTTGTGTGAAAGAAGAAGTGGAATATAAAAATAGTCCAGAGTTGAATAAAGCTTATGTTTACAATCTTGAATACAGTTACTGAAGTTTGATAATTCTTGATGATATTATATTTAAATAATTAGTTATCAACGTTCTTTCATTCCGAAAAATCGTCATGTAACCATTTAGAAAATTAAATTAGTGAATAATTTTATGAATTTTCCCTTTGTGAAATCCCAACATTATCCACTTAAAATTAGTGACAACTTTTGATTTATCTATGGCGGGCTATGAAAATCTGTTAATGTTATTTTAGTAAACTTTACAATGGGAAATAACAGTTTAATAACTAATAATCGTACAATCCATAATCATTTCTAGATTGAATATACTTTCAAATCTCTCTAGGCATATATCTTATCTGGACCAACAAATTAGAACTGTGGGGGACAGCTAAATTTTTTAGCATCAAACGCAATCAATCCTTTCAGTCCAACTGGGGTGTCCAGAAGGGAGTTTCATATTCATAGAGGGGGCCATCAGAATCATCTGTTTTGAGAAGTTTCTGAGAGAGGGTCATATTTCAAAGGTGTTATATGATATTTCGGAGTGAAAAATTTTAATCCAAAGAACATTAGGAAAAGCAAGGACCAGACCACCGTAAGTGTATTTGTTTAAGATCTACAATTTTTAAATTTTACTTCCGCTTGAACTGTTTTTATGAAGAGGGAATTAATAAAATTTCTTAGGAGGAAGAGGAAAGTTCATGCACTACTGGGGGATGCTCACCTCTGCAGTCCTTTGAACAATAGTCGATGCTCCCTTCTGAGTAACCAATAAACCCCTATATCATGATCTTAATATCACATTTGATCTAATATCTTACATAAATTTTAAAAGTTTCAAGAGAAACTTACTCATTATCGGAATCCTGTAGCGCAATCTATATCTAACTCCATTTATCCCTAAATCTTATGTGGAGGTTAAAATGTCAATGGTCCCGAGACCTTTCAGGCGCGTTTGAGAGAAAAGTGCTGGTATCTCCTGGAACCTCACTTTTCCCTCAACGGATGGAGAGAGGGAAGAACAAGCTAGCTTCACAGTTTTCCTAGTTGAGAGTAATGTACATAAAAATACCTCAGCTTAAGATGTAAAACATCTTGTTCAGTTATAATGTCATGTTCACCCTTTACAGCTTGTGGCTTATCATGAGTGAAACATTTTATTTTATAAGTTTTTTTTTTTTTTGTAAAAGTTTGTATTTTCTACAGTACGACTGCCTCATGCCTGGAAGATTTGGCATAGGACTGGAAGACATAGAATATGGATGTGAAATCGGTGAGGGGTACGGTTGGACAAACGGAGTCATTCTCTCGCTTTTAAGGAGATTTGGAAATGACCTCCGAGTTATCGATGAAAGTAAATTAACTATTAGTTATTTTTTCGTTGCTTATTTATGTTTTGAAAATTAGATATGAACGGACTTTTTCCGAATCAAAATTGAAAATCAGACAAAAACTAAATACATACACTTACCTACTCAAACCCATATGGAGATACGCCTCCCAAATTTATGGTTCTACAAAAAAGGCGCACTTACAAAAACTACAATCCAAAATTGTAAGACTAATAACAGCAGCTCTCTGGTACATAAACAAAAAAACATTACATACAGACTCACGACAATCAACATAGGTCGAAACATTGGATAATTCAATAAAAATACAATTATCAAATATAGTATTTTATATATTGACCACACCCCTGACTAATTTCTGTAAATAAAAATAGATTATTTTCAGTGTAATCATTAGATCTTGCACCCACCCATCAAAGAAGAGCAACACTTCTACAGTAGAACCGTTTTCAGTTTCTTTCTGGCGTTTTTGAAATTTGTAAGCCCAGCTAAAAGAATTAATGTATGTATTGACTGTTGTATTTTTTACAGAGGCAGGCACAGAAATGACCAATTCTTCATAAGGATAGACATGAAAGACAGTGAAGATACTACTTAAACTGTTGGCCAAGTCGAAATCATAATTTCAATAATAAAAAAAATGAGTTGTTAATAATCTTTAAATATTTTTATGTGGCTCTAAATTGTATAGCTTAATTAATACTAAGTGCCTCTTTTTTTAATACATATATATATATTAAAATACACTAATATTTAAAACTAATTATATAGTTATAAAAATTAGGTAATCTGCTATGGACTTATATGTTAAAAAATATTTTTATTATTTTTGCACACATAAATTATATATGTAAAAAAAAAAAAAAAAAAAAAAAGCAAAACAAAAAAACAACTTAATATTATCTTACGAAAAAAATGATAATATCAATTATTGAAATTAATACAATCATTAAGTTATAAAATATCATGCATGAATGACAATTGTAGATATTCAATCATATATGAGGTCCATTGAAGCAAGATCGTCATATTCTACAAGATCCCGTCTTAAAGGTAACTCAGGTAATGATTCAGAAGGATGCGGTTCGGGAGAGGGCGGAGGGTTACTTAACATTTCTTGCCCCGATTCTGAAGCTTTTTCCTCCCTCATTTTATCAGTCCATTCTTTATGTTTCTTCCTATTTTTTCTCTTTTTATAAAGTTGCTTCTGTATGGTATCTTTCAGTTTATGTTCCTCAAAGATTTCGCTTTTCTGGGATTGAGTAACATCATCGTCATGACGAATCAAATATATAAATACTCCTCCTGAAGTTCTCCGACGCGATTTATTAATAATAAGCATTCCTCCATCCTTTTCAATTTCTTTAGTTTTGTTGTAAAAATCAATCGCTTTTTCTTTACCGACGATAATAACAATTCGAAGGACTAATCCCTTATTCGGTTCTTCCAGTTTGGTAGCAATATCCGTAGCTACTTCTTCATAGGTATTTGATTCAGTAATCTCTAATGCACTGAGTAGCTTTGGGATTAAATCTGGATCTAATCCATCTTTTCTTACAGGTATTTTTCTCTTTCGGTGAATCATGTCATTTGGGACCATATAATTTTCTACGTTACGGTCATTTTCAGGATTACGCATACCAAAACTACCAAGAAAATCAGTCAATTGGTCATTGGAATTTTTACACCAAATTGAATACTTGTTCTTGGTTTTTACCATAGAAGGCATTTTCCTTCTCATTTTAGCTCGTTTAGGAATGCACGAGTCACTATCAGAATTGTCATCGCTAGAAGAATTATCATTAGCTATGTCGTCATCAGAATTGTTTGTTTCTACAGCGTTTTGGATAGCATGTATAAATGAAGGCCTCTCAAGAGGAGTATAGGGATCAATTTCATCAGCACTTTCATCTTCAATTTCTCCTTCCTCTAACTGCATATCGTCACTGAGGTGGAATTCAGCACCTAAAATAAAAATAATTTACTATAGTTATTTAAACAATATTTACTGATATGTAATTATTGCAACATTTATTTTTAAGTAACAATGGTAATTCATTAAATTTAAATAATTGCAATGTTTATAACCTTAAATGTAATCATATTATATAAAAGGGTAATCTGCTTTTGGTATATAACTGCTAAACATGAAAATTAATGGATTGAAATCATTTTTTTGTTTTATGTTCAATTGTTATAATGCTGTTGCTACATTTTTGTTAGAATTGCATTTGACTGTTGTTAAAAATGCTACCAACAGAATATACTTTTAAAAAAAGATAAAATAGCCCTTAATCATCAATAGAAATATGACATATTATATTTTGATATAAATTAGTCATTTTTTAATAATAACTAGAAAGTGGAGCAGCCCAGTGGGTTAGGCACAACCTCTAGGCCACAGGTTCGAACCAGACTGAGCAAATAATTATTTAATCTGTTTCATCAGCCCTGCATTGACCCTCCTGAACCACATGCAGCCTTTATAAAATGGGTACTCTTAATTAATTAAGAGGGAAAACATGGTGGTTGAGAGTGATCCCAGCCCAATCACCTCCCTTCACAACCGTTGGCCTTGAAACAGTACTTCCTAATAAAAGTACTGAACCTAAGAACCTTCATGGGTTGTAGTGGTACATGTTTTTATTTCTCTTCTTCTTATTTCCGGTGTTCCAATGTGGGATACCTCTTCAGGTCAGAGCAGAGCTCCACACATCTCTATCCTCCCAGTCACCCTCCTGTAGACCTCGGCCGGCCATCTCTTCTCGGATTCCATCCATCCACGTGGGTTCTCGGTCGTCCTCGCCTACGCTCTCCGGGTGGCTGCCAGTCCAGGACTCTGTTCGGCCAATGCTCTTCCGACATTCTCCTGCAGTGCCCATACCACCTCAATCACCGTTTCCCAATTCTTTTAGAGATGGTCTCCTCTACACCTATTCTCTGTCTCACCACTTCATTTCGGACTCTTTCCAGCCTCGTTAACTGTAGACACCTCCAAAAATCCATTTCTACAGTCCGAATTTTGGCATACAAGCCAGCATTCATCGACCATACCTCACATCTGTAGGTTAATATGGACTCGACAATAGCCGTGAAGATACGCCGCTTGTTCGCGTTTGAAATAGTGTCATTCCAGAGAACAGGATGCAGCATTCTAGTAGCTATTCTTGCCATCTCGACCTTGTTTCGGACATTCACTTCGGACGTTCCAACATCGTCCAGATAGGACCCGAGGTATTTAAATGCCTTTACTCTTCTGCATACCTGTTCACCTATGCTAAGGTCGTCTTCCTCATCTCCCAGTGCCATATACTCAGTCTTTTGGAAGTTTATCCTGAGAACTGCCTCTTTATAAGCTTTCGTTAATTGGACAGCCACCATCTCCAGGAAAACTTTCTTCCAGGCCATCAATATTTGATCGTCTGCGAAAAACAGAGTAAGGAGCTCGTCGTCGTCGAAGTACACTCCGTAGTCTCGACTTCGTCTCATCCATTGCTTCACTACTTCATCCAAGTATACCTTGAAAATGCTTGGAGACATATAACACCCCTGCTTCAGCCCTTTGGTTCCAGAAAATGGTTCCGAGAGGCGGTTCCCAATCTTCACTATGTACATATCACTTCTATACAAGTGTTGAATTGCTTGCACCATGGATTCATTAATACCCGCTCTTCTCTAAAAAAAATATATTATTTTCTAAAACGATTTTTTCCCTATTTAGGAAACATTGATCACATTTCAGTTATTTTGGATTTGAAGGTTTTACAGTTTTTGTAGATTAGTTTTCCTCAAGAATAATTTGTGGAGTTCTCTGTGCCCACATGAAAAAATTTAACAATTCTTAGATCGCTTTAAGACAAAGGTCTCCAAACTCCGGCACTGCTGGCCGAATCTGGTCCACAAGCATATTCAATCAGGCCATCGAAAGTTTCTTTGATTACATGGTCAAATTTAAAACAAACCTATTTAAAAATATGAAATTTGGCAAATTACTCACGTACAAGGGTACTAAAAAATTTATTGTAAATTTTTTCTCTTAAAAAGCTCATTTCACAGCTGACATATCATTTATAAAACGAGATTTTCTTTTCATCATAAACCATGATCCAGACTTGGATAGGTCTCAACGTCTTTTGGTCAAAAAGTTTGGAGACCTCTGCTTTAAGGGATGACTTGTTTTCCCTTTTTGTATAAAAAAGAAACTACAAAAGTAGACAAACAAAATTTTCTTTTGGTATTTTTTGATTTTATATAATCAGCTTGGACATGATAAGCATCTGTACCGATTACCTTTACAAATATTTTATTTAAATGTAAATAACAACTAAAATATATATGAAAAACAACTATCAATCATAATTGTGTTCACCATGAATTGGTAAAATGAATACAATAATAAACTATTAGAACTCACCAACTTAATTTCCAATGAGAAGAATGACATCAACAGTTAATCCGTAATATTACAGAAAAAATCTAAAAAATAAAAATAAATATATAAATAATAACCTAAGTAATCATTCATTATGACTAAATCCTTTAAATAAAATATCAAGACATAAAATCATATACTAGATTAAACAATCCCTTGATTTATAAACTTTTTCAAATATTTTATTATGAGACTAAATATATAATTACTAAATTATGTTTGTTGATTATCTTAGATAATAAATATCGAAAGTAATATAAGAAACTCCTCATATTAAATGTTGATGAATGGGATTTGGCCCCAACAGACCAATTTAAATATTTAGGCAGGTGACTTGCGATGGGGAGCAACAGGAAAGGTCATCAGAGGTAGAAAGGTCATACAGACTATAAATTCTGTTTTATGGAATAATGATGTCATGGTTCGAACGAAAAAGAGACTATTCCATTCATTTGTTGTAAGCACTGTATTATATGCCTCAGAAACCTGGACGATTTCAACAGACTCAGCAAGAAAATTGTTATCAATGGAGATGGATTTTTGGAGACATAGTTGCAGAATATCAAGATTATAAAATATTCCAAATAATGTTGTTAGGGATAAAGTGAACGAACCCCTCAACATCCTGTACTAAATTGAGACAAAAAAAAGCTGTGTTGTTTTGGGCATGTTATGAGAATGACGGATGACCGATGGTCTAAAATAATACTTCAACATGTACCATTGGAAAGGAGGAAGAGAGGTAACTCGGAAAAGAGATGGTTAGAAGGTTTACATGAGGCTATAGCAGCAAGGGGACACCAGGAAGAAGACTATTACGATAAAAAGAAATAGCGACATGGATTAGGTTAAGACATATGACCTTAAAGTGTTGTAAGTAAAGTCGTTTTATATATATAAGTAATTAAAGAAAGGGAAAAACTGAAAGGGGTTGGGATTCTTGTAGGTGGGAGGGAGAGATGAGAGAGAAAATGGAATAAGGAAGAGCAAGAGGAACAGTCCTGGAGGATGAGAGAGTATTGGAGTAAGAGGAAGGCCGAGAGTGTGAAAAGGAAACGGAAATGATATTCGCGTGGTCCTTGATGGCCGGTTTGTGAAAAAAAATAAATATATATATATATATATATATATAAACTATAACAGGTGATCCAAAAAAAATTAAAACTGCTTTCTTTACTGTTTGAGAAAAAAAAATAATAGGAGCTCCATATAGATCCAACATTAGAAAAGAAGCTCATATTATCTCCAGAAGAGTTGGCTTGATTAATAGGATTTATATAGAATATGCTTTGATTGAGTGTAAACAAAAAGTGAGCGATTAATGTCTTGGCACCCACTGAAATCCAGCATGGATTGATAAACATAGATAGGATATAGAATAGATCATAATGATAGCTTGATAGGACTAGATAACTTTCCAAGAAAAGGATGGCATAGGCTAAAGCCACTTCAGTTATTTATAAAATCAGGAGACAAAGGCACTCCCTTAAGTTCCTAAAAATTAATTCTTAAAAGGAATTTATTAAAATGTTAGTTTTACCTCGAGAGATCTAGAGATAACCTGTTACACTATATCACAACAGTCAACATGAGGAGAAAATTAATAAAGTAGCCAAATACAATTATAAAGCATTGAAATAAGACCTACCATGGAAATACTTTAAGAACATCGCTTAACATGGTTGAGACACGTGTTCCGAATGCCAGAAAACTTAACAGCCACAACTACATATAAAACTGAAGAGAAGAATAGTTGGGGTGGTCAGTCAAAAAGGAAGACAAAAATAAATGATAGTATTTATTTTTTACATATGCCGACGTTTCGACCTGAAGTTCAGGCCTTCATCAGGTCTAATATATCACTCGTACCTATTTACACTTAAAGCGCTTTAGTTCAAACTTCGTCGGATAACCGTTAGAGATGACGCCACCTACACATCTCTTCTCTCTCCCCCTCCCTTGTAACGACTTTTATTCTCCCTGGGACACTTAAGGAGACAGGTAGTACTTCTTTTATTTCTTTCTTATTTCAGCTTTCTCAATTTCTTCCCTCCTTCCTTTCATCCCTTTTCTCTGTTTTTAACTCTTTATTATATTATACATTGTCTGTACATCTTGATAGACTTTACAATATCTCAATTTTCTCTCTAACTACTCCATTCTCAATGTTTTAATTTTACTATTTATTTTCATTTCTTATATAACTTCGTATTTCTTTTTTATGTTTTACATTTTATTCTAAGATTCCCATTGTAACACTTTTGTCACCCTTTTTGATTATGCCTACTTCATCATTCCACACTTTGTAATGGTTTTTATTATTTATCTCTTAGTTCTTAGTCATTATTCTAACAATTTCATTTTACTTTATATTTATCTATTTTATCTTTCTAATTTTTTTTATTTTTTATTATCTTTTTTACCATCATTACTTATGTTTCTCATACCTTGTTATCTGGTTATTTTCTTAGCCCTGATGAAGGCCTGAACTTCAGGTCGAAACGTCGGCATATGTAAAAAATAAATATTATCATTTATTTTTGCCTTCCTTTTTGACTGACCACCCCAACTATTCTTCTCTTCATTATCCACGACAGTCAACCAATTACCAATTATACATATAAAACTGTTATAGAGGAAATGAGATCCTGTGGAAGAATTGAAAAAAGACTAAAAGAGGCATTTAAAAGACAAGATGTGTAAATGAAGAAACAGCTGATACAGGAGCAAGATTTGTTGATTAAACTTTACCAAATGGTGCCTACCACAACACTGTAGATTTACACAATGAAAAATTTCTCCAATATAAGTTCCTTTGTTGAAAAACTATTCTGGTAAATGAATAACTGTTTTGATGTATTATTGATATAAAATAGCTATTATTATCTATCTAATTTTAATAAATGGAGTATTGTTCCATTGTTCTTATGAACTGCTCTCATAGTTCCAACTTATTAAAGAAGATAATTAACAGAATAGGTGTTTTAAAAGATAGAATATTGGTTTTCTAAAATTAAAAAGGCAAAAGGAAGACTAAATGAGATATTAGACAAATCACCAAGAGTTATCAAAATGTTATAAAACCTAGATAGATATTCAGATGTTAGATTATAAATTAAACACATCTATGTTTCTTACTATGAATATAACACTAGCAAAAGAGTGAAATAACAAATGAAAAATCAGTTTCAGACTCCTACAGACAGAAAGCAATACGTCCCACTCTGAGATAAAGCGAACATAAAAATGTACAGCCCAATAACATTTCAGTTATATATTCTCTTCAATTAACTAATTCCTAATAACTCTATAAAAAATATATCAAAATATTGCCACAGATAACAATAGAGAGAATGACAAAACATGATAGCTTTTTTTTTTTAAACACTGAGATATAATGCTCAATAGTTTTTATAAAATATGTGTGTAGGTTAAAAATCTATAAAATATTAGTAACATGTTATGCAAACTAAATATACAAACTATATTTCACTACAATCAGTTAATGGAAACGAAGCATTGTTCAAGGAATTAATGTCATGGGGCAAAATCAAATTATTAAAATCGTTATCAGAATGAAATTATTAAAATCGTAAAATCTGAATGCGAACAAAAATCGTGATATTATGAGCAAATGTATAATGGCATGCAAAATATGATAAATGGAATACCTGGTTAAACAGCATTCGAAGTACATTCAGTAGGAATACAGATAAAAATAATAACCAGGACCACTAAACCGCTTCCAAACTAACTAACCTTGCAGGAAGGTTACACCAGTTGTTAAACCATAAATTGTTCTTAACAATGTTGTAAAATGGTCGCTATAGAAAAATAAAAACAATCTTGTTTACCAATTTGTTTACTTTTAGAATCTATACGATAAAAATATGTATAGAATATTTATATATTTATATTTAAACATTTAAAATTTTAATACATTTATTTATTTATTTATAACTTAAAAATTAGAATCTATAAAACAATTATCTTGCCTACAGTTCTTTATGGATGCGAAACTTGGCCGCTTACATTAAGGGATGAGCAGCGTCTTAAGGTTTTTTAAAATGAAGTATTGCGTAGAATATTCGGACCGAAGAAGGATGAGTTAACCGGAGAGTTCAGACGGTTACACTACGTCGAATTGCGTGAACTGTATCCCGGTAATATAATTGAGGTAATTTCATCGCGACGAATCAAATGGGCTTGTAAAGTTGTTGGGCTTAGTAACGAGAGAATTCCTAAAAGGTTAATATGTGCGGTGCCGAATGGTAAGCGTCCGAGGGATAGACCGAAGCGAAGGTGGGAAGATTGCATTAAAACCGATTTGAAGGGACTGGATTTGGACGGCGAACGGTGGAGGGAGGTGTGTAGTGAGCGATTGATGGTGTCGGCATCGAACCTTCGGGTTCGCTAAGCCTTTTATTATTATTATTTATTTATTTATTGAGTATTACAATAATCTGTCACTTGGCAATTAGTTATAGTGAGGTAGGATAACATTCACACTATATGTACAAAAAAATATAAAATAAATAGAAGCAAAATAACAATAAATAATAATCAAAAAGTATATACAATTAATAAAATAAAATAATTTAAAAATAAGAAAATTACAACTAAGCAAAAAACACATGCATAACTATATACACTATTTACAATCAGGAGAAAGAACTCTGAGGCAGGCTTGTCCCTCCAACTATGGAGAAAAAACCTGGACTCCAGGAGAATCCAGTGCCACTCTCTCAACGGCATCTCTGGTACGAAAGCCAGCGGAGATTGATCGAGAGCACTTTAGTCACATACACTGATGTCTTGAGTGGAGAATCTGGCTAATGCCAGAACTCCAATGTATACAATCTACAAAAGGTCGCGGAGCCACTACCGTTACGACCTTCTTGGAGGATTATAGGAATGAGTGGTGCTTGATAGGGATTGTGCAAGAGGATTTGGATGATACGAAAGGTTCTGGTGAAATTTGAAGAATTTTTCTGAGATAAGGTCTAGGACAAATGGGTTTGTTGGTTACATAGAAAGGGGCATCGACTATTGTTTGAAGGCCTTTTGATTGGAAGGATTGGATGCGTTTGATGTTCGAAAATGTTGCTGTTCCCCACAGTTCTAGTTCATAAGCCCAAATAGGTTGCAGTATTATCTTGTAGATTAGTAACTTGTTTTCAATAGAAAGTTTAGATTCTGTTTAGTGGTCTTTATAGTTGGCCTTATCGTCAGTGAAGTTTCTGTCTTTTAAGTCTAGTATGAGGGTTCCACGTCAGTCGTCTGTCTAAGAGAATGCCAAGATACTGGATTGTATCTGAGTGTTAAAACAAACTGGTGGACAGGATTTCTGGTCTCCTTTTAAAACGAATAAATCTATCGCCTTTAATAAAAATAAAATATACCGCATTAATATTATATAGTTATAATAAATGAATAACTAACTTTTAAAAAAAAAATCTATATAATAATTTAATTAACTTTTGTAATAAAATATGATTCTGTTCAGGCCCAATACGAAGGTTGGGCTAGTGTCCGACCGCTGCTACCGTAGCGGATTAGGTAAATTAATTAGAGGTAGTTTACTAATATTTTTTAAATAATTTAAATTATAACAAGCCTACAAGAGATTCGGAATGTATCTACCATTGGTGGGAGTGCAAAAGCATAAAACAAGCAAACAAGAGAAAATAGGCAAATGACCAATTAGGAGAGCAACTACAATTTCCAACTTACGCGGCGCTCTTGGTCATCTTGTTTGTCCTGTTTTGGTTATAATAATATTATAAAATATACAATATTTTTCTTCTCACTTGGTGTCTACATCTGCTACTATACCATCCGCCAAGTACAGCTAAGCTCTTTATATTTGCTTTGGGAGATCCGTATCTGTCTTCCTCAGTAAACCCAGCTCAATTTCCTAGTCAGAATCCCCTACCAACCTCTCTACGGAAGTCCTCACCATTGACCTCTTTTAACACAATTTATTTTTCCATCTCCTCAGTAATCAATCTTCCAAATATATATGTAAAAATAAAGTTGTTTTGTACTTAAGATATGTCAGCTACATTATACCAGTATGCAGATTCATATTGCTTATTGGTCCAAATACGTGAACTCAACTGTATGTATTCATCTTTAAATTCATATGTCTACTTCAAGATAAAATATTTACCACTGTGTCTTTTCTTTAATTAATATCAAGGTTAGACACTTTTGTAAATTTATTTATTTTTAATTGTCATTTAATTATTCCTTATTGCCAGACAACTGTCATTTCTTTGTTCATTATTGTTATTTCAAGGGGACTAAATGTCTCAGAATAAAATTTACTTTATTTTGACAATTTAGGGGTGTAGGTTACGCCAAACGGCTCAATATTTTTGAATACCACTTTTTTATCGATTTTGTGATCAAATTGTCTTACGATCCAAGTGAAAAGCAAATATGTATTTACAAGTTTGAAGTACCTAATTAAATAGACAAAGTTTGCCGACATCCAAATTGAAAACGCCCCAATTCCGGGAATTTTCGTAAATAAAATATTTTTAGGTTACGATGAGATGAAGCTATTTACGAAGTTTCAGCCAGATGTTAATAATTTGATAAAAAGGAATCTGTACCACGGACTAATACGTTTATCCTTAATCGAGCTCGAAACAACTGACGAAAGAATTTTTTTTTTTGGCATTAAAGGTTAAAAAATTAATGAATTAGTTTAGAATGATTGCCATTTTTTTTCTTAACCAAAATCGAACTTATATGCTAATTCATCGAGCAAGAGTCATCCAATTTGAGTGACGTTAACATAATTGATGAAATGTAGTCCTTACACAATCAATTATTGACGAAATTCGATTCTTTATTATTCGGCAACAGCCAGGATTCTTTGTCTAATACCGCTGCTATCCAGTCTCTGCTTCCAAGCCTCTTTGCATCTGAAACGGAGGCAATTTAGCAAAGCCTTGGTATTAAAACCCTTCATTGTCCGTGAATGACCTCCTAAAGCAGTTTCCTTGGTATCTGATCGCTGCTCATCCTCACATCACCTTCCAATCTTATACCTTCTTCGTTTGGCTCACTAAAGTGATCAAAAATCCTTCTCCACTCTCCGTTATTAATGACGGGTAAAAATATTCACCAAAGAATCGTTCTTTAGAACAAAGAGATGCTTTGACACATAGTCTTGGTCGTTGTCGAAGTTACTACACCATACGTGAGGATTAGACAGTAAAGTTTTGTACAAAATAATCTTTGTTCTCCTTGAAATAGATCTGTTTGCCAAGTGGTGTCTCAACCCAAAGTAGCTGCGGTTTACAGATATTCTTCTACTTCTTACATATATCTCAATTTCATTATCACATGTTATTTGGAATCCCAGATATGAGAATTCAGTGATTTGTTCGAAGAAGCAGTTTGCTATATTGGTTATCTCTTAAAAATCTCTAAAAGTAATTTGCCCGTCATATGTATTTGACTACAGACAGATTTTGTTACTTTATTTCTGAAACGTAAATTTCTTCGATCCTGAAGACAATTTTCTTTTTTAAACTTCCATCATAAATACAATGCTTCCCTTCCCTTTGTAGTGAGTGAGGAAGTTAACAGTAAAAATAAAAACCTCCAAGCATAATGGTTATCACGAGTCGATTTTAAAATGTATCACTTATGAATGTTGTGTGAAGAAGGTTAAATAACCATCAATGATATCTATAGGATGTCAACAATTTGTTTGAATTTATTTATTTTTTTCTTGGAGTGAAATTTTTAAAATTACTTAATTTTTAAAGTATTTTTCTGACCCCCCTAAATTTTTGTTGAATATGGAAATTGATAAACATGATGAAAATACTAAAAAAAGGAAAAGAGATTTGGATGAATTAGAAGAGACATACTTTACCGTTGGTATGGTTTTTGACGAAATTTTATTTAAAGAATCTTTAAAACACCCTAGAATCCGTGACAGAGTAAGTCAAAGTAAATTAATGAGTTTAGTTTCACTTACTTTTTACTCTGATACATTTATGATATATGTAATTAGTCTTTTATAGTTCACAATTTGATAAAAGCTTATGATTTGCTGAGAAACTTTACTTTATTAAAATCCACTCCAGCTACTAAGGATGATCTGTGTACTTTTCATTCCAGTGATTACATTGAATACCTCGAAAAAATTAATCATTGCTATACTCCTGATGATGAAGTGGATTTGGAATACGGAATAGGTAATTAATTATATTACCTGAAAAGCTCTTTATTTTTATATTATTATTAATAATAATGAAGGTTTATATAATAACTATTCTTTTTAGTTCTTATATCAACGACATCCATTAATCAATCCTTCACTACTCCCATCACTTCTATGCTGATGATTCCCAAATTTACCTTTTCTTCTTTCTCTCAGAGTTGCATGATGCGTTTGCCAAAATTCAAGAAGACTTGAATCGAATCGGTGCCTGGGCAAACTTAAATGGATTAACATTAAACGCTGCCAAAACTTCAAGCCATTGTCATTGGTTCTGAACCCCTTCTCAGATTCAACACCGACATTCCTGTAGATCTGTAGAAAGGGACGTAAAGGTCAGAAGGACGAGATTTTGTGGAGAGGGTGTGGATATATGACAGAGATATATGAGGGTGTGGGTTTTCTCAGATTCAACACTGACATTCCTATCCTGTACCTAAATGACCATCCCATCACCTTCATCTCAGTAACAAACCTAGTCATTTTCATAGATCAAATCCTCTCCTAGAATTACCATATTGCCCACTTCTCCCGATGGTCAATTGGTACCTTGAAACTATTCTATCACTTCCGCCAACTCCTATCCATTCCCACACTTAGACTCCTTGTATCTTCCCTCATCTTGACAATGGCTGCGTGGTATACGGTGGCCTCTTGACGGAACTCGGGGACCGACTGAAAAGAATTATGCCTTCCTAAGATTTGTCACCGTGATCCTGAGACGCTCATGTGTCTCGCACAACTATGCTGTGTTAGGATGTCTCTTCCCCTCCTTCCAAAGACAATATTTCTTAGGCACATCCCTTTACCGAATAATCAATAACCATCGTTCGTCTTAGGCATACAACCTCCTATAATCAAGTCATATATCCACACCCTCTCCACAAGATCTCGTCCTTCTGACCTTTACGTCCCTTTCTACAGATCTACAGGAATGTCGGTGTTGAATCTGAGAAGGGGTTTTCTCAGATTCAACACCGACATTCCTATCCTGTACCTAAATGACCATCCCATCACCTTCATCTCAGTAACAAACCTAGTCATTTTCATAGATCAAATCCTCTCCTAGAATTACCATATTGCCCACTTCTCCCAATGGTCAATTGGTACCTTGAAACTATTCTATCACTTCCGCCAACTCCTATCCATTCCCACACTTAGACTCCTTGTATCTTCCCTCATCTTGACAATGCTGTGTTAGGATGTCTCTTTCCCTCCTTCCAAAGACAATATTTCTTAGGCACATCCCTTTACCGAATAATCAATAACCATCGTTCGTCTTAGGCATACAACCTCCTATAATCAAGTCATATATCCACACCCTCTCCACAAGATCTCGTCCTTCTGACCTTTACGTCCCTTTCTACAGATCTACCTCGTTTAAACATTCCTTTGTTGTCCGTTCCACTGCACTATGAAATTCCATCTCACTATAAATTCGCCACGCACCATCCTTATCCACATTTATAACCCTCCTATTCCAATTTCTCTTCACAATACAATCAGATGCTGGCTAAGTATTTATTATGGAATAAGGCTTTAATTTTCTTAATACATTATTTTTTCTCTGCTGTGTTGAACATGAATTTCCATCACCATTCACAAAACATTGTTAGTAGGTATAATTTGATTTCTTAACTTCTACTTTTCCTATTCATAAGATTATACTTCTTTGAAATTTATTTTATTTTTTATTTATCTTCATCATACTATGTGTGTATATATATATATATATTTTTTACTTTATTGCTTTCTTCTCATAATCTTTATGTGTATTCACTAAAAACTTCTTAAGGAACTAATGTAAATCATTTATTTACAATAGGTTTTTTTATTATATAACACCACTACTATGCTTTGTCTATAAAATTTATTTAGCTTCCCTTTCTAATTTCATTTAGTGATTATTATGTTATTGTTTTAGCTCCAATATTGTAGTATTGTAACCCAACCATATGATAAACCAAAGTTAACAAGTTATAAAATAATTAAGAATTTCCGTGAGCGGCCGGGGAGAGAGGAGCTGGTCTTTTAACTCTGGCACTCTGCCCTCACCACTGCCTGAGAACATCCCTGTATAGCCTAAAAGGTGAGGAAGGGATAGACAAAAAATAATAAATATGCTATATAAATATAAAATAATAAATAAATTAAAAATAAAAGTGCTCCTGCAATGAACTTATATTAATGAACTATCATTGAGATCTCCATGAACTTTTTTGTCTGAAACTGAAAACCTAGCTACTTAATCTTTAATGTGCTATCGCACTACTAATTTTTTTTTTTTTTTTGTCTTCCTCTTCCTCGCCTTTTAGGCTATACGTGGATTTTATTAAATCATATTGTTGATCAGGTTGCCGGGTAACAGTGGTGCTGTCGTCGACCACATCACCCCTACACTACTGTTATAACTCTTTGATTTTACTCTAATCACTATCTTTACAATACCTATTACTTTTAAAATTTATTTTTTGTTAATTTACATTACCTTTCTGCAGTTTTTAAAATTATTTTAGCATATTGCTTCTTGCTTAAATCACATTTACCAACCTTTACATAATTATTTTGAATGTATAAAATCAATAATTAATGATGTAGAGATGGTTGACCATTGATATAATATGAGGAGTTAGTCGAGGGTGCGGTCAAATAAATAAAAAATTAAAATATATTAACTATTTTAATTTTTGCCGACGTTTCAACACTGTGTTTCAACTGCCTCCCTCAGTGCCACATCCTACGCCCTGAAGACGACCTGCAAAGTGGGTCGAAACGTCGGCAAAAATTAAAATAATTAATATATTTTAATTTTTTATTTATTTGACCGCACCCTCGACTAACTCCTTCTCATACTAATAATTAATATTTACTATTTTTGATTTCTACATTTTATCGTCATAAGTTTCCCTTTTCCATTTATTTCAGGTTATGACTGTCCACCATTAGATGGAATTTATGATTTCTGTTGTGCTATAGCCGGTGGCACACTTACAGCCGCTAGAGCTCTATGTAATAGAACTGTTGATATTGCTATCAACTGGTGTGGTGGATGGCATCACGCACAAAGGTAATTTTAGCCTGCGATGGCCAAGCTTGTTGAGACATTGCCTGATTTATCATTCTTGAGTCTAGCAGCTCTGATTAGAATGTGGCCCTTTCTCTTAGAGTATGCGTTCTGCTAATGCCAGATTAAATTAATTTAATTTTATACATTGTGAGTAAATAATTGTATTGTTTTGTTACATTTGGCTTAATTTGTTGGAGATTTGTAGTACATGAATGACAAAGTAACTGACATTGCCAAGATGCAGATAGAGGTCAGATGCACGGGATCTGGTGGGATGAGATTGAAAGGAGTGAAGAGAAGAATAGTTGGGGTGGTCAGTCAAAAAAGAAGGCAAAAATAAATGATAATATTTATTTTTAGATATGCTGACGTTTCGACCTGAAGTTCAGGCCTTCATCAGGGCTAAGAAAATAACAAGATAACAAGGTAATAGTGGTAACAAGATAAATAACCAGATAACAAAATAAATATTATCATTTATTTTTGCCTTCTTTTTTGACTGACCACCCCAACTATTCTTCTCTTCATTATCCACGACAGTCAACCATTTACCAATTATGATTGAAAGGAGTGTTTGAATTGTAGGATCTGTAGGACATAGGAGGGTCGCCGAGTTCTAATGCCCTGGTATAGAAAGGTAGCAAGGAAATATTGAAGGTGTTAGGACGGATAAAGCCATTTAAACTCGTTGTAAAACTGGGTAATATGTGTCTCCCTTGAGATCCCGAAGATAAAGCTTATTGAGCAATTCACTATATGTTTTAAGAAATGTTTTAAATTTGCAATTAAGCCCTGTCAGACTATTAAAGAACATTTTACCCGATCTTAAACAATATTTAATTGCACGTAGGCATAAATAACGAGTTAAGTCAAAATCGTTTCTACCTTCTTTTTTTTTGAGGGGAGAATATTAAAAATTTATAAAATCAGTAAATAATATATGGCTGTAAGACCTAGACACTAACTAATATCCTAGAAAAAAGTGTTGAAAGATTTGAGATCCTAAGTGTTGAGAAAAATTCTACGCACTATAACCTTGGAATAGAATAAACAAAGACGTAGTAGAGCTGCGTCACAGATAAATGGAAAGCAATAGCCCAAAACAGGCAGAGATGGAGCAGGCTTGGGAAGGTGGCAAATAACCTACATGGTCTGGAATGCCAACAGAAAAAAACTAACTAATAACTTTTTTTTTATCCTATGAAAATGCACCATGGCCTCATTAAGGCCTATTGTCTGTTGTCCTAGTCTCTGTTAAAACAGGCCAGATACCTTTGCAAACTTATGTAGACTAATAGGATCAATTTTACAATCATATAAATGATCAATGATACAATCACTTTCAAATGAAGATACCTCAATCTTGTTAATACATCACATTTGCATTTAATACGGTAGGCAGTTTCATCCTCCAGGCCACAAAGGCTACAGGTTGGTGTTTCAGTTAAGCCTAAATTAAAGAGAGGCTGATAATTGAGTTGGGACTGTATAGTCCCATCACACACCTAATGGTGCTTGTGTTCACATACATTGACTTACAGACCATTTTGGGAGATAGATTATTTTGATCCATAGTACCTTTTAAAATGTGTATTTGAAATTTTTCACAATTGCAATAGTTTTCTTTGCTATATATTTAACCTATAGATTAGTAAATGTAAATAGTTTTATTGATAATGAAGTATAATTAAATATTTGTTTGTTTTATAGAGATGAAGCTGAGGGATTTTGTTATATAAATGATGTTGCCCTTGGTATATTAGAGTTACGGAAAACATTTCAGAATGTGGTGTATTTTGATCTGGACATACATCATGGTGAGTACTGTTTATTTTGTTTAATTAAAAAAAAAAAATTGTAATGGTAAAGATTTTATTTTATTTTGTGCCGACATGTCGGCCTAAGTTGCAGGCCTCAATCAGGGCTCCTAGCTCCTAGGGGTGTGAAAAAAAGTGTTCAAATGACTCAATTCAAACACCCATTAGGTGTAGCCCTGATGAAGGTCTGCAACTTAGGCTGAAGCAGCGGCACAAAATAAAATATTTTTTTAAATGTTTATTTGTTGGTTCTCTCTGACAGGAACTCCCTACCAACTCCCCAACCATGAAGAAAATTTATTTTAAAAAATACCAACACCTTTTTACTGTCCTACCATGAGAAGCTAACTGTTAGTATAACTAACTACAATAGCAAGTGGATCATATTATGGAGTGGAAGAATAGATAAGTAGTATACACTTTGATTTACAACCAAAATTTATAGGTTGCTACAAAATATTAACCAGAGTAGGAATGTCAAGATGAACCACCGAGAAATATATAATGACTCATCTAGGTGGGGATCAAATCCACAACATTTCAAATCATGCTCTCGATCCAACATGTTTTCTAATTAATCATCAACCATCATTAATCGATTAAAATTTGAAGAATATGCCTTTAAGTTCTTTTATTTACAAGTTTGCTCTTGTGAGAACTCTAATTTTAGATATTTATCCTTCTCTCTAATGCATTCAATGTATAAACGACATCAGTAATACATATTTATTCTTATATATGATATAATATTATCGAGATAGTCTGTTCAACACACTTAACAGATGAATATCTGTCCTCTCTGTAATATATGCTTCCAAAACTACTGAGGAAAATATAATTTGAAGGACACTAAAAATCTCAGCTGTTGAGTGTCCATAAAGACAATAATCTAACCTAACCATGTCAATGATAAAATTTAAGAGACTTTTGGCCAGAATTACGGTTTATCTCAAAAGTAGTATATTTTAAAACATTAAAATACAGAGTTTTGATGTCTGTGTCGGAATTTTTTAAACACAATTTATTTTGTCTCGATCCATCAACTTTTGAAACCATCTAGGTTTTGAAAACTTCCAATTTTTTCAATGACTTTTATTGAAGTTGTAGGAATTTAAGGATAAACATTGGAATTAGCCAATTCTCTCTGATATTTTCATTTGATTGATCAATGTTTATCCCTTATTAAACTGTTATTCAGTTTATTTTTATAAATTATTCCTATTTAAATAACTTATTTTTCTAGGAAATGGAGTGGAAAATTGTTTTTCATTTACAAAACGTGTGATGACAGTTTCATTCCATCTTTACGAACCAGGGTTTTATCCTGGAACTGGTCTAGAAAGTGAAGTTGGAGATGGAAATGGGCGTTACTATTCTGTTAATGTACCATTAAAAAATGGTACATCTGATTTGACTTATAAGGATATGTTTGATTGGTTTGTATTATTATCTTTATTAACAAATACACTTTTGTTGAAAGGTTAATAATTATCTGTTCTGCTTTCAAAAATTAGTTTTGAATTTTTTTTATTTATGTTATGATCTTTATTTTTACTTTCACTTTTCTTACTCTTCTTAATCATTTCTTCTTCTATCGCTGAACAGTGCGAAGCCTTCTTGTAGAGCACAACTCCTGATCCTGTGCCAACTGCCGCCTCCCCTATATCTGTTTTATTAAAGGCCTCTTTGAGGCTTTCTCCATCAACGTTCAAATCCAAAGCAATCCTGGCCTCTCAGTTCTCGCCCATTCACTTATCCATATACCTAATATATAGTTAGAGAAAGTATTTTAGTCACGAAAAACTTCTAAACCGAGTTTTAATTTAAGCTAAGCCATTACCTGGCCTCTCCTTTTTCGATCCTGTGCTCTAAGATGTCTGTCGATTTGCGCTGTATAGTCTACTGCAGCACTCCAATTCTCCTGCCTAGTCAATATAAAAGTGACTAAGTTTTCCGAGGATGACTTCTTTCCTAATTTCATCTCTAGCTCTTTTTTTTCTCAAGCAAAACCTGAACTAATTTTTATAAATGTGATGTATATGAATGCAAAACTAATGAATATGAAGAACTAATGTTCCATTGTTTCATCCATGGGATTGTAAGTTGTGCACAACTTTCTATCCTCTATTTTGGAGCAGGCTAAGTAAATAAGCCTTGTAAGCAGTTGAGTGAGGTAATAATCTAGCTCCCCATGTTGCCGAGATATTCATGTTGATATACCAGGAATTAGACAGTAGGTCCATCGTGTGTTTGTGTGTGGGGGGGGGGTGTGTCACAAAAACTTCTATAAAATTGAAATTATGTGTTCAAGGTAGATATATATCTGGGATGTTAAATCAACTTTTTGTCTTACTGAAAAAGGTAATTTATTTATAAATTTTCATAATTTTTTTTTTAAATGGCTGTAATGATTTCGGTTAAATTTGTTATATCAATGTACAATTAAATTTTTATCAGAGTGATAGAAAATGAATATTTATGAACTATGGTAGAATTTAATAATTTATAAAGGGGACAGTTTACCAAGTTTTTTTAAAATGAATTTCTGTAAATAAAAGTTGAAATACATATTTTAGTATATTTTTGGAAAGCTAAAAATTTTAAAAACATTAATAGCTAATTGGAAGGAAGTTAGTCAACTGTTCTACATATCATATGTGATAAATATTCAGGACGCAGGAATATTTATCACCCATGATTAATAGCTAACATAAATACCATGTTAAAGAAACGAATGTGAGTCTGTTCAAAGTTGCACATTTGTTACTTTAACATGATGCTGAGAACATAAAGTCATAGAAGACAATGGAGAGTGATAAAAAAAATATGATAATAATTTTTTTAAATTAATATTCTTTAATGGAAACCGTTACGATTATTTTTAAGCTTGACAAATATATAGATAGAATCAATATTAATAGAATCAATTTATTGTTAATTAACTTTATGTTATCTTTGATTACAGGGTATTACAAACTGTACTAAAAAATTTCAAGCCTGATGCAATTGTGGTTCAATGTGGTGCTGATGGACTATCGGGTAGGATATTTTGTTTTTCTATTATCTGCCGTATTCTCAATGTGATACTACTAAAAAATGTAGTAAAATTGTACTTATGTTTTTTTTATAGGTGATCCGATTGGAGAAAATTTTAATCTCAGCCTAGATGCTTATAGTCATTGTGTCAAACAAATTTTAAATCTTCGAAAACCGACACTTTTTCTCGGTGGTGGTTAGTTTAAATTTAAGGACAATTTTATTCAAATATCCATTATTTCTTAGGTACTTGTCTGATAGCCGGACAGGAATGACTGCTATCTGCCAATGTTTATAACCTAAACACTGATAGTTCTGATAAGGCACTCATAATTCCTCTTCGTATTCATATATATTGTATTGTATTCATATTACTGAAATCGTAAACAAACCAAATGTAATAATAAAAAAAAAGTTTTTATTTTACAACATATATATTAAACAGATGAAAACAAATGTAATAATAAAAAAAATGAAATCATAAAAAAACACATAAACAACATATGTACATATAAAAAAAACAAATAGCTACTCTTTGCTCCACTTTATTGTTGTTAAATTATGGGACGACCCATAAATTAATTTTAAAGCCGTTAAAAACAATATCCTCGACCACTCCAACCACATTCCTTTTCTTATAGAAACATTTTTGTTACAAGTGGTATGAAAGCATCTCCATTTCATCTTTCTGTCTAACTTCATTTGATGACCTTCTTCACACAATTTCACGTTTGGAATTATACTGGTGTTTCGAAAGTATTTAATAGCCTCTTCTTCTGAAGACAGTAATTCCCAGAATGTAATAACATCCATAATTTGACGAAAATAACACAAATGGAATAAAAATAAACAATAGAATAACACAGCTTTAACGAGATAAGAAGGGAGATTATGTGATGTAACATTAGATAACAAGAGAGGTTTCATCCCGACTTGTTATCGGACAAGTACCATTTCTTTAATTAAAAATATTTTTTATTCATTTTATATTATTAATGTTTAATGTTATATTATATTATATTAATAATTTTTCAATAATCGATATATAATGCCTTAAAACAAAGAAAATTATTTTAACAATTTTTTTATTGATGTACGTATGTCTTTTACAGGTGGCTATCATATTCCTAATACAGCTAGATGTTGGACCTATCTGTCTTCAGTCATTGTTGACGTGCCTATTTCTAATGATATTCCTGAGCATGATGTAATTCAATTTAAAATTGTATTAGTTTAATTCATATAATTTTTTTTGTTGGTATTACAGTTCTTGTAGATCTTTTCTTCTTCATCTCTGCTATTTCTTTCCAGTTATGTGCATGCAGCTCTGTTGCATCTTTGTTGATTCAATCTATCCATCTGGTTTTTGGCCTTCCACGTGGAACTTTTTTAATTGTATCAGTTACTTGATTTTTTTTTATTGAACTGTAACATCACAGGGGCATGTGCAAACCTTAAATACGCAATTTCAGTTGCATACGACTTTTCGTTTTTGAGCTATACTGTTCACACACATACAGATCATTTTGCGGGTCTCGTTTATTTCGACTCTGAAGACCCGCAAAAAATGTTTTTTCCCCTTTGAAAACTCAGATATGAAAATTTTCACAACTGCAATCATTTTTCCTTACTATATGTTACATTTATAGGTAAGTGAAAGTAAAAATATTTATATCAGTAAAGTTCTGTATATAAAGTAACCTTATAGAAAAAAAAAATTAAAGAAGGATAGTTTAGTGAATAAGGCACTGTACATTCCAGTTCTCCTGGGACCGGGTTAGAATCGGCTATGGCAAATACTTATTTTGTTAATAAAAGGTAATGAAGTTGGCTGGTTTAGGAATATCATGTCTCAATCCAAGATTAAAAAAAAAAATTGAAAGGCCAGTTGGGACTTTTATTATTTATTTTAGCTTAGTGAATTCTAATGGGAAAAGTGGCACACTTGGAGGCAGGGTTTCAAATTTGAAATTTTTTTTTCACAAAATCATGGAATAATTATTATATTTGATTTTTAATTTTAAAATCGTGACTGATTTATACATCAAAATTAAAATCTATCTTTGATACTTATTGATTCGATTAAAAATAATGATAGCTCACTGAGTGAAAAGGTTTTACATAAATAATAATGATTAAATTGTGATCTAAAATTTTTGATTAAAAAAAAAATAAATAAAAATCACCTTTTACGCACAAATTAAATAAAATATTAATATGCATTTATATGCTGTTAATGTTTTAATATTATGTTTCTGAAATGACGGTGCCAACACTATACGTAAGTATGCTTACATACATTTTTATTATAAACCAAAATTTATAATAAATTTCGGAAACAAAGATGTTCTGTTGCTAATAGTTGACAATATTCTCTTTAAGAAGTTTCTGAGCTCCAGAGAACAATGATAAAGAATAAACAGCTGTTGATGACAGACAGGCGTTGATTTTACATTATATTGAGGCATTCATTGTTGTGTAGAGATTTTCAAATGGATTGCTCCAAACTACATGTCCCGCCCCTTCTTAACCTTCTTGCCTTCATATCATGTGATATTGATTGACCTGTTTCTGTAAGCATCTCTTCATTATTCTTTCTCCTCCTTTTATTAGTATTCTGATACCAGATCGCTACGGTTATCTTGCGGAGGATTTTTCTCTCAAATCATTCAATATTTCTTTCTAGGGAGCTGGTTAGTGCCCAGGTCTTGCAGTTGTATATGAGAACTGGCTTTATCATAGCATTGTACACGGTTAAATTGAGATTTAAATAGCTTTGAAAGATAGAAGAAAGCTCTGTTTGTGGTTGTTATAATACATTGGTTTAGTTCCAACTGTTAGTCGTTCATTGAGTTTATTGTCGAGACGAGGTATTTGAATTTTGATGCAAGTCTAGCTACCATTAATAGCATATGGAGGGGAAAGAGGTTGTTCTAGAGATACAATCAAATCCATTCTAACCAGACTGGGAAGGTCGTTTCATTCCTTGGGGCCACCACGAAATAAATTTGTATTAGCACGACAACCCGCCTAAGCCGGATTCGAACCAACTTTTTTTTTTTTTTTTTTATTGGATAATAATACAATCAGCCACTGTTGGAGGGCTATAAGTATTAAGGCTAGAAGTTCTCATTCATACAGTATATACAAGTAATACAGAAGTAACTATAAATATAAAAAGTAAATAAATAATACTTATAAAAAAATATAAATCAATAGGAAAAAATAAATAAATAAACAAACAAAATAAAATAAAAACTTCTAAACACATTCATACCTATATACAATATATACATTCGCCCAGGAATCTCCGAGCCAGGCTTTTCTCTCCACGCAAAGCAAAGCAGGACTCTAGAGATCCCAGTGTCACTTTTCCAGCCGCATCACTAGTATTAAAAGCCAGTGGAGGCTGAAGGAGGGCACTAGAGCCACAGATGCTCAGGACTTGAGTGGAGAAGCTGGCCATTGCCAGGACTCCAGAAGCATATTTACAATAGATCTCGCTGCCACTGCCGTTTTAACCTTCGAGGGAGATTGTAGGGGTGGTGGGAGCTGGATAGGGATTGAGCTAGAGGATTTGGATGATGGATAAGGTTCTGGTGAAAGTTTGAGAATCTGGATGGGATGATGTCGAGGACAAATGGGATGTTAAGGTCATGGTGTAGGATCTTATTTGTGACATAATATGGGGCATTGACTATTGTTCTAAGTACTTTGGACTGGAAGGATTGGTTGCTTTTGATATTCGAATGTTTAGCAGTTCCCGAGAGTTCAGGTCCGTAGGTCCAGATAGGTTTCAGTATTGTCTTGTAGATTAAAAGTTTATTTTCAATCGAAAGATGAGATGTCCTGCTTAGTAGTCTATATAGCTGGCCATATCGTTGGTTAAGTTCTTGTCTTTTAAGTCTCGTATGTGGGTTCCAAGTTAGTCTTTTGTCTAGAAGGAAGCCAAGGTAACGGACTGTATCTGAGTAGGGAAGTGGTATTGGAATTGAAAAGGATTATGGGACAGGATCTGCATTGCAGGGTGAAAGTAATATGTTTGCATTTTGCTTCATTGATTTTGATGCGCCAGTTGTTGCACCACTGCTCAATCAAGGAGATGTGAGATTGTAGGTTTTGAGATGCTATTTGAGGATCTGAGTGGGAGGATAGAATGGCAGTATCATCAGCAAATGTAGCTAGGAAGGTATCGGGATTTGAAGGGATATCGGCAGTGAAAAGGATGTAGAGAACTCGAACCAACTAGACTTGTAAATGTTAATGTTTACGCTTTAACCCTCTCAGCCATCACAATTTTTGTTTCTTGATTCAAAGAACCAAGCCTTTTCCTAATATGAATACATTTTTTTAGACCCTTGCTCTCAGAGCTACGAGGTACGTTAAGATATGGAACTCTCACTATGTTTTTCTCCATTTTCCATAAGATTTTGCTATGAACTTTGTTTTATCAGGGATCTATTAGTAATAGCATTGTTAGTTGCTGTAGAGCTAATTTTTATTAAACAATTTAGTAATCCAATCATAATTTCTCTTTTTTTTTTAGAATTTTACTAAGTTTGGCCCGACATTTGAGCTCCAAATTTCTAAAAGCAATAGAAAAGATTTTAATTCAAAAGAATATTTATCATGTTTGAAAAACAGGATAAGCGGTAGGTTCACTTATATCAATTTTTTTTTTTTTGTAATAACTATTTAAAAATATTTACTATGTTCTTATATATATATTTTATTTTCAGATAATCTTAAAAATATTAGTTCATGATATTTGTCAAAAACTATTTACGGCAATGTAAGCTTTATTAGTTACTAAGATGTATGTGAAGAATAAAGAACTTATTTAATTAAGGCAATTCCTACATTTTTAAAACAATTGATGTTGTTAGTTTACTAAGAATGTACATACTTGGAGTAATATATTTTTTAAAAAATCCTCCTTTAGATTTTTTTATTATAAATGGTAAGTAAAAAAAAAATTGTTTTGAAAAACTTTTAATTTTTAGTTTGTATAACTATTTACATATTTCATTTTTAATATGTGTATTGTAATATTAGTTAAGATTCATGTACCATCAATCACTATAGTTTATTATTTACCATTATCCATCGTATAATATTTTATCTCTGATTTTCAGCCCTGAAGATGACCCACATGTTTGGGTTCAAATGTTGGCATAAATAAAAAATTTTTAAAAAAAATTTAAAAAAGACTGCGTCCTGAATATTTATCACCCATGTTATTTATTTTTACAATTCTTTTTTTTTTGGGACTTATCACCCATCGTTCATCAAAAAATCTTGTCTTCATTTTTGTTTTTTTAATGTGGAAAACTTTTTATTTTCTCTCTCAAAAAAAGGAAATTTTGGATCTCCAAAAATCCTTTAAAATAAAATTAAAATTTCCTTTTTGTTTAACTTTTTTAATTTTATTGTATAAACCAGGGGTGCCCAAACAACAGTTACATACTGTATCTCTCCTTTCTCATACCTTATCACCTTAATAATAATTATTTCTATATTATATATTAATTAGGTGGTATTACAATCCACTTGTATTAGTATAATTCATATACCTAGTTCTGCCATAAATATTGTTACAAAAGTTGAACTTTGTTTACATCCTTATCCTGATATGTAAAGAAAATAACTGATAGAGGTAAGGATTATCCATGGATAATCCTTACCTCTATCAGGTTATTTTCTTTACATGTCAGGATAATAATCCCAATTAGTTTGTATTTTTCTTTCATTCAGTTAACATGGAGTGGAGTGATAAAGAAATCCGAATAGCTGTGATCGCCTTTCACAAAGTTGGAAAATGTAGGTTAGAGATTTTCAACACTTTGAAACCTTTGGGTATCAGCCATATGTTCGTGTGCCACACTATAAATAATAGATATAAAGAGACCCTATCTGTATGTGACAGACATCGACTGGGTCGTGTGAGAATTGCAAATGCAGTGAAAGCAGTGGCTGCTCAAATTAGAAGAAATCCCATTCGAAAACAGCAAATCATGTCTCGGGAAATGGGAATCTCTGTCAAATCAATGTCTCGCATTGTGAAAAGTGACCTTAGGATGGGTGCATTTCAAAAAATGACAGAACAAAGGCTAACTACTTTTCTAAAAAAAAATTAGGGTGGATAGATGCAAAGTGCTCCTTGGCCGTTACACCAATGGTCTTCAGCGTAAAATTTTCTTTAGCGATGGGAAAATGTTTACAATCGAAGAAAAATGTAATCGCCAAAATGATCATGTGTACACACACAGCTCTAAAGAAGCCCAAGAAGTCATTGGACGAGTGGAAAGATATCATTACCCTTCCTCAATGTTTGGTGGGATGTTTTCTTTGATGGCTCCACAAAGCTCCATTTTTGTGAAAAAGGAGTTAAAACAGCCGCTAAAAAATATCAGGACAATATTTTGGAACCTGTTGTCAAGTCTCTAAATGATACTTCAGCAGGATTCCGCTCCAGCTCACAAGGCCAGGTCAATTCAGTAGTGGCTGCAAAAGAACATTACAGAGTTCATCTCTACCTCTGATTGGCCCTCAGGGAGCCCTGATCTCAACACAGTAGATTATCGGCTTTGGTCCGAACTGGAGAGGATGGCATGCCACAGAGCACTTGGAAAGCCTCAAACAATCTCTGGTCTGAGCAGTTGAGCGCTTTCCTCGAGAAGTGCTGTGTGCTGTTATTGATGACTGGCCACGGAGATTAAATGCCTGTGTCAAGACAAAAAGGGAACATTTTGAGTAATTTCTTTTTTGTTTTATTCTCTATAGATATAAATATTATTTTCTAATAAAGTTTTCTGTTAACAATATTTATGACAAGAATAGCTTATTTTTAGAAATAATATTATATATCTTTTGTGATTTTGATATTTTATTATTTAATTAATATTTGCACCGGCTGATTTCCTAAAAGATAGATTGCTTTTGTATTTTAAATTTACAATTGTTAAAATAAATTTAAAAGTAATTTTTTTATGTGATTTATTATTTCTTACAAATATGGTATGATTTAATTTATTTGTCAAGAATGTTTTCATTTCACTAATTCAATACTTCTCTTTATTTATTTATTTTCTCTGATGGCAGGTAACACTTGTGACATTCAGGTTTGGTTACATTTTTTATCCTCCTTGCAAGAACAAAAGTAATTATATCTATGCTGCTGTATACTGATCATGTGGGATGGTTATGGCTATTTCAAAGTAATTACATGGAACACTAGTGGCAATAAGTAGGCATACTTACCATTTTTTTGGGAGGTGGAAAAATTTATGTAACCCTCCACATGCTTCAAACTTAACTTAGACAATATTGGTAAGGGTTAAACATCTACTGTACAGATCACATAAACTGTACCCCTTACAATTGTCAGTCTTATACAGAAGACAGGACAACCAGTCAAAATATCAAGACCGAGAACAGCTTCAAGAAGATCATAAGAAACTGAAGGATCATTAAAAATATTGCAACAGTATTTTATTAGGGAAGATATTGATGAATTTTTTTTGCTGTCAGATATAGTATAGTAGTATCCCACAATATTTACAGTTGCTTCCGTTATGTACCCTTGTACAATATTTTTTTGTATACTATGTTTTGTATATACAATATATTTTAAATAAATCATATTAAATTTATTGGTAAAAATAATATATATATGCCTCTATATATAATAGAGATTTTTTTTTTTTTATTTATTTATTTATATGATATTTACAACTGTATACAAAAAATACATCTGGTAAATTCGCACATTGGTATAAAGACATGGAACACATGTTGAGAAACTACCCATTGGTAGCACTCTAATAATATGTCTATATTAGAAGATCACGTGGCCATCTTCTTTTCAGACGCCTCGGAGGGTTATCAGGAATCGAATAGGAAGCAAGGTTAGAGACAAGAGGGTTGGGATGGTTATGAAGTTTGTTATGGAAGGACAGATATCTGGATTGGGCCAAATCTAATACATAAGGAACATTAAGGTCATTATGGATAATTTTATTTGTAACAAAGTAAGGAGCATTGAGGATTTTACGAAGGATTTTGGATTGTAAGGATTGTATGCGAGAGGAATTTGAAGGTTTGGTGGTGCCCCATAGCTCAACTCCGTAAGTCCAAATAGGCCTTTAAATGAGTCTTTTATAATTGATTGGAAGGTTAGAGCGTTTGTCTAGTAAGTGTTGGAGTAGTCAGAAACGTCGAGCTGTTTCTTGTCGTTTCAGTCTGGTATGAGGATTCCAAGTTAGACGTTTGTCCAGATGGAGTCCTAGGTAACGGATTTGTTCAACAGGAATAAGTGAGGTGTTGTTAAAGGATACTGAAGGACAGGAAGTCATTGGTTTACGACGATAATAGAGATTTAAAAGTAAATATCTATATTCAACACAGGGAAAAAATACTCTACAATAAAATAAAATATAGACTATTTTAGAGCAGAATATTGCTTTGGTCTGTTATGTTTATATTTTTTTATAATTACCTATTACTGCTATTAATAGATTTGATGAGGATATGATTAATTAATTAATTATAAAATTAACTTTACTTTATTGATATTTCTTTATTTACAATATGTTTATTCATGAGCAGACATTTTAATTAAATTATTCAATCCTCAAGATCACTTGAGCTGCTACTACTACTACTACTACTACTACTATCTTTGCACTCGTCGGAGGTTTCTTCTTCCGTGATTTCCCTATCTGAACTACTTTTTTGAATGATTACTTCATCAGAACTTTCTTCCATTTTCTCTTCTCCGGAAGATTCATATTCAATTTCTGCGAATTCATTGCAACATTCCCATTCTGAAATACTTCTCTCAGTCTCTTCTGATTCTTCTTCCGTTGGTTTAAATTGCTCAACCATCTCGTCATAAAGGAGAAGTGTATCAGGGTCTATATTTGAAGTGATCAGTGGCATGCAAGAACATAGTTGAGGAGTTTTATCAATTTCTACTTTATTACTTTGTTTGAGATAGTATTCAATTTTCCGAAAAACTAAACTGTCTTCTGGGCATGGATTTCCCTTTAAAAATATATTTAGATTTATGGATTGTATAATGTTATTATGGATATTTTATTTAGAAGAGAAAACAAACTTTAGTCTGTAAATAGATTCCTTAAAAATAACGAACATGTATAAATATAAACTGAAAACATAACTGGCCAAATACAGCATTTAATATAATTGAATCAGTAAATACAGTATAAAAAATAAAACCGTCTCAAGAATAAATATAATTGTAGTGAGCAAAACAAATTTTATTGATTTCTCAAGTTGAAACTTAAACATTATAACTATTCTCATGAAAACTTTATTCTAAAATTAAAATTTCATGGTTGGAGAACACATCTGTTAAGGATGTGAAAAAGAACTGGAAAATGAGGATTGGAAAAAGGCATGGGAATATTAGAAGCAGCCAGTTCTAGAAGGCAGTGTAATGTTCAAGAAAGTATTTGGTAATGGCTTATGGGGATGATGCCTTAAGGCACCTATCAAAATTTGTTTGCCAAATGTCATTCAGAAAATTTTGAAATAATGATGCTCAATGGTCTGATTGCCCATATGAAATTGAAACAAGCAATGTTAAGGCCATTGCTAATCAAAATCCCACCTAATCTGTGCGAGTGATTGTTATGGCTCTAAATGTGACGCACACAAGTGTAAAAAACATTTGCACAAGCTCAGCAATGTTTCCAGACTTAATGTTTGGATCAATCACTCTCTAACCGAAGTCAACTTGGCAACACACATTTCTGTTTGTGATTCACTACGGAAACGGCAAAAAAATGAGCCATTTTTGAAAATGTCGATGACAGGAGATGAAAAATGAATATTTTATGATAATGTAGTCCGTAGAAAATCTTGGGGACCTAGTAGTGAGGCTCCTAGAAGAATGTCAAAACCAGGACTGAATCCAAAGAAGATAATGCTTCCCATATGGTGGGATTTCAAGGGTGTTATTTTCTATGAGCTATTGCCTTCAGGACCAAAATTGATTCAACTCTATACTGCTCACAATTAACAAAATTGGATCAATCAATTAAAAATTAACGCCCAGAACTGTCAAATCGGAATGGTTTTGTGTTCCACCATGACAAAGCTAGACCCCACACCTCATTGGTCACTCTCAATAAATTATTGAGCCTTGGATGGGACCTTTTGCCTCACCCTCCTTATTCATCAGACCTAGCCCCAAGTGACTACCACTTATTCCGTTCTATGCAGAACTCCATGATTGGAAAGAAATTCCAAAAGGAAGAGGACATCAAAAACCACTTGGATCAGTTTTTTAACAATTTTGTTTCCAGACATTCTATCATACAGTTAGTGGAAAGATGGGACAGTCATATTAAATAGTGGTCAATATATTGTAATTAAAACAAATTTTATGTCTATAGTATATTGAGTTGTATTTCACCCTGAAAAACCGAAGGACTTATTTGACTGGTTGAGTTCTAAGTGAAACTCCTAGCTGAACACACCTCCCTGAAGAAGACCTGCAAAGTCGGGTCTAAACGTTTGCTTTTAATAAAATAGTTTTACCACTTTTAGCCTATTTATGACTGCCACCCCGGACCATCTCCTTCCTTTATAATGCAACGGTCAACTATTAAATATTCAAAGAAATATATAATTCCAATCCCGCCGTCAGTGTTTTTTTTTAGATCTGTTCCACTACAGCCTATGAAGGGTCTTGGGTTCAGTACTATTTAGGGAAAGCACTGTTTAGTGGTCTACAGTTGTGCAAGGAGGTGATTTGACCGAGATTATGCTCAACCGCCAGGTTTTTCCCCGTACTTAATTATTTTAATTAAGGGTACCCACTTAATAGAGGCTGGTGGGCCTCAGGAGGGTCTACCTACCTTGGATCACCTTACGGCCAATGAAACAGAATAAATAATTTTTCTGCCATGAGCCGGGATTCGAACCTGGGACCGTTAGCATTGGAAGCTCAGTACCCTACCACTGAGCTACCCCAATCCCTCTCTTTTTTGCAGCAATAATATAATTTAATTTTTGTGATCGTTTTCAGTTATTTCACTTTTCAGAAATGAAATACGTAAGAAACTGAAGTGTTCAGTGATCAGCGCTCTAATTTTGTATTGTCATAGACGGCCGGGAAGGTATATATCCCATTTTTAAAAAGTTGAATGAAAACATTAAAATGTATTTTTGGAAGCTAAGATCTTGCATGGTACTCAAAATAGCATTTTAAACAAATTTATGAAGAAAAAAAATCCGTTTTTTTTACATCTTTGTGGATTTTAGGATGCAACGTATGGTAGAAACTCGCAAATGAGCTCCCGCAGTCAAAGGGTTAAATCAAATATTTTTTATGTTAATTAACTCTTCTTATTCAACAAAAATTGTGACTAACACAAATCTTAAATTTACTACTTTTCTACTAGAATTTGGGCAATTGTTTATATGAACTTTTTTGTAGAACCAAAAAATGTCTACTAGCAACCATTTAAATATTTCCCTCTACTTGCGGGACACATTGTATATAAGAAGGTGCCGAGGCCATCTTCTTTTCAGACCACTATGAGGATTTTCAGGAATCGAAAAAGGTGCAAGGTTGGAAACAAGTTGGTTTGGATGAGCCTCAAGTTTATTATGGAAGAATAGGTATATGGATCAGTAACATTTGGAATATTAAAGTCGTTATGGATAATTTTATTTGTGACAAATTGGGGAGCATTGAGGAAAATTAATTTAATTTTTTTTTATTAACAATATTAAGTTTCATGATTTTAATTATATAAATGGGTTCAGTTTTAATTTGGTTTATTTTCATTTGTATATTCTATTTATTATATGACCTTGATGGTCTAGTGGCTAACGTGCAGTACTACCATATTCAACTTATTTATTGAATGTACCTAATCTTAAATATTTGCAACTATTAAAAAAATATATCCTGAAATGTTTATAATTCTCAATTGATAAATACTTTCGCTTTCACTTTGTGTACAGAGTAGAGTATTGATATAAATATTTATTTTTAAATTTTAGCATCTAAACTAAAGTATGTTGTAAGCGTCCGAGGGGTAGACCGAAGCGAAGGTGGGAAGATTGCATTAAAGCCGATCTGAAGGGACTGGGTTTGGACGGCGAACGGTGGAGGGAGGTGTGTAATAAGCGATTGGTGGTGTCGGCATCGAACCTTCTGGTTCGTTAAGCCTTTTATTATTATTATTATTATATAAACTAAAGTATGTTAATAATGAATTATTGGAGGAAGTTAGTCGACTTTTCTACATATCACCCATGATATGTTAATAATGATTATAATGACTAGACCTATTTCAACTGCCAGTCTATCAACTGCCTCCTGCAGTGCCACATGCCACGCCTTGATGAAGACCTGCAAGGTGGGTCGAAATGTCGGCGTAATAATTAAAAACACTATTTCTTAAAATTTAGTATTTATTTGGCTTTGACCGCACTTCCCGATCGATTCCTTCTCAAATAATGATTATTGTGTAATAATAAACAATTAAATTATTTCCATTTAATGTTTTATGAACTATTAATTTGTATACCATATACTCAATTATCCTCAAGTTGTAAGGCCTCTTAGGGGAACTTCTTGAGGTCTGTGCAAGATACTGCTCTCTCAGCGCCCTCAGTAAACATATGAAACCCCTTTCTCTGATTCTGTTATCTAAAATTTTTAATCTGTTCTTAGTAATTAAGGAAATTAATGTTGTATTAGTTAAATTATATAAATACCATATTTCTGGCCATCTCCTTTCTGAAGGGCTACTATGGGGTTCCTGAAGCTGCATTTAAGTGTATTTAATATATTTCTATTTCTATCGATTCAATAAGGGAACAAATATATCTAAAAATATATTAATTATATAGTCTTCTAATTTTTTTTTGGTTGAGATTACAGACCTTGTAGCTCTTTTAATTAACAATGCTGTTCCATCTCTTCCTATCTTGAGCTATTTCTTTCCAGTTATCTGCACTCAGCTCTATTCCATTTTGATTTGATCTATCTGCTTTTTACTTTCACTTACGTATATATGTAATATATAGTAAGGGTAAGTATTGCGATCGAGAAAATTTTTGAATCTGAGTTTTCGACGTATTTATACGTTTTGAGGTACCCTGAGTCGAAATGACCAAGTCCCGACAAATGGTCTGTGTGTCTGTGTGTTTGTATGTTAGCAGTCTAGCTCAAAAACGAAAAGTCCTATGAAACTGATATCACGTATTTAAGATAGGTATATGCCTTAGTTGTGACAGCAACTTTTTCCTTAAAATCGACTAACCGGAAGTGCCACTTTATATCAACGCTGAAACACATTTTCACAGTTTTCTCAAAAACGGCTCTAACGATTTTGATTAAACTTGTTGTATCATTGTATAATTAAGTGGTCTTTAATATAAATTAGGTCTTATCCCCATTGATGTCACTTTACAGGGCTTAAATGCCCAATGTTCATATACGTCTTCCTCTAAAGTACCTTTAATATGGTTTATTTTAAAAAGATAATTATTTCGCATTATTCAGAGTTACGAAAAAATGCTAAATATAACTTTTGAAAGAATTTGATAAGTTAATAAAGGAGAAAAAATAATAAAAATGCAGAAAAACGTAGCTATAGACTGTAGTGCCTAAACGAATGTACCGATTTCATTAAAACTTCGCTAAAGTCATTTTCTCGACACCCTTCAAATTTATCTATATAACATTCATCAGCGAAAAGAAGCTGAAAAAAAGTTACGAGGGATGGTAAAATTAAATTCCGAATAACTCAAAAAGTATACACTTTTTTGGGAATGTTGTATTTGTTTTCTAAAAGTTTATGGAATAGCCTAAAAAACAAAAAAAAAATCTTTAAAATCGGACAATTAGGAGATAAGATATGGTCTCTAGTTTTTTTTTTAATACATTCTGCTGCAATGGTTATATCCTTTGTTTCGGTTTTTGAATTTTGAATGTGTTAATAAGGTAATGCTAATGTTTTTAAAATGTATTTAAAATCCACCTAAGCAAGTTGATGGCATTGTTAAAAAAAACTATTTCAGTGTACTTGTGTGAAAGAAGAAATAAAATATAAAATCATTTCATGGATGTATAAATCATGTGTTAATAATATTAAATACATTTACTGTAGTTTAGTAATTATTTATTAAATTTTAAATTGGTCCATAATCGTCTTATCTTTTTGGTTACATTCAAGGAATCCCTGTGTTATATATGTGTGCGATGTTATATTGCGTTCCTGGAGTTTGAGAATTTAAAGAGAAAAAAGGATTTTTTTTTTATTTTGGGAAAGTGTTTATTACGCTATGTCTATTGTTTGGTATGGTTTATTGTTGATAATTTGTAAGAGTATTGTTATGAAGGGGGAGAAAAAAAAAAAGAAAATTATAATATAAAATTAATGTCCCTATGGATTGATAAGCATAGTGTGTACGAAGCAACCCTATGTAGTAGGGCAGCATTACTTTTAATAAAGTATTTCTCTATAAATAATTAGGTATTAAAGTTAATTCCAAAATATTGTCATATAACTTTTTAGAAAACTAAATTAGTGAATAATTCGATATATCTTCTCTTTGTGATATTCCACTACCATTTCATTGTACTTGTGTGAAAAAAGAAGTGAAATACAAAAATATTTCATAGATACGTTTATAACCATAAATATATTTACTGTAGTTTAATAACTCTAGATCTCATAATATATTTAAATATTTAGATATCTATCGCCCGTTTATTCCGAAAAATTATCATGAAACCTTTTAGAAAATTAAATTAGTGAATAGTTTATACGTTTATAGTTCTATATTAAATTAGACTTGTCTATGATAGACACTGCAAATCTCTTAATTCTGTTTTAATAAACTTTGCAATGGAAAATAACAGTTTAATGACTTATAGTCGTACAATCCATAATCAATGGATCAAACAATCCATAATCAACAAATCATACAATCCATAATCAACTGGTGATATAATAAATAGGACTTTTGTTATTTTAATAGCATTTGTGTTTTTTTTAGCTTTAGCTCAGTTTAAAATGCAATTTAAAACATTTTATAATAGCCTATAATGGCCAGAAAATAATTTTTATTCAAAGTTCAAAGAGTAAGTGAAAGTTGTGTGTTGTGCGCACCAGATTTTTGACCTTTCACTTGGTCTTTTGCCTACTATTGAGACATTCATTATCCTATAGAGGCTTTCAGATAGATTGCTCTGAGGTACATATCCAGCTCATCTTAACTTCATGCCTCAAATATAATGAGATATTGATTGACCAGTTTCTGTAAGCAGATCTCTATTTGTTTTTCTTCTGCATTTATTAGTCTCTGATCCCATATTGTTGTGGTTATCATGCAGAAGATTTTTCTTTCAAATCTTTCAATACTTTTTTCTAGGATATTGGTTAGTGTCCATGTCTCACATCCATATCCTACAACTGGCTTTATCATAGCATTGTAGACTCTTAATTTCAGGTTTTTCATTATTTTTTGAATGAGTAGATTTTTTTAGGCCCTTGCTCCCAGAACTATGAGGTATGACTACATTAAGATATGGAACTCTCACCATGTTTTTCTCCATTTTCCATAAGATTTTGTTACGAACTTTGTTCTATCAAGAATCCATTCGTATAGTATTATTAGTTGCTGTAGAACTAATTTTTATTAATAAACATAATAATCCAGTCACAATTTCTTTTTTTTTTTTTTTTAGAAGTTTGGCCCAACATTTGAGCTCCAAATTTCTAAAAGCAATAGGAAATATTTTAATTCAAAAGAATATTTATCATGTTTGAAAAACAGGATAAGCGGTAAGTTCACTTATATCAATTTGATTGTTTTTGTGAAACCGAAGTATTTGAATTTTTCTACTCTCGGGAACGATTTCCTTCTATGGAGCGGAAATTTCGGCTTATTATCTTATATTTTGTTTTGAGTTCATTTACTTGTAGGCCGATTTGTTATGCTTCTCTTATCAGAATCTTAGCGAGTTTCACAATACCCTCTTGATTACTTGCAAGAACAGCTATATCGTCTGCATATTCAAACATTTTATGATTCATTTTCCTGAGTTGTTGCTCTTATCACTTTGTCCAGGGCTAAGTGAACAACATCGGTGAAAGTGCATATTTAATTTTAACGTGCCGAAACTCTACCAAAAGTTATGTACGTAAATAAACATGAGGAACGTATACAATGTAAACATTTTGCCTGGAAGAACAAAACGCCAACTTGTTCAAGTTTTGACCACTGTGCGATCCTCCACATCATTCTTGAATATCACCAAAACGTCTAAATGTTCACATTCTTTTCAGTTTTCCCCATTTTGACCATAAAGAAGCACGTTTTCAACAAAAAAACATTCTTTACCTTTTTAAACTAAATTAAATACACTAAAATTTGAGACTGATATATGCTCGTTAAATCAAAAAGGTTTTGAACTCCATAATTTGGCAAAATTTCCATACTTGAAAATTTTAAGATATAATAATTTTCATGTTATATCATACAAATCAGTTAAATAAAGATTTATTCAATTGCTATGCCATTGAGTTTTTTTAATGGCATTTATAAACAATATCCAGTGTAATAGAGATTACACTTATAATTAGATTATAATCCAACCTGATTTACTAATTATTAAATAATAATTTTTAAGTATAAGACTATCTCTTACAGCTGATATTCAACACGTTTACTGTGTAATTGCCAGCACCAATTAGTTTCCCGTTACATATTGTGACATTCGCTACAATCGGGTTTGGATCCATTTCTAAAAACTCGTCACAAGTTTGCTGAAGAACGCGCATCCGGATAGGATCTATCTCTGTCTTGAAATTGACTGGTCCTGTATGGAAAAATCAATTACAATATAATATTCATGCTTTTGTCAAAATATTTTATGTTTTTTTATTGAAATTTACAACTGTATTAAATGATAAATATAAGTAAATATGAAACAAGTAACATGATATGTACAACATGAAGAGAAACTACCCGTTGGTAGCACTCCAATTATATTTCTATATCAGAGGATCCCAAGGCCATCTTCTTTTAAGACGCCTCGAAGTTATCAGGAATTGATGGATGAGGAAGCAAGCTTGGAAACAAGAAGGTTCGGATGGTTCAGAAGTTTATTATGGAAGGATAGCTATCTGGATTGAGCTAAGTGGGAAATATATGGTACATTAAGGTTGTTTTGGATGATTTTATTTGTGACGAAGTAGAGAACATTGAGGATTTTACGAAGGATTTTTGATTGTAGGAATTGGATACGAGAGGAATTTGATGGTGTAGTGGAGCCCCAAAGCTCGATCCCGTAAGTCCAAATAGGCCTTATTACAGTAATATATATGATTCTTTTGTAAATAGTTGGAAGTTTAGAGCATTTGTCTAGTAAGTGCTGCAGTAGTCGAAAACGTCAGGCAGTTTCTCTTTTATCAATAAAATTATAATTCTTTTTTTTTTAAGGATATTTATTGGAAGATATTACAATCTGTCACAATTAAGGACATTTATAATGGTGTTCAAAGAGGACATTCACACTCCATTCACAATAAATAAAAATAAATAATACAAAAAAATAATAATCTTAAAAATAAATGTATATAAACTAAACAAAAAGAAACTAAGCTAATGTAAATAACTACCCAAATAGCCACATGCAGAAGCATATAAAAAAAAAAATTCATTCTATTTTGCAAGCGATAAATTCAGCAGAGTTTAAAGAAGTGAAGAGACTCCACAATCACCTCGCTTCATCATAAATGAAAATTAAACACGGTTTAGTTGTGTGTCACCTAAACAAATAGCTGAATAACAAAGTTTTTATTATGACTATTGTGAAACCTTGGCTTTCATAAAAAAATTCAAAATAACTCCTCCCCTCCCCCCCCCCTCCTCCCAATTTTATGAAATTAAATTTGGATCCCCCTACGATTATAATACAAATTGCATCACAAAAAAAGGTTCCCAATTTTAACTATACACCCGTCAACAACGGGTACATCAGCTAGTTATACATATTTTAATTAACAATGAAGTTTATATTTTTTTTTTTATTTTAATAAAAGTTTTACTTTTCAAGTTGTAAAATATCCTATTGTAAAAAAATCTTGTTTATCAATAAATCCACCCACTTAATCCTTGACACGTCATATTTGTTGTTATCACAGTGTATTATCTATCACTGTGATTTTTTCATTCTAAATAAACAATTATTTACCAAAGAGATTCGTTAAACATTCTTCTTCCTCTTCAAAAATGTCTATTTCTTGATTTGGAATTTCCACAATTGGGAGATGAAGTTCTTCGTTGACCTGTGGGTAGTATTAAGATTTTTATTATTTACTCATTTAAACGAGATAGTAATTTTAATAATGACTATGATTCGAAAAACTTTAGGAACAAGGTCAAGGTAATCTGGGTTATGGACCTAATTGTTCTGTTAAATCCAAACCCAAACTGATATGAGTTCTTCTTTAAATCGGGTACCGAGTACAGCTTTTTTTTTTTTAGTTCATTTATTGAATTCGTACCACATATCATTTTCATGGCTCACTAAACTTTATGATTTAATTAATAAAATAATCCTTCAGAAACAAACTATTTAGTCATTTTTTTCATGACAGCACTACTTGAATAATGAGTCATTTATGGCAGGAGAGAAGTGCATTCTGGGTACTCAACAGAGATGCTAATCGCAAAAAATATATTGATATATATCTTATAGATTTTTTTCAAATAAATATAAATATCCATAATAATTTGCACTATGGATATTGCAGTTTGTATTGGGACGATTTTAAGCAGAATAGTAAGAAATTAAAGCTTAATGTTTTTTTAAGTATCACGTTTTTTAATGAACAGACAAAATTTACTTTAAATGAAAATAGAGTTTAAAGAGGACTTATAAGGGGGGCTAAACTAAACTAAAATCAGGTTTTTAAAAAAACCCACAGTTAGGAAAACCTTTTTCTTTAATAAACCTTAGATCTATTCTAGTTAAATTGAGTTTTATTATGAAATAATTTGAATAAAACAATGAGATAAATTGATTTCCTGTCACCTAATATATATTGATACTAATCTAATCTAATGAAATATCTGTAAAAATATCGATATTTTGTGCTTCAATCATTTTAATACTTCATTTAACCCACTCATTTTTTTTTTTACTATTCTTAATCTGTTTAATTCAAACCTTAGTTGCAGAATATTCCTTTGACTTAAAAAAACTTCCTTAAAGTTAGGTAAATATTCTATTGACTTTATTTATGTCAACATAAATATAGCGTAAACACTCACTATATCCTCCAATTCTGTAAGCCTCTCTATTTGCCGGCAATTCATCATGTCTATTTCTCTTTGGGACATCTCTTTTGCATAAAAGCTGTTACTCAAAAACTCTAATCCTTGATCCCCAATCAAGTTGCCAGCCAACGATAAAAACACCAAATCTGTATTCCACCTTAAACACTGATTCATTTTAATTGTTCCATAATGGCATTTTGTTATTTAAGATTAAGTATAATTTTAAATCACTTATCAATTGATCGTTTAATCTAGAAAAGACTAAAAAAATTCAGGTCCACAAAAATTTTTTCTGAAAATATGTATTTGAGTGTGAATTATGAACATTCTTGGGATCGCAGATTTACTGAATGAGATAAAGAGAAGCGAGCGTCCTCAAGCTAGCAATTTCCTCTTCTAAACTTCTCATACCACCTGAATATTGTACGGTGTGGACAATCCTCTTCAAGCATTATTTCCCAATCATTTTTCGTTTTTCAAAAACTAATCCAAAAAACCTACATGAGTAGTCGTAGCGTAAAATCGCTTTGTATTCAACTTTATACCAGGATCTTCGACACCTTTCTCTAACAGTCAGAAGGGAAATTACTGTGGCCTAGTAACTCAGCCACCTACTGTGCAGATTGAGACAGATCTACGCAAGCACCAAACCTTCCTCGCGTTATCCCATCACACATATTGCAAAACTTTCCTAGTGCTCTTTGTGTGTGTTAACGAGCAATATTATTCTTTAGTGTTGCTGATGATAATTGACATTAGATTATTACCTCTGCGAAAGGTTGGACAGCCAAACTGGTAATGTTATTATCATCGAGGACCAATGACTTCAAGCGTTGGGTAGGCTGTAATCCTTCATAAGGCCCAAGCACCCTAGATAGCGCACGCAGTCCTCTGAAACCAATCTTACACATTGCTAAAGACAGGTGCACTAATCTACAAAAAAAAAATTTTTTAATTAATTAATTTTATCAGTGATATATAATATTTGGTAATTTGATAAAATAAAAAATTTAGTTTATGAATTGCTACCATTGGGTAGTTACTCAGCAAGTGTTTTTCATGTCATTATATACATTATGTTCTAATTTACTAGATGTATTTATTTAATACAGTTGTAAATGTCTTTAAGAAATAAAAAAAATTTATGAATTATGCATATCATAAAATTTATTAAGTAACTACATAATTGGATAATTATACATCCGGAATTAGCTCAGGATGTGAACACTTTACTTGTCGATTCAAAGCTCTCTATGATTCGGTGAACAGAACTTTGGAAGATCATGAGTAAGGCAGGAATTCCCGCAAAGTTTGTGAAATTTATGAAGGCAATGTAAAAATGATCCGAAATGTCAAATTATAATATTGGGTGGATCCATAAGTTCGTTCGGTTTTTGTTAGTAGTGCGAATTGTTTTCAAATATACCCAGTTCTCTTTGCCTCATCTGACAATAATGATTCTTATGAGAAAAGTCAAAGTCCATTCTTTGAAACTGTGGTGTTTGGTTTCATTGGCTTTCATTCACTACGCTGTACCACAAACAAAACTAATGTTTTGTTTGTGGTACAGCGTAGTGAATACGTCAAATGATAAAGTGCATTTAAAACAGCTTGGCTACGTGCAGAACCTTGGGAGTCACACAAGCTGATTGAGGCAAACCAAGCCTACATAATATCAATCTGCCACTCTCTTCTGAACCGGCACGAAACAGATCCATTCCCAATCAAATAGTGATGGGTGACAAAGAGAGGATCATCCACGACAATGTAGGGCTCAGGAGATCGTGGACAACTGCTGATGAGCCAAAATATGGTGGTATTATCGCGGTGTGCTATTTTACCAGCTGCTTCCACCAGGAAAAATTATTAATTCCAAGATCTACTGCATGTAGTTAACGAAATTGGACCAAGCATTTCGAAAGAAATGCGCAGAACTAGTCAATCCCAAAGGGGTTGTATTCCACAACGCCAGACCACACTTCGTAACAATCACACAGTAAAAGTTAGTGCAATTCGGCTGAAATGTTTTATTAAACCCAACATATTCACCAGACCTTGCACCATCCGACTACCACTTATTCTGGTCCCTCCAAAAATCCCTCAACGAGGAATTGTTCGCTGATGAGAGAGAGATGTGAAAATATATCTCGATTAGTTTTTCGCCTCTAAACACCAGATTTTTTACAAAAGCGGAATAATGAAATTGTTAAAATGTTGGCAAGAGGTCATTAATAAAAACGGCAAATACATTATATAATAAAATTTTTCTTTTTATGAAAAAAAAAACATGTTTTATTTCACCCTTCAAGAACCAAACGAACTTATGGATCTGCCCAATACAAGGAGAAGAATCTGAAGCCTTCAAAGTTCAAACTGACTTGCTGCAGGAAACTGGATACCGTTCAATTTTGGTCTGAAGAAGTTTATGAGAGAACATCACATAAAAATTGAGGGATGTACATCAGAATGAATCATAATATGCTTCGATATGAAGATGATATATATGTCCTTTGAAGCAATCAAGAGGACGTAGAAAGACTCACTAAGACTCTGATCAGAGAAGCAAAGCAAATCGGCATGGTAGTAAGCCAAAACATTCACCCAAACCAAAGGAGAGAATCATTCCGGAGAGTAGAGTTCAAATTCAAATACCTCGGTTCCATAACAACCTCAAGGAATGACTGACAAGAAGAAATAGGCCAGCATTCCCAAGAGATTTATGTGACTACGGCGCTCTCGCTCAATCTCCACTGGAATCCTGCATCTTCCAATTCTGAAGGGAAAACCCTTGGCTGATTTTAAACAGTGCAAATTGTATTATCTGTTTTTAAGGTGTTATTTTACTTTATTCATATTTAAGGAGAATGGAGAGGCTCAGTAGTAAAGTGCTGACTTCCAACGCTCAAGGCCCCTGATTCGAATTCAGCAGATAAATTATTTATTCTGTTTTGTTGCCGTGGATCGACACTGTGGTTGGAAGATCCTCCTGAGCACCCTCAGCCTTTATAGAATGGGTACACTTAATTAAATAATTGATTAAAAGGGAAAACCTGGAGGAGGAACATGTTAAATGATCTTCTTGCATAATTGTTTACCAAGAAATAGTACTTCCTTATAAGTACTCAACCCAAAACCCTTTATGGGTTGTAGTGGTACAGGTTTTTTTGTATTTAAATTTTAGCTTATATTTATTGTTTGTTATTATTTTACTTTTATTACATCTCATTTATTTATCATTATAACTATTGAGCTTATTGTGACAGAGTATTATATTACATAATGAAATAGTTAATCACTTAAGTTGTGATTTCACTTTTTTTTCTTAGCAAAACTAATTCTCAATGTCTATCCCTGCTCAATTTTATTGTTTTACAGAACATTAAAATAAGATTAATTGATGTAGTTTAAGATAGCCCAGCATTTATAGTTGGGGACAATAGTCAAGAGTTGCATACTTTACTAACATTTTAGCATATTTAAGATTCTTATTATCGGAAAATATTGCCATAGTTCATTAGTTAACCATTGTTTACCTCTCACATACATAAATATATGATATTATAACTCTAATATTGAATAATTTACGTTGTGTTGTTTTTCAATATGGATGAATAGTCTTCATCTGGTAGTGGATTCCTGTCCAAGTACAAATGTGTCACTCTGGTCCTTGGCAAACATTCGGCGAGCATCATAACACCTTCTTTCTTTAACCAACAACCAATTAACCTGTGAAGCATGAAAAAATAATGTTTACACTTATCAATATTTCGTTAATTCTATTAAAATATCCATTATTACTAGTTATTTCTGATATCTATTATAGACTGCTGGACGAAATGGAGGAAACTCTGCGAAATTTGTATGTTTAAGTAAGTAACTTGTAGATTTTAAGAAATAAATTGGCATTAGTAAGCATAAATTTGCTTTTGAATATAACACTGGGTCTTGGAAGTAGTGTTTCAAGGCCAATTGTTGTGCAAGAAGGTGATTGGTGCGGGATTAGGCTCAAATGCCAAGTTTTCCTCCTTAATTAATTATATAATTAAGAGAATCCACTTTAGAGAAGCTGGGTGTGCCCCAAGAGGGTCTTTCGATCCCAGAGTTGATCCACTGCTGATGAAAAATTATTTGTCATTAGCCGCAAAAAAAGTTATGATTTCCCTAAAAAGTGAGGGGTAGGAGAAGAAGAAGGGAGAACAATGAAATCTACAGCTTTTACTGAGACATCGACGTAGTACAGTTCAGTCCCTACCAAGGTTTGTGGAGGGAGGTGATCAGAGCGGAATCATGCTCAACTGCCACGCTTTCCTAATTAATTAAATATTTAATCAAGATTGCATCTTCTTTACAGACGCGGAGTATTATCTGGAATAGAAGAGGAAGCAAGCTTGGAAACAAGAGAGTTAAACGTTTTTCAAGACAAGACTGTAAAAAGTTTTTCCTTGGTGGCCTGTGTTTTAACAATTTTGTTTTTAACATGTGAAAACCCATATATACACGTTAACAAAATTAAAACTTTTCTCACATTTTTCGCAATGGATTTCCCGTTTCGATCCTCAAATTATTGGCCTAATTCTTTAAATCAGCCGCCATTTTTGATAACAGCGGCTCTGAAACGGCAGACAAGGTTCTTGTTACATAAAATAACATACACTTTCGTAATTTACAATCAAACCTTCCTAGATCAGTTCGATTTTAGGGGCCATTGCCTCTGGGCTACTATCGATATAGGGTTGATTTTGATGTGCCTTTATGCTACAGAATCAATATTTATATTTATATTCATATTACAAAAATGTTAAAAATATCGATATTGGGTCTTTGATATCCCATACCTAATCACATAAGTATGAAACATCACCAAATGTTGGAGTTGAACAAACTATTTTGAATTTTTTTTTTTTATTCAAGATATTTACAACTGTATTACAATATAAATACATCAAGTAAATTTGTACACAGGAATACAATCACATGAAAACGCTTGTTGAGAAACTAACCACTGATAGCACTCTAATAATATGTCTATATATTATTTCCTATGTTTCTTTCAAGTCAGGCAAAATTATGAGAAATATTGTTTAAAACTTAAATAATGCAAATAGTAAATTATTTTTTTAAGGTTGAAGTAACAAGATTATTTATTTATTTATTTCACCAACAATATTTTACAGCAAAATTCAAGTATACCTAAATCCAAACGATATTAAATGAATTAAAAAAAAAAAATTTTAAATACAGGTAAATACTAAAATCCACTCATTGAAAAATCGATTTGTATTTTTTAATTAAAGTGGGGATTTACTGATTACTATTGATAAAACGATAAAACATCGCCTGCTGTGATATAATTAAAAAAATATGACATTTATTGCTAATCAATTATGTAATAATTACTATTACTTTTCAAACTAATAATATCTAATATCAGAGGGACTATTGTTGTTAGTACGGTGTTGGCCGCCTTTTCGGTTGTTCCTCAATTTTTGATTGTTCTTCTAGACAATAGCAAACAATGTCCAAGAAGGGATTTGATGATTTGGATGATGATCATCTCATCGGAATACTGATATTCCTTCTCCTTATGAACACCATTTCCTCTTCTTCCTTCTCAAATAAAAAAGCGTAGTCAGAGAAAGAGTCCATCTTTTTATCTTCGAAGATAAAACGAAATGTTCGAAGGTTATAGGCAGGTTATACCAACCCCAGTGAGCAGTTTCAGCGAAATAGCTTCGCAACAGCGGTTCATCTTCTTTTCAGACTCCTAGGAGGTTTGATAATATTAGAGAGAGAAGAACAGCTTTTTAATGTGAGAGAATGCTCACTGGAGAAAGCTATTTTGTTTTGATTGTTAATTTTCGAGCAGTTTTATTAAAGCAGAGTTAGATGTGTTTAATATGGGACAGATGACCACAGACAGACTGTGCTTCCTGCCACCGTTGATCTGTAACCATGTGACTGGCGGAAGACCCAGGAGAGCAGGAAATACCAGAACGGAGTGGAAGCGTTGATCAATATGCCGGGGACGCCGAGCTACTTGCCAAGGAGCACTTTATGAATGCCTAAATGATCGCTGCGGAGAGAGGAGTGATAAAATGCTGCTGATTGACGAGGTTATTGTTGCCTCGCGGTCAACCACATCATCAACAACCACTTGATGATTCTCACACATTTCTTGATAAATACTTTAGAATAGAATAGAATAGAAAATAGAACTTTATTCTGGGACTAAGTCCCCTTAGAATAACAAAGATGAATTAATACAAAATAAAATACCAATCTGGCCAAAAACTAACTTAAAAGAATTCTAACATAATATACATTATTTAAAAAGTAGTATGTAATTAATAATAATAAAAAAAAAATAGACACATATATAGACACACGCACATATATATACATACACACACATACTCAAATATATATACATACATACATATATAAATGAACATACAATCTTCTCCAAATTTACTTATTATTACGATAAAAAAAAAAAAAAAAAAAAAAGACAAGAAATTACATATCTATATATACATAATTGAGCAATTTATAAATAATAGGCTATCTAATAGAAACATAATTTAATACAAAATGTAATAATATTTACAGTGATTCATAAAATAATAAGCAAACACTAAGATAAAATAAAATCTCAGGAATAATTGTGGTATAAAGGTAAAAAAGGAACTATATATATGTACTTGCTCATTATGCTACACAGTGACACAAAAAGTATAAAATATAAACATATATACATGAAAGAAAAAGTACAACCTGAGGTGAAGAGAAATACAAATAAATAGTAAGAATAATAGTAAAAAATCACTGCTGTTTTATGTTAAAACTTAAACTGTAGGCACCAACATTTACTTCTCACAAAATCAGTTCATAAAATGAAATTTATGGTGGCGAATCGTCTGTTTGGGATGTAAGGAGATATTGGAAAAGGTGGTATTTGAAAGTTGACAGTGAAGAAGCATGACGGATGTTATGTGGCAAAGAATTCCAGTAGGCGACGGAGCGGGCTAAGAAGGAACGTTCATAGGTTTTTGTCCTGTGGAATGGAATATAGAGGTCAGAAACACGGGATCTCGTTTTTATTGAGTGGACTAAAGGTTTCGGCTGGAGGAGACAACAGATATAGGAAGGATGCTGGGAGTTGATCGTTTGATATAAGAAATTTCCAAGGAAGTGTAGGCGGCGGGAAGAGCCACTTTGACTCGGAATATAGGTGGGACACATGAGACCATCTCGAAGTGCCGAAGACAAATCTTAAAAAACAGTTTATTGTAATTATCAGTCCGCGGTATAGATCCCCTTCTATCAAATGGCCCTTTTATACTTTAAGCACACCAGTGAATTTTGGTTTATTATTTTCAATAGGTATTTTCAACGTGAGGTTTCACGTTTCAGGATGCGTAGAATTCGAAAAACGAATAAAATTTTTTTTGTTCGTCCGCGCATTTTCTCCGAAACTACTGGACCGATTTTTTTTCAAATTTGGATATAAAATCAGAGATCAACTCAACCGAGGATGATACTACTTCATCGACATTATTATGCGCCTTTTACTTTCAAAATGGCGGCCGAAAAACCTGCGTTGCTATAGACTGTAGCGCCTAAACGAATGTAGTGATTTCAATGAAACTTCGCTAAAGTCATTTTCTCTACGCCCTTTAAATTTATCTATATAACATGCTTCAACGAAAAGAAGCTGGAAAAAAAGTTACGAGGCATGGTAAAATTTAATTCCGAATAACTCAAAAAGTATACACTTTTATGGTGATGTTGTATATGTTTTTTTAAAAGTTTACGAAATTTCCTAAAAACCTACTCCTAAAATTTTCTACTCCAGTGGGTATGCTGAGTAGAAATATCTCTATCCTGTTTTCCAACGGAAATACTTCCTAGGTCTATTCTTTTTCAGAACCTTTACCCGGAGATATCGTTTATCAAGAGGGCTCTGTACCTCGAACTCTAACCTTTTCTCTTAAAAATGACACAAGGGCTGAAAAGTTAATACAGAGAAAGAAATAAAGTATGAGTTTGTTATCAAATTGAATGGTTTTATATTGTTTAACTTACCTTATCACCGACAAAGTTCGGGTGTTGATGCAGATGTCAACAAAAGCTTGAAATAGTGGATATTCGTTGAATGGACCTAACAAATTAACATGATTCATTAAATTGCCTCTGACAGCTTAAAGTGTTTTTAATACAGAGTAAAATATTTTACTTAGTTCTGCCATAAATACTGTTACAAAAGTTGAACTTTGTTTACATTATTGGATATTATTTAGATAATCCTTACCTCTATCAGGTTATTTTCTTTACATGGCAGGATAATAATCAAAATTAGTTAGTATTTTTCTTTCGCTTAGTTAATATGGAGTCGGATGGTAAAGAAAACCGAATAGATCGCCTTACAGAAAGTTGGAAAACTTAGGTCAGAGATTTTCAACACTTTGAAACCTTTGGGTATCAGCCGTATGTTCGGTTACCGCACTATAAATAGATATAATGAGACCCTATCTGTATGTGACAGACCTCGACCGGGCCGTCCCCGAACTGTGAGAACGGCAAATGCAGTGAGAGCAGTGGCTGCTCCAATCAGAAGAAATCCCATTCCAAAACAACAAATCATGTCTCGGGAAATGGGAATCAATGTCTTACATAATAAAAAGTGACCTTAGGATGGGTGCATTTCGAAGAATGACAGGACAAAGGCTAACCACTTCCCTAAAAAAACATAGAATGGATAGATGCAAAATGCTTTTTGGCCGTTACACCAATTGTCTTCATCAAAAGATTTTGTTTAGCGGTGATTAAATTGTTACAATTGAAGTACAATTTAATCAACAAAATGATCAACAGCTCTAAAGAAGCTCAGGAAGTCATTGGAAGAGTGGAAACAGGTCACCACTCTTCCTCAGAGATGCTTTGGTGAGGAGTTAGCTTTGATGGCACCACAAAGCTCCATTTTTGTGAAAATGGAGTTAAAACAGCTTTAGGAAGCACTGATCTCAACCCACTTAATAATCGGCTTTGGTCCGAACTGGAGAGAATGGCATGCCACAGAGCACACCCGAACTTGAAAAGCCTCAAACAATCTCTGGTCCGAGCAGTTGAGCGCTTTCCTCAAGAAGTTCTGCGTGCTGCTATTGATGACTGACCACAGAGATTAAATACCTGAGTCAAGGAAAATGGGAGACATTTTGAGTGATTTCTTTTTTGTTTTACTGTCTACAGATATAAATTTTATTTCCTAATAAAGTTCTTGAAAAAATAATTCTTTTTTTGAAATCTGTATATATTTCTTTGTAACAATATTTATGACAGGACTAGGCATAACATATACTAGATATTTTTAGTTAAATGTATATTTATTTATTTATATTTAATGCAATTTGCACCTGCGCATCTAGCAAATTTGTTGTGTTTCTACTGTCTTGGTGTATTTGCTTGATTTGGTGTTCATTGATTTAGTAGGTCTCTTGGCCATTTTATTCTTAATCTGCGCTGTTCAGGTAACAGGGAGCAGGAGATAGAAAGAACCAGAGGATTTGAGTGATTTTGGGTTGAAGAATGAAATGTAGTGAATTTGTTAATAGTAATGTTTGATTTTTTTTTTTTTTAACATTTAAATACATCCTTAAATGACTTCCATCAAACCCATATCTATTCTCCTTTGGAATGCGAATGGTGTTAGAAATCACATACACGAACTAACAGCCTTACTACAAGACAAGAACGTAGATATAGCCCTAATAACCGAAATTTGACTGAATAGAAAATCTAAACTTTCTGGTGAAAACAAATTACTGATCTACAAGACAATACTGAAACCCATCTGGACTTACGGACTAGAACTATGGGGAACAGCTAAATTTTCTAACATCAAACGCATTCAATCCTTTCAGTCTAAAGTCCTCCGTACAATAGTCGATGCTCCCTTCTATGTAACCAATAAAACCCTGCATAGTGACCTTAATATCCCATTGATTCTTGACCTTATCCCAGCCAAATTTTCCATATTTCACCAGAACCTTTCTCATCACCCAAATCCCGTTGTACAATCCCTATCAAGCACCACCCATCCCTACAATCCCATTCGTAGATTAAAGCGGCAGTGGCCACGAGACCTTTTGTAAATATGGATATTTTGGAGTTCTAGCAATGGCCAGATTCTCCACTCAAGTTATGAGTGTCTGTGACTGTAGCGCTCTTACTCATCCTCTGCTGGTCTTATATACCAGTGAAGTGGCTGAGGAAGAAGCGTAGGGATCTCCTAAGCCTCCCTTTTCCTTTGTGTTTGTTTTTGTTTGAAAGTTCACTCAATCACTACTTTATTTATAAGTTCCTATTGTTGTTCATTTTGTATTACGAAAAAGTATTTGTCGTGGATGTAGGACTTTACTGTTGGGATGTTCAAGTCGTTATGTATAGTAGAGTATTTGAAATGAACCAAGGTGCGTTAACAATTTTTCGTAAAATTTTTGATTGTGCTGTTTGTATTTTGTTTATGTGTGTTTGTTTTGCTGAACCCCAAAGTTCTGCTCCATATGTCCATATTGGTCTCAGTAAGGTGTTGTAGATTAATCGTTTGTTTCGTAAGTTAAGTGAAGATCTGTAGTCCAGAAGATGTGAAAGTTGGCTATATCGTCTAGTAAGTTCTTGTCTTTTTAATTTCGTATGTATGTTCCAAGTAAGTCTTTTGTCTAAGTAGAGTGAATATAGTTTTTATTTTAGTTTTTTTTCTAATATCAAATGAACAAAGGAATGCCACTTAAGTTTATATTTTTAGAATTTTCCTTGGGGCTCCACCAAACCATCGAATTCCTATTGTATCCAATCCTTACAATCCAAAATCCTCCGTAAAATTCTTAATGCTCCATACTTTGTCACAAATAAAACCATTCATAAAGACCTTAATGTACCATATGTCGCTGATTTAGCTCGAGCCAGATATCTATCCTTTCATGATAAATTCAGTCCCATCCAAATCCGCTTGTTTCCACTCTTGCTTCTTTCTCGATTTCTGATAATCCTCCTAGGCGTCTGAAAAGGAGATGGCCTCGTGATCTTCTTACTTAAAATTATTTAGAGAGTGCTACCACTGGGTAGTAACTCTTCAAGCCTGTACATGCCATTATTTATATTTGCGCATATTTACTTGTTGTATTTGTATACAGTTGTAAATTCCATTAAATAAACAAAAAAAAAAAAAAAAAAGAATTTTCCTTATTATGAAATGTACACCAAAACATGAACGATTATTGTGTACATATGTATTTGTAAATTTTCAATTGCCTTATTATTAATAAGTAAATTTTAAATTTGTATGTTTTATTAAGAATTGGCCCCACCAGACTTGCTGGAGGGTGTGACGTAGGATTGAACGCCCTCACATAAGTTCACCAAACACCACAAAAAGTCATGGATCTCCCTAAGGTAAAACGCTCATTATCCGGAGGTAAACTAGTCCCCCGTTCGGGTCTCCGGGTGGGGACTGCTTTAGGGGATTCATGGCGCAAGTTGAAATATAGGGATTTAAATATTGGTACGTGGAATGTAAGGAGTTTAAACACAGCAGGGGGGCTAAAATCGGTCGCGAATGAGGTAAATGGGTACAATTTGGATGTCGTGGCTCTGCAAGAGGTTCGTTGGCCAGGGGAGGGCTCGATGAGGGAAGGGAAGTACACTATTTGGTACGGAGGAAGCGAGAAACATTGTTTAGGTACCGGGTTTCTAATTAGGCGTAGATTACTATCCGCTAAGAGGGACGTACAATTCTTTAGTGATAGAATTTCGGTAGCTACATTTCAGGGACGTTGGTTTAAAATCGCATTAATAAACATACATTGTCCGACCGAAGACAGTGACAATGATGTCAAAAGTGAATTTTACGATAAACTCGAATGGGTTTATGATAAACTACCACGAAACTACATGAAAATAATTGTAGGTGACGCGAACGCAAAGGTAGGAAGGGAAGAAGTTTATATTCCGACGATTGGTAAAGAAAGTTTGCACGAATATAGTAATGATAATGGGATCCGTCTGATAAACTTTGCCATCTCGAAAAACCTGATAATTAAAAGTACGACGTTTAAACATAAGGATATTCATAAATATACTTGGACATCACCGGATTCGCAAACACGAAATCAAATCGATCATGTCTTGATACAACTCAGCTGGCAAAGCAGTATAATTAATGTACGGTCTTATCGCGGAGCAGAATGTGGGTCGGATCATGAATTAGTAATCGCGAAACTTCGACAAAAACTTAACATAAAAAAGAGAAAAGAAAACCGTTTCGATTTTGAGAATTTTAATTTGGAAAAATTAAAAAATCCATCAATTAGAAACCAATTCGAGCTAGATGTTAAGAATAGGTTTGAAGCTTTAGAGCTTCCTGACGAGGACCACGAGGATATTGACAAGTTATGGATAGAGATCAGAGACAATATTAAAGCGGTCGGTAACTCGTGTCTAGGAAAAAAGGAAAATAAGAATAACAAACCGTGGTTTGATGAAGATTGCTTAAACATGTGTGAAAAAAGAAAAGCCGCTAAATTAAAAGCTCTAAATAATCCTAGCGAAGACAATCTGGAATACTTCCGAACCTCAAAGAACGAAACGACAAAATTGCTCAAAAATAAAAAAAGGGAGTATCTTAAAAATAAAATAATTGAAATAGAAACTAATAGAATCGAAAATAACGTAAGAGACATGTACAAAGGTATAAACAGATCACGTAAATATGTAGGGCCCGTAACGTCTGGAATTAGGGATGATAATAACAATATTCTGACCGATCCGGCTGACATATTGAATAAGTTTAAGAACCACTTTGACAATATTTTAAATACGGGAAATTATGATCTGTGTCCTCCTTCTGAGTACCAGAGTGCTGAACCGTTAATAGAAGGACCAAGTAAAGAGGAAGTTGAAGTAGCTATCGGAAAATTAAAATCATATAAAGCAGCGGGAATCGATAATATTCCTACTGAACTAATTAAGGCATGCGGAGAAGCTGGAGTTTCTAAAATACATCGGTTGGTTAAAAAGATCTGGGTGAACGAGAAATTACCTGAAGAATGGAAAGAATCTATTCTTATTCCGATTCACAAAAAGGGTCCGAGGACGGATTGTAATAACTATCGAGGAATTTCACTCCTTCCGGTATGTTATAAAATATTCACTTCAATCTTAACCAGTCGAATCACGGAATACGCCGAGGAAATTATCGGAGACTACCAATGCGGATTTAGACGGAATCGTTCGACTATTGATCAAATATTTTCTTTACGGCAAATATTAGAGAAAAAATTGGAGTATAACGGTATTGTTCACCAGCTGTATATAGATTTTAAAAAGGCTTACGATTCTATTGACCGCCAGAAACTGTATAATATTCTAATCGAGCAGGGGATTCCAAAAAAACTAGTAAATCTAGTCAGGATGTGCTTGACGGAGACACTCAATAAAGTTAGAATCGGTAATAATTTGTCCGAAAAATTTGAGGTTCGTTCGGGCTTAAAACAGGGGGATTCTCTTTCGCCTGTCCTGTTCAATTTGGCATTAGAACATGCCATTAGGGAGGTAATGCGAACCGAGAAAGGGTTGGATCTGGGCGGGACAACATCCGTGCTGGGCTATGCTGATGATCTGGTACTGTTAAGCGAAGACGTTGAAACTATAAAACTAAATACGACAACGTCAATGAAAGCCGGGAAAGAACTAGGACTCGAAATAAACGTGGATAAAACAAAATATATGGTTAGCTGCAAAAATGGCGATACTACTGGTGATATCGATATAGATGGTAATATGTTTGAACAGGTAGATAAATTTAGGTATCTAGGTTCTACGATAACTAGAAAAAACGAAATTGAAGGAGAGATTAAGGTTAGACTGAAGGCGGGGAATGCTTGTTATTTTTCTGTGACAAAACTACTTAGTTCGCGCCTCTTGTCCCGAAACTTAAAAATTAGAATCTATAAAACAATTATCTTACCTACAGTTCTTTATGGATGCGAAACTTGGCCGCTTACATTAAGGGATGAGCAGCGTCTTAAGGTTTTTGAAAATAAAGTATTGCGTAGAATATTCGGACCGAAAAAGGATGAGTTAACCGGAGAGTTCAGACGGTTACACAACGCCGAATTGCGTGAGATGTATCCGGGTAATATAATTGAGGTAATTTCATCGCGGCGAATCAAATGGGCTTGTAAAGTTGTTGGGCTTAGTAACGAGAGAATTCCTAAAAGGTTAATATTTGCTGTGCCGAATGGTAGGCGTCAGAGGGGTAGACCGAAGCGAAGATGGGAAGATTGCATTAAAGCCGATCTGAAGGGACTGGGTTTGGACGGCGAACGGTGGAGGGAGGTGTGTAACAAGCGATTGGTGGTGTCGGCATCGAACCTTCGGGTTCGCTAAGCCTTATTATTATTATTATTATTAAGAATTGGAGTTCACTTTAGTCTCACCTGATATATTGATACCTCCAATAACCTTCTCATCTGTTATTTCGATAACATGAAATATCGTCGGTCTTTTCTGCTTCCTGCTCCACCTAAAAAAAAGAAGCATCGAATAAACGAAATGCAATAGAGCTGAATGGGGATCACTGGAAAGAAATAGCCAAACATAGGCAGAGATGGAAACGGCTGATTATGAAGAAAGAGAATCTACAATATCTGAAATGCTAATAAAAAAATCTGCAACACAACTTTCACTTACCTCTCTACTTTGAATAAAAAATATTTTTTTTTGCAATGCTGGGAATTTATAAAATTTTTAAAGTGTATTTTTAACGAAGCTACAGCTTAAAGCTTATAGCTAACAAATAATTAGAGAGAGAGAGAGAAATACTTTATTGAAAGTAATGCTGCCCTAATACATAGGGTTGCTTTATACACAGCATCCTGATCAATCCATAAGAACATAGCTCCTACATTACATTATTCCACCATTATAAAAACATATCATTTTTTTTCCTCTCTTTTCATAATACTAGTCATATACACTATCACTATATACCACATTAAGCGATTACCACTATAACACATTTTCCTAAAAAAAAAAAAATATTCGAATGCTAGAAATACAAGACCAAATCGCACACAAAAGATAAGACAAAAAAAAAAATTAAAATTGAATAAATGAATAAATAGATAAATGACAAAAGACATCATAAATTCGCAGTCAATTTCTATATAAGTAATAATTGTGGGTTGTGTAGTGAATAATGAATAGAAGAATAGTTGGGGTGATCAGTCAAAATAAACATGGCAAAAATAAATAATAATATTTATTTTAACATTTTCCGACGTTTCGAACCGAAGTTCAGGCCTTTATCAGGGCTGATAAAAGAACCAGATAACAATTGGAATGAGAAACATAAACAATGTAGGTAAAAAACGTCTGCCAAGAAAGGTCAGTATAGCTTCCTCACCGTTTTCGTTGGCTAAAATATTAAAATGTATACAATTTTTCGTATGAGAATAAAATCACTGGAAGAAACTGATTCGGAAATACAGTAACCCTTCAACATTCGCGGGTTTGATATCCACGAATTTCGTTTATCAGCTAATTTTAAAATGCGAAAGAGTGTCGTTATTCGAAGATTCCATATTTTAAAATCCTTAATTAAAAAAACCAAAAAAAAAAAGCTTACTGAACATGCATTTCATAACAGTTAGTGCAAAATGTCGTATGTAAAAATTGATTGTTGTTGCAAGAGTGCATAAAAACTTATTATTTCTTTATGCTTTAGAAAGAAATAACGTTGTAATGAAGGAACCAAACGTATCCTAAACTCACCCGAGCTGGTAAGAAGATAATAACAGGCTTCCATAGTAACATGATCTTAATATAATAAGGAATCCGAAAATATTATGTACATATACATATGCGGTTTTTCTAAATGTTTTTGTTGGTATTATTTAATATTTCATTGTATAGATTACAGCTATATAAATATTAAAATTTGTATATATACATATGTATATATACAAGGGGGTTTTTAAACAAATACAAATATCCAAAACGAAATATAAATTAATATAATGTTTATAATTTTTACTTTCATTTCCCCTTTGTCTGAAAACATTTATTTCAGCTAAGAAGAGGGTGGGGTAAGTGAAAGTTGGGTGATGCGCGCACCAGATTTTTTTTTATTTTACGATGGTGTACATAGAATTTAATTATCTTGAATAATTTTTGCTGATGATATTGACATAATAGGTAGGTCTGAACGGGCTCTCAGAGAAGCGTTTATAAGCCTTGAAGCAGCTGCAAGACCACTTGGTCTAGAAGTCAACGAGAGGAAAACTAAGTATGTGAGAGTTGGTGGTGAGGTGGATCTGAACTCTCCATTTGAGGTAGGTTCTTTTAAGTTTGAGAGAGTGAAAAGTTTTATATACCTTGGGTCTGAAATTAATAGCAAAAATGACATGGCTCAAGAAATACAAAGAAGGATCACGGCTGCCAATAGATGTGTCTTTGGACTTGGCCGACACTTAAGAAGTAGGTACCTCTCAAAGAAGACCAAGCTGATCATATACAAGACCCTTGTTCGGCCTGTTTTGACATATGGCTCAGAGGCTTGGACGATGACCAAAAACGATGAGATGAAGCTGAGTGTGTTTGAGCGAGAAGTCCTCAGAAGGATTTATGGTCCAGTAAAGGAGGGTGATGTCTGGAGGAAAAGAAAAAATAGGGAGCTCAGTTCTCTCTATACAGACATCGACGTAGTCACCTATATTAAACTGGCCAGACTAAGGTGGGCAGGGCATGTGGCCAGAATGAGCACCGTTGAAATACCAAAGAAAATAATGATGGAGGAGCTGCACCTCGTAAGACGGGTAGGAAGGCCGAGGACGAGATGATTGGACAACGTGGCCTATGATGCGAGAACCCTGCTTGGTGTACGGAACTGGAGAGCTGCAGCAGAAGACAGAGCCAACTGGCGGAGGCTCTTGGAGGAGGCCCAGTCTCGGTAACGGGATGTCGTGCCACACATGATGATGATGAATAATTTTTGAGTAATTCATTCTTATTCTATAGAAAAGTGACTACCTTCAGAAAAACACAAAATTGGTCTTAAATCCTTTTCCATTCGGTATCGAAACATGCATCAAATGAACTATTTTGTTGTAAATTTTGTCTAGAATCACAACCTAGAGTTTTAGCATTAAGAACTGAGAGACTCTGTATAAAAATTTAAATTGAAAAATTGGATATTTTACGTAGCCACAGATGAGTAATGTCTCGTCATGTAGGTCTCTTCGTCCATTATCTTGATCGGGAAGGCAGGCTCGGGGTAAGGATGGCTCGCCTTGAAGAACTCCACCTTCATGATCTCTTGGTAGCCATATTCCTCCACAAGTTTTTGCCATCGCTCTACGAAGTCCAACACTGCCTCATCTAGCAGTGAGAAAATGACGTTAGTATTTTTTTCCATTAATGACTATAGAAATTTTTATGTCTTAATTAATTATGTGAATCGGAGATGAATAATATTATGCTTAAGTTCAAACGGCGGAGAAACCATTATATCAACAGCCACACTGTAAAAGCCTGTAAGTAACCTAATAAAGTTTAATTTTAAATCATTTGTTTGGCGGGAATTGGCGAATAGCCTTCCGCTTTTATATCGGAGAACTAGGTTATTTACACTCGTGATTATAAAAACAAAACCCCGGCACTGGATATAGACTTTTGAGGGTGTTTAACTGCCGTTGGGAATTCGGGAATCTAATACTTTTTGTGACAATCAGTGCGAAAAAACATTAAGAATATACACTGACAGGCAAACAATTCTACCCACTTGATTTTTCCATGTTTTCATCTAAAAATATTTCTGCAACTTGTAAAAACAGTTGTATTTGTATATAATACATGGTATTTGTAGATAATACTTAGTATTTATGGAATTTTATAATCTCTTTAACCTTTAATAATTAAAATGTGATTGGTTAAGAAAGATTAGAGAAAAAAATATTAAAAAACGAACCATTATTATTCTAAAAGAAATTAATTATATTATCATTTAGTAGTGCGTGTTTCCTCCTCTTGTCTTCATTACTTCTTGAAGACGCCTCGGCATACTTACCACCAGTCGGGAAATGTCCCTTTGCGCGAGGATAGCCCATTTCAAGGTCCTGTAGTGTATCAGGAAGTCTTGCACGCGCTCTTATTCGTCTTCTGAGGTTATCCCATAAATGCTCAATGGGGTTCAAATCTGGAGAACGTGCTGGCCAGGCTAAAACCTCAATATTGTTCTGTTGAAGGAACGTCTGCACTATGCGGGCGACATGTGGGCGTGCATTATCGTGAATTAGAATAGAACGATCGCCGATTTCGTTGAGAATAGGCAACACAAGAGGTTCCAAAATCTTATCTACATAGCAGATGGCCGTCAAAGACCCTCCACGAACAACAACCAATTCTGTGCGGCGCTCCATTAAAATCCCAGCCCACACCATTAAGGAACCACGTTGGAAAGGTTGGCTCTGGGAAAAATTACAAGCTGCGTATTTTTCGTTTCTTCTTCTTCACGCCCGTCTGGAGATCGAAGAGCGAATCTTGACTCATCTGTAAAAAGTACAGCACTCCATTCGTCCATAGTACAGTGGCTGTGTTCTCGAGCAAAAGCCAGCCGTGTTACTCTGTGAGTTCTGGTCAACTCTGGTCCTCTTACTGGACGAATAGCCATTAATCTTCATTTAATCTTCTCCGAGCGGTACGTTCAGAAATTTTCACACCTCGAACTTCTTCGAGCTGATGAATCGCTTGAACAACGGTAAGGTGCCGGTTTCGTAAAATTCTCAAAGTCAAAAACCGGTCATCCCGTGGTTCTGTTACCCTAGGCCGTTCAGAACCGGGCCTTCTATTGTAAGAACCAGTTTCCCGAAAACGCCTGACGGCGTCTCGTAAAGTTTCATATGGAACTCCGATGGCATTAGCTGCATAACTAATGGAACGTCCATCATCAATAAGTGCCACACCACGCACAACATCCTCAGCACTAAGAGGCATTTTTAAACTTAATATTGAAAAAATTAAAAGCCGGAGACTAAGAAATATGCTGCAAGAAACGGCACTGATACTGAATAAACCTTTTGATTCCATAGAAAGTAAACATTGGAATCTAGAATCATTTCATTGAATTAAGGATTCAGTGTTATTGTCCTCTATGTTAACATTCCTAATTGAAAACAAACAAAAAGATTACCTATTTATTCATTAAAAAGAATAGACCAATCCAAAGCAGAAATATTCTTAGATGAAAACATGAAAAAATCAAGTGGGTGGAATTTTTCGCCTGTCAGTGTATATACCTGAAATGTAGGATTTAGTAAATACACTTTGAATGAATTGACTGAATGAATTGAATGAATTGGTTTGTTATTCTTCAATCGTGAGGCATATAGGGTAACTAAATAAAATGACTTTTTACTCCTGTATAATAAAAAAAATTATTTTATAACTGTAATAAATTGACTCTATTATAGTCTTATAACTTTAGGCCTGATCTTCTTAATCTTCAATGCAGTGCCTCTATCTTCTGACAACTTCCTTTCTTCCTGTCCAGGTCTAGAGTGCCTTCTCTTCCCAGATAACGTCTTCTCGTCTTCGTGTCCAGGCCTCAAGTGCCCTTCTCTCCCTCGGCGTCCTCCTCCAGCTGTTGCTACCTGGTCTTTTCTTTTTTCAGCGTCCTTCTTCATCGATTATTTATCGATATGAGACTTTTCAATGAACGATTTGTCCACTGCACAATTGAGTACAATTCACAGTACAACTTCACATTCTTATATATTATATATTTCTTCTCATTCCCTCACCCATTGTCACATAAAGGAGTAAATACCGGGGGATGTCTACTACAAGCCTGTAAGAACGAAAAATATAGTAAAATTTTCAGAAGACTAAAAACTGCGTAATATATAATTGGTAATTGGTTGACTGTCGTGGATAATGAAGAGAAGAATAGTTGGGGTGTTCAGTCAAAAAGGGAGGCAAAAATAAATGATAATATTTATTTTTTACATATGCCGACGTTTCGACCTGAAGTTCAGGCCTTCATCAGGGCTAAGAAAATAACCAGATAACAAGATATGAGAAACATAAGTAATGATGGTAAAAAAGATAATAAACAATAAAAAAAGAAAATAGAAAAAAATTAGAAAAATAAAATAGATAAATATAAAGTAAAATGAAATTGTTAGAATAATGACTAAGAACTAAGAGATAAATAATAAAAACCGTTACAATGGGAATCTTAGAATAAAATGTAAAACATAAAAAAGAAATATGAAGTTATATAAGAAATGAAAATAAATAGTAAAATTAAAACATTGAGAATGGAGTAGTTAGATAGAAAATTGAGATATTGTAAAGCCTATCAAGATGTACAGACAATGTATGATATAATAAAGAGTTAAAAACAGAGAAAAGGAATGAAAGGAAGGAGGGAAGAAATTGAGAAAGCTGAAATAAGAAAGAAATAAAAGAAGTACTACCTGTCTTCTTAAGTGTCGCAGGGAGAATAAAAGTCGTTACAAGGGAGAGGGAGAGGGGAGAGAACATATGAAACGTCGGCATATGTAAAAATAAATATTATCATTTATTTTTGCCTTCCTTTTTGACTGAACAACCCAACTATTCTTCTCTTCATTAAAAACTGCGTAATTTTTGTTCTATGAGCATTATTTTTTCGGTTCAATTTTTTGCATATCTAAGACAAAAGCGCTGCAAATTATTTCACAATAGTTTATTATTTCCAAACAATTATGCATGTAAAGTAACATTACCTTCCTAGTGACAAAGAAAAAGACATAAAAGGTGATTCGTATATTATTGGCGTTACTTCAATAACACTTTCAAAAACAAAAAAAACATAAACAAAGGATATATCCTTAGCAGTAGAACATATAAAAAATATCTAGGAACTATATCTTTGTCCAATTTTAGAATTGTCCAATTTTTTAGGAAATTTCGCAAACTTTTAAATAACCAAGTGTATACTTTTTGAGTTATTAAGAATCTAAGTTTACCACCCCTCCTAACTTTTTTTTCCAGCTTATTTTCGTTGAAGTATCTTATATAGACAAACTTAAAGAACATCGACAAGAAGATTTTAGCAATCGGTACATTCGTTTAGGCGCTACAGGTTAATGCAACACAGTTTTTTTCGGCCGCCATCTTGAAACGAAAAGGCGGATAGTAATGTCGATAAAGAAGGATCATCCTCGGATGACCTCTGACTTTAAATCCAAATTTGAAAAAATCGGTTCATTAGTTTCGGAGAAAATAATGGAGTTGTCCCCGCAGAGGGACAAACAATTTTTTATTCGTTTTTCGAATTCAACGTCTCCTGAAACGTTAAAAATCAAATTTTTAAGGTTGGGTTAAGTTTTTGAATTTTTTCGAGTAATATTTCTAAAAATAATCTTTTAGAATCATTATTTCTAACTTATAGCTTTTTAGTTACTTTGAAAAACAGGTATTGATTAGGTAAAAGCAGGAGCGCCCAGAAGGGGGTTTCATCGCGCAAGTTGAAAGTTTAGAGAGGGGGATTTTGACAGTGTTTTAATTTTTTGAGGGGGCACCTTTTTCGACGGGTATATTAATTTGGAAATGAAAAGATTCAAAACAAAAGACAAGAAAGCATGGGATGGATTGAAATTGTACATAATCACCAATTTTTATAGTTCCACTTTCGCTTGCATTGTTTTTTGAAGGATGAGCAATAAAATATCTTGGGTGAGGAAGAGCGGCATTGACCTTGGGGAGATGAGCACCCCTGAGTAAAAGCTATCAAATTTATTGTAGTAACACTCATAACTTTATTAATAATGATCAAACCATGACAGGAACAAAGCCACTTTCCAAAATGTAGAGAAACGATACTTCAAATGAAAATTTTTAAAACATTTGACTGGTAAGAGATTATTAGATCTCTAGAATAGACGGGTTATTCACATTTTGAATGAGAAATGCTTTATTAAATATGCATACGTTATAAATTTCCAAAATACAAAGAACATTTATGATTACTCATTACTCACTGTCGGAAATGTTACATGTAAAACTGTACAAATAAGGTTCTTATAACAACTGCATATATATGAATGACTAATAAATAATAAAATAACTAACACAATATAAAATAATAAATATTTTGAATAATTTATGTCTCAGAAATAATAATAAAGGAAAACAATGGAAATAATAAACAATAACAATGAATGGACTGATCATAAATACATTAGACGGATCATTGTTTATGCTGGATGCAGCAAATTAAAACGGTGTTTCCACGCATGTCGAGCAAAACCGACCATTTTACCGCATTCGTTCACAGAAGGGGCATTTAGAAGAGAAATTAGGATATCATTTCGAACCGGGCTAGTTCCAAGAAATTCTATACGAATTTGGGCAAGCATTGAACATTCAGCCAGAAAATGGAACAGGTCCTCGTTTACTGGTAGGTTACAGAATGGACAATCCGTATATTCTCTGCCAAGCCATGAGATGTAATTCAAATAAAGTTCACACTTTAGCTTGGACAGCCAACTCAACTTGCGCCCTGTCAAATCCCAACATCTACGAATTTCAAAATTTTAAGATAGTGACTCAATTCCCTATGTAATAGAAATCGATCAGAATTTAATGCCACTAATTTACACTGCTCTCAATGTAGTTGAGTTATTGCAGACCGTATTGTTGCCAACTGATATTTTCATTCATAACGAAAAACATTCCAAAGACCTATCGAACTTGCAAGAGTATCTTTCAGCCAAATTGCACCAATTTTTACACCAAGAAGTATTACGTTTAATCACTTCAATGACGATAAATCTGGAGAGACGACTTTCAGACAGGCACAGTAACTTAAGACAATACTTAAAATACAACTGTAAAGTGAATACCTCAAGTGGATTTGTGGCTGTTTCTAAATAAATCATATTATTTGGTGTCGTTGGTGTTGTTGTTGACGTACCAGGGAGCTCCTTTTATAAGTGGTAAAATTTTGGATTGAAATGACTGTAGTTTTTTTAGTGTGTCTTTTTAATTTCTTTCTTTTTTTTCTAATTAATAATCGTTGTATGTATATGAAAAAAAACATCTTTCGGGCTGAAGACCCCCCCCCCCAAAATTAATTCCTGGATCCACTAGTGGGTAAGAGTATGTATTTAGTTTTTGTCGAACTTTCAATTTCGACTTAGAAAGGAATGAGTACAATATTTTCAGTCGCTTGTTTAAGGTCTGTCGTTTCATTTTGACGTGTGGGCCCCAGGTCATCCTTCTGTCGAATATTAGTCCCAGGTAACGTACTGTATTTGTCTGAGAAATTTGGTTCTCTCCTATATAAACTGGTGGGCATTTTTCTCCAGTTTAACTTAAAGCTCTTTACATCACAATTTGCTAGTTTTTAAATTACAGGTTTTTACAAAAGTTCTTGGAGAAGATCGTAGATTTCATCTTGCATATTGGGATTAGAATATGCGCCAGAGCAAGACTGATCAGAAAAGTTCAAAACCTCATTTTCCAAAGAAGTTGTCCTTACAGGATTTGGCAGTGTGGCTGTCGACATACTCCATTTTGACGAGTGGTCTCAAATGGCCGAGTGTGTCCGAAAGTACATAGAGGTGACCGAAACGTCTGGTAAGTCTCTAAAGGAAAAGGAACCGCAAGGGGTTTTTAAAATTCTTTTTGAGCGAGCGAGAGTCGAAAAAGATGTAGTTAGACCTAATCAACGACTCGGTTTAAACGAAAAGGGATAGTTCGAAGTTTGCTGAAGTCTTATATTCCGATCCAAATGGTGGTGGGGTGGCCGAGCGTTTTGCACGCGCGTTGCCCGGCAACCAGATAAACTGATAATATAATTATGAATTCACATCTTCTTCTTGCATTTGAATCTTCTTTCATGTTAAATGGGTGTTTATAGTCTGGAACCTCGTGACAAAAAAAGCGTCATATTTCATACTAAGGTTTGTCCTTATAAACTGATCATATCCACAGGTCTGATGAGAAAATGCACGGCTGCCAGGATATAGCCGCAGGAATACAAAATGGCAGTCATGTGAAGATAGATATATAAAGGACTTATAGATATAGAAAGTTACCAAATCTTTTAATTTATAGTATTTACAGTCTTAAGACATGAAATAATAGTCCTACGTTACTCCATTTTCAACAGTATAGGACTTTTCCTATTGACATTTTAGTATCGATATATCGAAATGAAGAATATATATCAAAAATATTTATATTTATATTTTTTTCGGTTTCGTTGGATCATGGTTGACTTGAAGATAAAATTGGACACGATCATAGTTTTGTAAATTCACCCAAAACTTTTGTTGGTTAACTATAATTGTTAAGCAATATTCTGCTATTTTTTATTTAGAACAAACTAAAAACTTGTTCAAAGCCATCCATCATTGTTAGCTTATAATTAAGGGGAATATATAAGAATAATAAGTTAGGAATATTTACAATTATAATTTCTTAAGTTTTAAGTTTTTATTTACACTATTTTCCTACCGAATTGATCATTAACGGATAAGCCATTCGCTTCGTCCAACTGCTCCAATTCTTCTAACACAGAAATCCTCTGCACTGATGTAGACTTCTCTGCGTTAGGCGAGGTCTTCCTAGATAACATTGTAGGAAATGCTTTTGATATAAATTATCAAGCACTTAAGAAGTGAAATATTATAACCATATGTTCGGTATTGAAATTTTTCGTTTAGCAAAAATAAAATAAACTTTATTTTTAACTTAGCAGATCAAGGTTAGGCTGAAGGCGTGACATGCTTGTTATTTTTTTTGTGACAAAACTACTTAGTTCATTACTCTCTCAATGTCCAAACACTTGGCAGAAAAACTGGAGAAAGCCAAGGTGGGTTTGAATTTGATTTGGTACCAGTTTATAGAAAACAAAGACATAGTCCTAACCAAAAAATTACAAGTATTTAATTCCGTTAGTAGGGCAGTGATGTGTCATGGAGCAAAAATCTGGGGTGTGGTAAGTTATGAAGCCGTGGAAAGACTATTAAGATTCTTTCTAAAAAAAAAATATTTAAATTACCAAAATTAACGACCCATCTATTGCATCCCAAACCCTTCAATCCCACATCACAAACCTTGAAGAATGGTGTCAAAACTGGAGGATTAAAATAAATTCTAATAAATCCCATCAAATCACCTTTACCCTTCGACTTAAACCTATGACCTGATGTCCCACAGTATCCTTTAATAATACCTCACTTATCCCTGTTGAACAAATCCGATACCTTGGACTTCACTTGGACAAACTTCTAACTTATAATCCTCATACCAGACTGAAACGACAAGAAACTGCTCGACGTTTCCGACTACTCCAACACTTACTAGACAAACGCTCTAAACTTCCCTTTAATTACAAAAGACTCATATACTTGACTATAATAAGACCTATTTGGACTTACGGAGTTGAGCTATGGGGCTCCACTAAACCATCGAATTCCTCTCGCATCCAATCCTTACAATCCAAAATCCTTCGTAAAATCCTCAATGCTCCTTACTTTGTCACTAATAAAATAATCCATAAAGACCTCAATGTTCCACATGTTTCCGATTTGGCCAAATCCAGATACCTATCCTTCCATAATAAACTTCATAATCATCCGAATCCTCTTGTTTCTAACCTTGCTTCCTCTTCGATTCCTGATAACCCTCCGAGGCGTCTGAAAAGAAGATGGCCTCGTGATCTTCTCATGTAGACAAATTATTAGAGTGCTACCAGTGGGTAGTTTCTCAACAAGCGTGTTTCATGTAATAATATTTCTCTGTACAAATTTACTTGATGTATTCATACTAATACAGTTGTAAATATCATAATAAAAGTTAAAAAAAAAAAAAAAAACCAAAATATACACCAACACACTTTATTCACTTCGAGACTAAAATAGATCCGTTATTTATCTTCCCAATCAAACTCCATAAAAACTTTGAATCTTCCACCACATATATATCCAAAAATATTAGCACTACAGATAATTAAAAAAGAAATCGCATGGTTTAGGGACTTAATCTGATTGAACTGCATGGATTAAATTTCAACTTAAATCGATATAACTGTGATGATGTTAAACTATGGAGAGCTAATTTATATTTACTAAGAACTCAAATTCAGAAAGACATATATGATCAATATGTAATTAAAGTTCAGAATTCTAAAACTTTCACGTTTTATCCTCATTTAACTTCAATAAATTATATTGATGACAAAAGCTCATTGAAGTAGATCAGATGGGTAATTAAAATTAGAGCTGATGTTTTGAACTTATATTATAAACATTTCAAGCAAACAAATAATATTTATAGCATGTGTAATACAAACGAAACAGAAGATCTCTATCACTTCCTGGCTGCTTGTCCGATACTCTCTGAATTTGGAATTAAATGGTTAAAATCTAGATATTTATCTCGGGATCAAGTATTTGATTTATTAAATAGAAACAATTGGATGGTAAATTACTGCAAGTCTGCTTTCTCCTATAGAATAATGCTCACCAGAGAATTTAATAATTAATAAATTGGAGAATTTTGGTAACACTATTTTTGTAATTCAAACATTTGTATAACTTTTACATTGTAAATATAATTTTTCTTATTTTCCTATTAATTATTTGTATATAAATAGACTGAAATATAATTTTGTTATGAAACACAGACTCCTCTGACGGTCAACAGACCATGTAGCACGTCTGATTTTCGGTTTTAAATCCAAAAATATTATTTTGTAATTTATATTTTGTAATTTTGATAAATAAAAAGACTTTTTTTTTTCTACTTCTTCTTCTTCTACTTGGCTCGTTCCTCTTGTCCTGGAACATAAAAACTAGAATCTATAAAACCATTAACTTACCTTCAGTTCTTTATGGATACGAAACCTGACCGATTACATAAAGGAATGAGCAATGTCTTAAAGTTTTTGAAAATAAAGTATTGCCTAGAATATTCGGAACGAAGAAGGACGAGTTCACCGGAGGGTGTGTGAACTTTATCTGGTTAATATAATTGAGGTGATAACATCGAGGCGAATCAAGTGGGCTTTCAAAATTATTGGTAATATCGTTAAATAACGAAAGAATTCCTAAAACGTTAATATTTGCCGTACCGAATGGTAAACCAGGCTTAATGTACAACTAAGTCTAGTTAGTAGCTCTAGAGCCTGGGCCCAAAAATCGATCTCATCGTAGGCGAAAGTTTGATTGTAAATTACGAAAGTGTATGTTATTCTGAGTAAAAAGAACCTTGTCTGCCGTTCCAGAGCCGCTGCTTTCAAAAATGGCGGCTGATTTAAAGAATATTAGGCCAATAATTTGAGGATAGAAACGGGGAAATCCATTGCAAAACATGTAATAAAAGTTTTTATTTTTTTAACTTGTATATATGTATTTAGACATGTAAAAAACAAAATTGCTAAAGCGGGTCATCAAGGTAAAACTTTTTACAGCCATAAAAGACAGATTGTTTCGATATTATTTGTTTTTTTCACTCATAACTCCTAAACGATGCATCAAACGAGTACATGAACTTTATAATTTGGTTACGCGATAAGGTATAAAACCATGGTTAATCAAGACTGATTTTTACCAAATTTGTCAAAACTGAAAAACATTACTATAAATGGCCCTGTAACTTGGGAATGAGTTCCATAAGAGGAAAAACACACAGAATCAAAGTTGTTTAACATCAAATTTTGCGACAACTGAGTGCTGACATTTTTGTATAATTGTAGGCCAATTATATATTATTCATCGGGATTCATTATTCTTAATAAAATTCGTTATCTTTCGACACATCGTTTCTCAAAATCCATCGCTGCTGAAAGGTGGAAAAGAGGCTTATACTGCATGTAAGAAGAGTATACGAAAATAACTCAGTAGAATAGACACCCATACTGTTGAAATTTTGAAAATCACGTTTACCTTAATTACCAATTTCTAACCATCGGAAGATTACCGATTTTGGGCGCAGGAAGTGACCTACATTAAATCAGTTGAAGCAAAATTTGATGCTCTACAACTTTGATTATATCAGTTTTTACTCATAAAGAACTCATTTCCAAATTACAGGGCCAATTATGGTAATTGTTCTCGGTTTTTGATAAATTTGGAAAAAATAAGCGTTGGTTGAATGTGGTTTTATACCTTACCGTTTGACGCAAAATTTAACGTTCTTTAATTTATTAAAGAATACATTTTTCGCGTTGATACATTGTTTAGGAGTTATAGATGAAAAAAATATATATATCAAAGAAATCTGAATTTTTTGGCTGTAAAAAGTTTTCCTTTGGTGGCCCGCGTTAGCATTTTTTTTTTTTTTTTTACATGTACATAAACCCATACATACAAGTTAAAAAAAAGTAAAACTTTTCAAACATTTTTCGCTATGGATTTCTCGTTTCGATCCTCAAATTATTGGCCTAATATTCTTCAAATCAGCCGCCATTTTTGAAAGCCGCGGCTCTGGCAAGGCCGATAAGGTTCTTTTTACTCAGAATAACATACACTTTCGGAATTTACAATCAAACCTTCAATCGTTGTATTCAGAATTCAAGTAGAAAGTTAAACATATTTTTTTCTTATCAATAAATTTTAAGATAAGCTCTCTATATATATTTATTGGAGATATTATACTTTTGGTAGAAGGTTCCTAAATTATTACCTGAAAAGAAAAACGATAAAATTAGAACGAAAACTATTGCGAGAAGCGACGCGACGCGACCGTAGCATCCGCCCCACGAGCGCGGATGAAACTATAAAACTCCACCAGCCTATACATACTCCATTACCTTTGAGCCTGTCCGATATAGAAGAGGGGAGATCCTGATGTGAATATAATATATGTTAATAATCCTTAATGTCACTGATCTTCCGTTCGCAATCAACTTCTATATTCAATTTACAAATATACACAGGGTGTCCCGTAAGTAGAATCCACAGATATATTATTACAGTATGGCTAGAAATCGGTTTTGTACAAAATATAAGCTCCTGTCATGCTCAAATACCATGAATGGGATACCGTTGGATTCAGAATTTCACGGGGGGTTAGCGAATCGTATTCTCCACTTTTGTTTTTATTTCTAAAATAAATAAAGTCGATACAAACATTTTGCTAGGCTTCAATACTGGAACGGTGGTAGGTCTGTAGATCGATACAGGACAAATTGGACCTTGAAAATTTTGTTTTTCGTATACGTACAGCAAGACCCTGATAGTTTTCACGAAACTATCAGATCCTGCGTTTTTAAGCCCCAAAACGTACTATTTTCGAGATAACGCAAGGCATAGGGTTCGCATCCGCACAACCTTATAGCCCTAGAGCCAGGGCCCAAAAATCGACCTGATCGCTGGCGAAGGTTTGATTGCAAATTACGAAAGTGCATGTTATTCTGAGTAAAAAGAACATTGTCTGCCGTTCCAGAGCCGCTGCTTTAATAAATGGCGGCTGATTTAAAGAATATTAGGTCTGTAATTTGAGGATCAAAACGGGAAATCCATTGCGAAAAATGTGGGAAAAGTTCTTATTTTTTTAACTTGTATATATAGGTTCAGATATGTAAAAAACAAAATTGCTAACGCTGACCACCAAGGGAAAACTTTTTACAGC